TAGATGTGTTAAATTGTGTGCTCAACAACCAAGTACTTAATATGAAGGCCCCAAGAAGTTGATGTGTTGAATTGTATGATGTTAAAGATAGATTTTTGTGTTTTAATTATTTCTAGTACTTTATTTTATTTTTTTAACTTGCAGAATAAATATAAGATATATTGTTAATTTTAGAAGTCTAAAGTTAAAATACTTAGCATAATTTTAGATTATTTAAAAATATAAAAGAATAAAATATAAAAAATATTCTGCCCATTGGCAAGCTGACACTCAGCAGCTAACCTAGAGGTGTGCTGCGGTTAAGAGGGTAGACTCAGACTAGGGGAGCCACGAGTTGGGCTCGAGTGATGAAGGACTTCCTCTGCACGCGTGTGCATTGATAAGTCAAAATTTAAGGGGTTTTGTGTTGCTATTTCAATTCAGATTTAACTAACCTTATTTATATAAGTTTCCACATAATTACTCTATATCAGACATAGGGCAAGTTAGGGGTCAATCCATAAGGAGACGAGTTCAATTTCAGATCTTTGAGTCTTAGAAGTGGTAAAAATAGAGTTAGAAGTTGGGAATTCATTATTTGGGAGTTTTTTCAGGATCTAAGAGAGGTTAATATAATTTTTCCAGAATTTTATGGAATTTTACTTAGTGCAGAAAATGCAGCAAAAGATTAATTAACATTTTTTAATATTTCTCTCTAATTTTAATTTGCCCCCTTTTTTTGAAATGCAAATAGAAATAATTAATTTTACATTGTGCGTAGTTGGCAGTCGGCGGCTAAGTGAACTGTCTGGGCAAGGGGTTACGCGGGTCCTAGATCGCTCTTGACTGCTTCCAGACTTAACCGAAATTTGGGAGTTACGTCCGTAAGTTGAGAGAGAGAGAGGGCGGCGGCCATGCGGTGCCTATCGACAGACACACGGCAGGCGGTGGCAACTCGCGCGCTCAATGGTAGAGAGAGAAGAGGCCTACGGGAGAAGGCGGAGAGAGAAGGAATGGTGGGCGACAATGGAGGGAAACGTGGAGCGACTAGAGGAGGCGGAACAAAAGATAGAGTGACAGGAGACGGTGGAAAGAGGAGGGTTCAGAGGTATAGAGAGAAGATTGGTGCTGATGTTCGTCCTTTCAACCCTCAAGATTTCTTCCTCCTCTCGGACCCTTATATTCCGTCAAGATCAGGTGTTTTCCACTACAAGAAGGGGAAGAACAAGAGTGAACACTTCAAAACAACTTACATCTATCAGGGTGGATACCCCGGATCCTAGAAAATGCCTTGTCCTTCTGGCTAGCCACTGCTAGAGCACATCCAAAATAGGCTGGGAAAGAGAGAGGAAGAGACCATTTACATATGGGATATAATCACTAAAATGCCCTCCTATCATTTATCGACTTTTCTCCATGCCATTCTTCCTTTAAAGCTCCCATGACCAAAATTTCGTGCTCCTCTTTAAGAGGAAAATTAGAAGGGTTAGTGGATGGGGACAAAACGTGGCCCACATCCTTCTAGCTGATCTTTTGAAGCCCAAAACTAGAACTGGTCCATTCTGGCCCAACGAATAAGCTTTAAAATCCCATGGAGAGCTCCAGCCCATTGGTAGTTATTCCATTTAGTTCTTGTAAATTTCTGCACATGTGGACCCTGAGAATATTCCTCAGTAATAAAATTACTCATACTTCATAGAAGTCAAGCATGGTCAACCAAAAATATCCATAATATGCATAGAATGATATTCATATAAAGTTTAGGAATATTCACATAATTTAGTTAATAACATGTTAAATTCAGGATGTAGATGGTTAAACTTATATCAAATGCATGGAATTGTGGACACATTATCATATTATCATGCATCACTCCCCTACCACATCTCGATGGCCAACTAGTCATGGAGTAAGGTGCATCATATACATGTGCTCTCGTGAGGGTGGACCACCTTTTCGCTTTCTCCTAAGATGGTCCTCAGTATTATTTTATTTTGAGAGAAGGAATCTCTACTGAAGGAATGTAGCTCTAATTTATATTTGCTTAGTCGCTGAAATATTTTCGATGTGAGACTAAAGTTTCTCACGTGTTTCAGTGCAGCTGTCTAGAGGACATGTCATCTAGTAATGTTCAGCAAGCCACATCATCAAATAAGCTAGATCCTATAGTGGGCAAGCCACCACTATATCAGATGTGTAAAACAATCTATCGGTGGTTCACAAATCTGATGCCGATCAGCATGCACATGGCCTTAAATGATGATCCAATAGCTAAGGAGGTGCCACAGTACTAGGGACTTAGGTTTCTAGTCGACAGCAGTTCATGGCGAGTTGATCTTATGTCACTCGTCGTGCCATGTGACCAAGTACATCTGATCCAGTGGCTCCCGATGTACCACGATACCAGAAACTTAAGTTCTCACACGTATTATCATTAGGAATATAAATATAATAATTAATTATTATCTGGTAAAATAGATATTATCAATTATCTTTAAAATTTCGACGACAATTGTGAATACGACAATCCGTTCTTCCTTCCTTTTGTGCAATCAACATCTCTGGTGATCGACAAGTTCATTCCTTCCTCTCCCAACTACATTTAAGGCCTTTGGCGAGTGGTCAGCTCTTCCCTTCTCCCCCCAAATGACGGTGACAACATGGTTGACCCCTCCTTTTAGTAGATTTCTCTAGCAAGCGGTGTAGTGTTTTCAGATGATACTTTTACAACTTCTTGCATGGTGTGACATGTTTGGACAAAACCAAGTGTCACACCAGTGTCTCTAATTAACCAAGGGGTAGACTAAACTCGGGCAATGATTTATTTCCTACTTTCAATATTTACTTACCTACTTTTGTTATTTATTTATATTATACGATAAGTTATTTCTATTTTATGCATGTTTCGATTGAAATAAGTAGAAATAATTCAAAACTTGATGAATGATTTTTTTTCTTCTTCTAAATCTTCCAAAACTCGTTTGAAATTAAGCTAAGATTTTTTCCAACTTATTTTCTATTAATTTTTGTAGTGGAATCTCGATGTATTCATGTTCCTAGCATTCCACGAATAATAGGTATTTTTTTATTTTTGAACATGAAATATATGAAATTAAACCGTTGCTTAATGATCGTTCAACAATTAAAACAATAATCCTCTTTTTTTCTTTGCTGCCCTTCCTTTATTCTTCTCACCCTTCTATTTTATTATTATTGTTAAATATTAATAAAATATTAAAATCACTTTATATATAAACTAAATTAGTTTTCACGATAGATTAATCAATCTCTTTATATTCAACTTGAGACTTACTTCTATACTAATATTTTATTAAGTCTTAGCTATAAATATTATTAGATAATATTTATTTAAACACAACAACAAATGCAAATCATATGGCTTTAGCAAATTAAAGAAGAAAACTAAGAACAATTTTGTACTATTATAGCTTCCTCCACCTAAATTTCTTCCTCATAGTTGGTGAGGAGTCTAATTTAGATTAGAATCAACGAACACTAGAACACTACTAGTTTTCTTTATGTTTAAATTCTTAAGGTTTAGAACTTTAGCTTGAACCCCTTGGAGGAAAATGTTTAATATAGGTGGGGTGACCAGCCTGACGTGCACCAGATGGCAGGAATGGTGTGCCCCACTGTCCAAGAAAGATGGTGTGCCAGCTCAATCCGAGCCAATCCATCAACATAGAGGTGATGACATCATCATGATGACCTCAGCATAGGGGGTCTACTGATGTCAATACCCATAAAATATATATTTTAGGATGCCATTATATTTATTTGGAAATTTTATTATTGATGTTTATTTCATAAAGGGTCCCCCTTGACCCGAGGTGAGTGTTGACTCTCTCATAAAATAAATTGTTGGAAGATAGACGAAAAGGGTTCCACTAAGGTAGTCAAAGGCTGATAGGAGAGGGGGGACCTAATAGAAAGGCAATACAATAGAAGGAGAGGAAAAACCTAAGAAAATGACAATAATGAGGGTACTTTAGTAACGATAATAAGGAACAGATAGAGAGAGAATGAGAGAAAGGGGAGTATACCATAATACAGACTAATTTATGATGGTTAGTCTCCAATTACCCTCTACTCACAAGCATATTTTGATTCCCTTTTGTTGGCTCATGCCCCTTTTTTTTATAAGCCAAAGCCCTTCTGGTTTGAGATATTTCTTAGATATTCATGAGCCACTTTCTTGTCCATACAAGGTTCCTCCTTCAATACCTATGAGCCTCCTTCTATGTGCAGCTCTCCCAAAGTAAAAGAATAACTTTTACTATGCTTGTAGTTGCTGGTGTCTTCCTAGAGGTGATGGCTCTCTAACCATTAAGTCCTTTTTTGACAAAGATGTGATGAGTCTACAAGTATCTCATCATTTTTTTACTTTATTCTCTAGAGAACAAATAAAAAACCAAAGAAACGGAAAAAAGTATTTGAAAACTACTTATGACCTCTCCCTAGTTTCTTGAAGCCATATTTTTGGCCATCAATGAATATACCAACATAGTACCCCATGTGGATTTTCCTAGGGCTAGATAACCTCTTGTGCGTTATGCAACATGAAATGAAAATAAAATGATGCTGCATATTATTAGAAGACCAAAAACAAGTTTTTCTGACTTCAATGTCATGAATTTTTCCCATTCATTATACATTTTATCCTCTAAGAATAAAGAGAAAAAAATTATAATTTCTTATATAAAGGTTTGGTCTCAAAATTTTAATCTCACGTTCCCTAAATGCTATCAACTATGAAAGTACGTCTCACGTGCCCTAAATGCTAAAACCTATCAAATCGTTAGAGCAAAAACAATTGACAATGAATGAAGTATACAGAAGCATTTAGCCCCTCAAGATTTGCGCCAAGTCCAAGAAATAAGTTGCAACTTTTAACTGATTCACGTTATAGAATAATGGGTGATTTACAGAACTGAACTATAGAGAGGGAGAGTACGAAACCTGCAGGCAAGTTACAGAGCCGCAAAGGATTCCGAGAGAGTTCACACAGCCTTCATTAATGCCCCACCAGAGACCGCAAATTCGTCAGCCATTAGTGACAACTCCGGGTCATCGTCCGCCTGCTTTGTTGTCACCGCAAGCAATTCCAACACGGCGTATATTCGCTCGGTCTCATGGTGCATCCGATCCCCCGCGGCGAACACCGACACGCCGTCGTCGAGCGTGATCCAGGACCAGCCCGGCTCCTTCTTCACGCCCTTGGACCTCATCAGCTTCCTGGCGTCGGCGGCGTCGCCCCATCTCCCCGCCGCCGCGTACATGTTGCAGAGCGTGATGTGTGTCCCCGCGCAGTTGGGCTGCGACACGAGGATCCTCTCCGCCGCGCGTTGCCCGCAGTCGGCGTGCCCGTGGACCCTGCTTGCGCGCAGCAGCATGGACCAGACGACGTCGTCGGGCTCGTGCGGCATCGTTTCGGCCAGTCGCTCCGCCGCCTCCACCAGCCCCGCGCGGCAAAGGAGGTCCACCATGCACCCGTAGTGCTCCCTCCGCGGCTCGATCCCGTGCACCTCCCGCATTGAGCGGAAGTACTTGAACCCCAGATCCAGCAGCCCCTCGTGGCAGCAGGCGCTCAGCACGCCAACGAAGGTAACGCCGTCAGGGCGCAGCCCGGCCAGTCGCATGCTCTCGAACAGCTCGATCGTCTCCCGCCCGCAGCCGTGCTCGGCGTACCCGCTGAGCATGGACGTCCACGAGACTACGTCCACATCCCCGGCAGGAATTCCTGCAAACACCCCGCGGGCGTCGGTTATGCTGCCGCATCGGGAGTACATGGCGATGAGAGCGCTTCGGACCATGGCGTCGGCGTGTAGACCCACCGAGATCGCGTGGGCGTGGAGCTGACGACCCTGAGCGAGCATGGCCGTGGAGCCGCACCCGCTAAGCAGGCTCCCCAGGGTGACCTCGTTTGGCGCCGTCCCGCTGTGCCGCATGGCCGCGAGAAGCCGGAATGCCGCCTCGATGTCCCCTTCCTGGGCGTGCCCGGAGACGATGGCGCTCCAGGAGACCACGTCCCTGGAGCCCATATCCTGGAACACGGCGGCCGCCTCCGCGAGCCGCCCTGTACTGGAGTAGAGGGTGATGACGGCGTTGGAGACCGAAGCCGACCGCGCCAACCCGGCGCGCACCGTTCGCGCGTGGAGCTGCTCCCCGAGGCCAAATTCAGCCAGCCCCGCGCACGCCGAGAGCGCCGCCGCGTAGGTGTACTCGTTGGGGAGAACGCCCTCTGCCTTCGTCATCGCCACGAATGTTCTGAGGGCGTCTTCGCGGCGGCCCTCCTTGAGGTAGGCGGCGATGACGGCGGTCCAGGAGACGACGTCTGGGGAGCGCATCTTCCCGAAGAGGACCAGCCCGCTGTCCATGCGGCCGCACTTGCCGTACATGGACGCGAGGGCGTTGGCGACGAAGGATGTGGTCTCGAAGCCGGTCTTCGTCGCCTGAGCGTGGATCTCCCGACCGCGGGAGAGAAGGCCGTCATCAGCGCAGGCCTTGAGGACGATGGCCAGCGTGTGGGAGTCGCACGCAATGCCGGAGACCCACATCTCCGCGAAGCGGCGGAGGGCCTCTTCGCACCGCCCGGCATGGACGAGCGCAGTGATCATGGATGTCCAGGAGACGACGTTCCTAAGGGGCATTTCGTCGAAGAGCTGGAGGGCGAAGGAGAGGAGGCCCATCTTCCCGTACATATCAACGAGGGCGCTGCCGACGAAGACGGAGGCGACCGCCATACCAGCCTTCTCCGAGAAGGCATGGAGAGCTGCCCCGTTGGCGCGCAGCCGTCCCAACCCACAGGCCTTCAGAACGAGGCTGAGGAGGAAGGAGTCCACCGCGACGAAATGGTCGACGCGCATGCGGGAGAAGAGGCGGAGGGCTTCCATGGCGTCGCAGGAGACGACGTACCCGGAGACGAGGGTGGTCCAGGACACCACGTCTCTGTGCGTCATCTTGTTGAACAGGCTGCGGGCCTCCACAAGCCGGCAGCACTTCACCAGATGCTTCAACTGGGTGTTCCATTCGAAGGTCAGAGAGGAAGATCTCGAGGAAGAAGACACCCTGATGGCCGTTGGAACGTGGAGATGCAGTTGCAGAGCTGGGACACAGGAGGAAAGCGGGGTACTTTCTGTGACGGCACTGCCCAAGTAACCACCCTTCTGAACGCTGACGCAGCCACCATTGACGACGGCGAGATGGCGGGGGCAGCGCCGGGAGGGAGACGCAACGAAAGACATGAACACAAATCTGCGTTCTGCACGTCAGATTATCCTATACTAAAAACAGGAACCCTCCCCCACCACCACCTTGCAAAATCCAGAAAACAGGCCGGAATAGGGATCCAGCAACGACGATTCCAACGTTCCGTTCTAGAAACTCTTAAGAACCCTAGAAAAAGGGAGAAACCCTGAACAATCGTTTGAGCCTCCTAAGAAAGAAACCGCTGCGACAAATGCATCCATCAATCACTGCTGACTGTTCAAGGCACAACAATGCCACGCTTTCCTCTTTACAAAGGCGTTCTTACAGGTTCATCATCTCGATGAATGTGAGACCGACTGTAAAATAAATGTAAGAAGCAAAGCCAATGGGATCAGATCGATCGGACCCCTCTACAGGTCCGCCCGGCCTGGGTATCGGGGGAAGGGTATCACGTCCCTGATGTTGTCCAGACCTGTGGCGAAGAGGATCATCCGCTCAAAGCCGAGGCCAAATCCACAGTGCTTCACCGTCCCATACCGACGCAGCTCAAGGTACCATTCGTAGGGTTCGATTGGCAAACCCGAGTCCAATATCCTGCAAGCGTGGTGCGATGACCATCAGCAAATCGTGAGGATAGCTCTCCAGAAATTGGTAGATTTAGTTGATAACCGCGGCTAGTTCAGCAGGATATTTAGAACAACCGACCCCCCCCTTCCAAAAAGAAAGGATGTCAACCACCAGAAATCACCAGGCATCTTGTCCCAGATTACAATGTCTGGCGTCCAAGCGAAAAAGAGTCAACGATAGAAGCATGATCTTCTGAAAAATATATGCAAGATCGGATAACTTTGTTTTGTCCAGTTCGCCACGGATAAAGTCAAACGGCCTATACATTTATTCAGCTACGCCGAAAGCTGGTGTCTGCACCACATGGTTTTTTTTTCCACAAGACCTGCCATAGCATATGCTACAGGCGCATGTATTAAGGCTTATGACCAGAAAGACAAGGTTTCTATGGTCCAATCTGGGAGGATGTGTCAGCAGTTAGGAGATCATAGATAAGCATCAATTCTGGAGATAGCCCCATAAAGGCTACTACTAATTGGGCCATAGAACTAGTCGGATCAGCTACGAGTTAGTCTAAAGTTGGACAAACTATAGGTCGACTCGATGCAGAAATTGGCTGACCAAAAAATAATACAAGCGCAATCGAGGTGATTGGAACCCTGATCAAAAAGAAAAGAAAAGAAGCGGGGAATGGCAAAGCCCAATCCCATTCAGGATGAGGATCCCACTATTCCAAATTCCCTGCCTGAGACTTTCTCACATCCATACATTACACAATCATTACTATTCGTAATGATGGCAAAAGATGCACATGAAAGTCAAGGTGCAACATCCAAACACTTCGAACACAATACAAGAAAAGTTTCCTTGCAAAAGACAGAAGGAAAGTGATGATATCGGCCATAATAAACAAATCCATAGCGCATAAATACATGAACCAGCAGCAGTAGAATTCAAGAGCCAGACTGATAATAAGAAAGCTAGAATTCTTAAATATGAGTTATGCAAAAAACGAATATGTTGACAAATCAGTTGCGAAGGAAGAAAGGGGCCAGGCAAAAGACACCTGTTTATGAAACACAAGGACTTGGAAGAGTCTTTAAAAGAGTATTACTTCAAAAATAGTTATTTCGAATTGTAGACGATATTACGAATGATGTCCAAGCCTTTAAAATATTTATTTCGAAATATGTAAAAAGATTGAAGTATGTTTCCAACTGTTTTTCGTAAATACTTGTAATCAGTAGGAAAATATTTTTTTATAAAAATAATATTGGACCAGAATAACCGGTATACATCATTTTACCCTTGATATCTACTTAAAAGAGTATTATTTCAAATTCACGAGATATTTAATAAAATAAAACATAATGATCTGACTAGTTGACCTCAGTCTAGAATTATATTACATGTCGTAAAATATAAAATAATCAGTAGCCTTGCCTAACTTTTTAAATACAGTTATATTTATTTACTAAATTATAGAATATTTAAAAGTGAACTAAAAACTGAACTGTGTGTTCCGTGATCATCAGAATCCAAAAAAACAATTCTGCTAACTACAACCTTGGAAATGAGGCATCTTCACGAGCTTTGGGACTAAATAGGATAGCTACCTGATAAGAGTGCACCTGATACCCACCACCATGTCCGACAGTATAAGATAGATAAGAGCGATCAAGTAATATCAAATGCACATGGATGACAATGTTCTCATTTTGAAATCCTACGGCTTTAAGTTCTCAGCTGCTTAGAATTGGCGAAGCTAAAAAACTGAGAGGTAATGCTTCAAACACTAGTATTAGAAAAAAATGATGTAATGAAATGATCCAACTTTACAGAGAATAGCTAACAGATAATTAGGAGCTACATGACATTTACGTTCGAAAAATAACAGTCAAATAAGATATACCGTTGCTGAAGGACATCAAGTCTCTCCTCCCTCTGGCTCCCTCCAATCAGCTCTCCTACCTGCAGTGGGCAAGACATAGGTAACTGTAAGAAAAGTCTTGAACCACTACGTAGGCTATTGTCCCTTTCTTGAAAGCTACAATCCCCGGAGCAGCTTTAACTAAGAAATGTTTAAAATTCAAAATCCCTAGTCAAAATGAAAGGTGAGCATACCTTGGGCACAAGCACATCCATAGCAGCTACTGTTTTACCATCATCATTAAGCCTCATGTAAAATGCCTTAATGCCTTTAGGATAATTGTAAACAATCACAGGTTTCTTAAATATCACCTCTGTTAGGTACCTTTTTTCAAACAAAAAAAAAAGAGGGGCAATATTTCAGACATGAAAAAGAAGTAAGAATAGACATGTAAAGAGATGTGCATAGATCTAGACATTAAAATATTATGATTGTATCTCAAACATACAAGCAACGTTTGGAAAATGGGTCTCCCCTTCCAGCAATTGCTGGAATTGGATACATATGGCACAATAACAAATCCACAAATTCTTTCAGATATAATTCCTAAAAATACATAATTTTTTATTTATTAAGTCATCCACCATTGTCAGAAGAGTGTCAAATTAATCCAATTCCCAATATCAAATTCGAATAAGCAACAGGAAAAAAGCGCCATGTGAGTCCAGTGAATAGCTGGTTGGTCGTTATTATTATGTTTATTATTATTACAATCACTACAGGCCTCTTGAATTCTCTCTTTCACTATTTACTTTTTTGTTACCAAAAAAGCTGAAAATTCCTAGAAGTTTCTAGGAATTTTCTGATTAGGACTAAAAAATCAATCATAACCTAGAAGTCCAAAAACACAGCTCAATGATCATCCACGAAAATTATGATCATTGGTAATTATTGAAAAGCTATGCGCCTATCTGTTTCACATGAGAGGCAATTGCTCCCACCTGTTTCATGTCTATTTACGTCCCTAATTTTTATTACCTACCTCTCATGCTCCGATGCTAGATCAATGCCCCACGAAACTGGATTCTCAAACTTTTTGTCAGTCACATTCTCAAGAAGCTCAACAGCTTTTGTGTAAGAAATTCGAACAAATGGACTCGATGCTACTAGCTTTAGACGTTCAATGGCAGTTTTATCGTAATTCTTCGCCATAAATTCCATGTCCTCAAGAGAATGGTCGAGCAACCATTGACAAAGGAATTTGACATAACTCTCTGCGTAGTTCATGTCATCCTGTAAAAAAATATACGTCAGAAATTATTGAACTGTGAAAGTAACCAGCACTGAGGAAGAATTCTAGGATATACCAAAAATAGTTCACAGATCTTACCTCCAAGTTGGCAAATGCTATCTCAGGTTCAACCATCCAAAATTCAGCCAGATGTCGTGATGTGTGGGAGTGTTCTGCACGAAATGTTGGACCAAATGTATAAACATTACCAAGGGCACAGGCATATGTTTCCACCTGAAGCTGGCCTGAAACTGTTAGAAATGCCTGCCGCCCAAAAAAATCAAGTGCATAATCAGTTTTTCCATCCTTCTGGGGAATACCAGGCTTAAGCTTGAACCTCTCTTCTAATCTTGAAAGATTTTCCTTAGCCTTCGTCAGTTCAGTTACAGAAGCAGTGATTTCGCTCTTACTGGCTTTAATAGACTTCAAATGTGCAACTGCCTCTCCTTTCTCTTTCACAATAAGCTTAGCTGATTCAATGTCAGATTCAGATGGAGGTGGGTTTTCCTTCAACTCCTTCTCCACCTTTTCTGCATCACTAAACAACGTAGTGACCTGAAACATTTCCCCGGCACCCTCACAATCACTGGTTGTGATTATAGGAGTGTGTATGTAACGAAATCCATTCTCACGAAAGAATGTATGAGTAGCATAAGCAAGCTCATCCCGGATTCGAGCAACTGCCGATATCTGGAGACAGAATTAAATTACCCTCAAATTATTTAGTAATATAAAGTAATGATGTACATAAATGTCAAAAATACTGAGCTAGTCTAATGAAGCGTACAAAGGACACAATGTAAAGAAATACTTGAAGTCGAACAGCGGATACCACAATGACACAGTTAACTACGCACGATCAGGTATGCATATACTTTTGTTTCAAGGAACAAGCTTTGTGACTAAAAATTGTCAATCAAAGCACACCACTATAATGCAAACAACTACCATTCAAACTTGAAACCCGTCACCACCGTGGCAATCGTTACCAGCATATGAAAATGCAATCTACCGTTCAACCAGTCAATGACATGTAACCAATCTCACTTCAGGAAAGTTGCAATGGCAAATCACAGTAGTAATAACAATTCTCGAAAACTCTCTCGAGAAATTTTATTCAACTAGAGCAACACAAGAGTGGAAGCAGCACGAAGACAAAAATGACCCTAAATTGACTACAATCGTGATGAATATGAAGAAGAACAGAGAACACAGTCTTACCGTATTGGTTCGAGCCCGAAGGTGGACCCAATCCCTTAGGAACTCAAGGGTGAGACGAGTCTTGGGCAGAGGGTACTTGCCCGGATCACAGGGACCAACCTCCAGGATCCGCTCCGCTCGCAACTCTAGGCTCTGCTTAACCCCCTCAGGAGGTCGTTTCAACACGCCCTCAATTACCACGCAGGTGCCCGTCGGCGTCAGCTGCGCCAGCGGGTGTACAGCAGCGTCCACGATCACCTGCAAATTCGCTAGGCACGACCCGTCGTTGAGCTCTAGGAAAGCAAATGATCCTTTCCCCTGCTCTCGCCCCGTCCTCACCCAGCCCCCAACCACCATCTTCTTCCCTGCCAGCGCCGCGACGTCAACGGCTGTCACTATAGACCGGATGCGAGTCCGCTCAAAGGACGGCTCCAGCTCGTCCGTGGCGAACGGTGCCATGGCCGCCATCTTGCCATCCGGGGGACCCGCCTCAGGCGCGGCTCCGAGGTCGCTGGCCATTATCTCTGCCCCCTGGTGGTCAGTATCACCGGCGGCGCTAGGGCTTTGCGAAGGACTTGCTACTCAGTCCTTGCGCTCCCTCTATCTCTGCAATATATAGGGCAGGCAGATAGTGATTTTCGCGTTTCAAAAGCCTCCCAAGTGTCTGGAAAGGGTCAACTCAGACTGTCCCACCGCTGCTCGCACTTTATTCTTATTTTTCAAAACTTGGACCGCAAGATACTTTCAACCAATCACCCTCAGAGGATTCATATGATCTAATATATGATTTATTAAATATACCCTCATCAAATATATGATGTATTTAACTTAAAACTAATAAAAAAATTAAAATTATAATATAATATAATGAGAATGATCAGTAATATTGATTCCTACAGAAATACACAAATAGGTGATAAATACAACAAAAAAATTAATTTTGATGGGTAGATTCATAAGATCTACCTATCATCTGACGTCATCAAATAGATGATTTATTAATTTAAAATTCATAATAATTTTAAAATTATAATCTAATATAATGAGAATGATAAGTAATACTAATTCCTACAAAAACACAAAGTGTGTTATAAATATAACAAAAAAATGAATTTTGATAGGTAGATTCATAAGGTCTACCTATCAACTCTGTCATGAAATATAGTATTTATGAACTTCAAAATTAATAATAATGTTAAAATTATAATCTGATATAATGAGAATGATAAGTAATATTGATTTCCTATAGAAATACACAAATGGGTTATCAATACAACAAAAGAAATTAGTTTTGTCACACCTAAGTTACAAATGTACCAAGAGATGAAAAAGGCATTGGCCTCTGACTATTACAATATATGTTGACTTTTAGTGAAAAACAATTTAATCTTAATGAAAGAAATAAAACAATATTGATATATCATTATATTATTTAGGACATTTTTTTCTCAAAGATTAATTTACTGTATTATAACATGTATTAGAATCTTGGAGAAAACTAAGGTTATTAATGTAATGATTTCTCTTTTGTTTATGTTTGGGTCATCAATTTACTCAATTTATGGTAAATAAATGAAGTCAACTCACTTTCTATGAACTATATAGAGTACAAGACCAAAAAGAAAAATAGACCTCTCAAGCACATGTTGAAATTACTCAAAAAGTGATTTTTAACTCTATATTTAAATCTATGTTCTCTCAAATGAAAGTAAGTTATAGTCTTGCCAACATGTGGAGCTTTCCAACTTACATGCCCACATTTTGTGTATATTGTAAGATTTTCACTATATTTTATTTTACTTATTTGTGATAACAATTGTTTTCATCAAATGTTTGATGTATGCACCCAAGTCACATTTAGAGCAATGAATTTAAGTTTGCAAGTCAATACAAAGGCATTTAAAGAGTTTCTCTAACTAAAGCTAAGAATATAAGGTTGACTAGATAAAGTTGTTAATTTTATGTTATCCAGGCAAGTTGATGCATATGCCGGATCTATCTACTCTAAATAAATTACACAACTTATATAAGAGTATAATGCTTACAGAATCAAACCACTACAATAAATATGATTTTAATTATTCATTGAGTGTTGACTCATTTGTTTTTTTCTGAAGAGTCAACTAAAGCCAAGAATACAAGGTTGACTAGCTAGAGTTGTTGATTTTATGCTATCTAGGCAAGTTGATGCATATGTTAAATCTGTCTACTCTAAATGAATTGCACACACTACATAAGAATAGAATACCAAGAGAGTTAAACCACTCAAAATAAAATATTATTTTAATTATCTATTTAAGAAGTGTTGACTCACTTGTTTTTTCTGAAGAGTCAACTCACTCAATGTACACTAACCTATTGAATGAAAATAGTCTAATTTTGACTTGTTTCAATCATTGTGAGACTGAAAAGATGTAATAATAAACCAATCAAACTTTCAAGGACCTTGCTTTGGTGAGTAGCATGGAAATGTTAGAATCCTCAAAATACTTGTTCTATTGGGTTGCTGGCAGCCCTCATCTAATCAGTATAAATACAAAAAAAATTAGCTTAACATTATGTTATTAAAAGATTTTACACAATTAACCCCCATCATTTATGATATTTTGAACCCTAATGACTGATTTGTGAATGATTATTTTGGATTACTTCATCAATAAGTATGACAAAAATTTAACAAAATTATCAATACAAATTGGTATTAGATCCTACCATTATCAACTTATAAAGACTCTTCCTTATTTGATAAAGCAACAAAGCTTACATGGCATTTGACATCACTTTATAAAGTTTATGTTAGGGCCTCACAATAGGGATTAAAACAACAATAGAACAATGGTATCAATAGAGGAAAAGAACCAAAAGAAACTGAAATTAAACTCCATCAAAATAGTTAAGAGAACATAAAATAAAAGGGTCTTCAAAAGAAACCCTAGAACAGTTGGGACAAATTCAAGAGCACCCTACTCCTGTTGACTTCTTCCAAAATTCCTCAATCAAGGGCCCTTGAAGGCTCCTTATATCCTCCGTCATATTGGGCCAATGGCCCACTATATCTTAACCTTCCCCTTTTCAGACTTTAAGTTGGCCAAATAATGGGCCTCATATCAAGCCCAACAAAAATGAGGCCTAATAGTTTACTAAAGTACTTTTGTAGTTGTAAATTTAATTAACTGTTATTTCATAATTCTTTCTATTAGCTTGGTGTTTTGAGGATAATAGGCTTATCATTTCTCCAAAAATAATCCCTTTTCACATTAGATTGGCACAAATCTTCTACTTTCTTAATCGACTGGATTTATCACAACTCTCAGCAATAAATCTACTTGTTGTCTTTATGAAAGCTCATGTTTGAGATTTATTTGAACTTTCCAAGCATTTTATTACAATATCCCTTCTTGTGCTCAGTCCCCATTTGTGACTTCTTGTTTTTTCATCTGATAAAATTAAGGACAAAAGTGGTGGGTCAAACAGTCCACAGAGATATGTTAAAGTCAAACAAAAGATGTCACCTTAACGAACTTGATAAACCATTAATTAAGAAAGAATTTAACACATTTGACTGGAAAACCATGGAAATATATCATCACATAGAGATTTTCTTTTGTCTCTACTGTAATAATTTGTTTCTCACAATAGGACAATGTTCACTCCAATGAAATTACGTACTCAAACACTCAAAAAGTGATTAGAGACATAGGAAAAAGGAGGATCACAGCTCGTCCTTGGGTTCATAAAAACAATCCTCATCCCAGTAATAAGGGAACTTCAACTTTGTTGCAATGTGGGGCATAAACCAATCCTCATAAATAAACTTGCAAGTGAAGGATGTCAGCATATGTGTTCCTTATATATATACCATATAGTGTTAATTATTTGTATATACTCATTTTAATAAAGTTACAACTGAATGGTATCAAAATAATTTTTCTACAAAAAATATTCTTATATAGTGTTTATTTTTATACATAAATAAACACGACTGAATCCACCCATGGTATTCTTAGCCTTCCTCTTTTAGAGCACATAAAAATGGCCACCTCTCTTAGTAATATGATATATCACATGACATTTGGCCAGAGAAAAAGAATATGTGCACACAATTACTTACACTTTTATAGGTGGATGTGAAATCACTACCAACACTTGCAAGTCCTCATTTTCATTAGTATTCTAGATCTGCATCATCTTGAAGTCTTAGAAGCAATAAACATGTTTCTAAATATGGCATAGAGAGCCAAATTTTTTGCATTTAAAGAAAAGTAAAATAAGGCAAAACGTAAAACAAAGTTATGGCAAAGTGTGACAAAATGAGCTCACTACCATACTTCATCATCCCAAGGAAAGAAAAGGTCTATGGCACTCAGAGAGCCTCATAATAATTACTATGTTCAAGGACATGGGAGAGTGATATAGAGCTAATCATTTTTGTCTGAATTTTGTTCTAAATAGTGGAATGCTCTAATGATAATAAAGCCATCACTCTCATTCTAATCACATGATTTCGATGACGACCGTACTCCTATTTGTTGTTCTAAATATTGGAGATGTAATCTAGAAACCTACTACAAGTATGATGCCCATAATATGATCACTGTGATTAAAAAAGAAAATAATTTTGGGCATTAAGTGTTTCATATTAGATACCAATTTAATACTCATTTCATAGTACAAAGATGCCAAATCTATTGATACCTTATTCACTCAATTGAGAAATAAGTCGAGAAAGTTCTGTAAGTGGTAATCTAGACAGCTTTGGTTAATATATATGCAAGATTTGTAGGGATCATTTTTTAGGAAGTACACCCAACAAAGAGAAAAGATTGAGCCTGCACTTGTAGATTCCAAAATCAAAATCTCTCTGACTAAGCAAGAAATCTAGAGCACAACAATTCCTAATGTATGATATTGTGTCCTGTCCCTATTTACTGTTGTAATAATCTATTTTCGTATTTCACTCAGTATTTCAAGTATTTTGAGCTTCTGAAGAAGCCAATCTTAACATATTGGAATAGATCATTCATAGCTAGGAGGCTTTAGTTCTTAAATGAGCAAAGGAATTAGGGCTTTGTTTTGTGCAGTCTATTCTACAAAGAACCATGTAAATGAAACCTAATCACATGTTTTAATAATGGTATAACATAAGCACACAGTCATTGTTACTAAAGCTTTGGAGAAGTCAAGATAGAATTCAACAATACAGATCTCCAATGAAAGAGATCCTTACAAGTACGTAGTTATGTTTTATAATACCATGATGCATTGTGCTTACATAATCCCTATTTCTATATGTCAACAATGCTTTCAAAATAATTACAAAAAGAGCACATAAACTTATCATAATATTAACAAAAAATGCCCACCCTTTGATGATATCAATTTAAAATGACAAATAACATCCCCAAAAAGTACATGCTATATGAAGATGTGTGCCAAAAATCACGCAGGAACACCATTTATGGTTTACACAATTAATGAAAGTCGTTTTCCATCAGAGTTATGGGGAATACACAATGAAATCTAAAATTGTTACAATGAAATAATTGAAAATAGTTAGTATCTCGCTCAGTGATGTATTTCATTTATCTGAAAAATCTACATCTTATAACAAGAATTTTTTGAATAAATCAATGAAGAAGTAACCCTTATGTCCTTAAATAGAGTCATATAGAGGCATATGTATTTCATCATCAATGATGTTTTTGCTCGTTGATGATTGATAATTATCTCTTTTCTTCATGAATACTTAGCTTTGAACATATCTTAAATGCACAAACACATGCACACACACTTCCAAACACATCATGCTCATAGGAATGAACATGGATTGAGAAGAGTAAATAATGGCTTTTTTTTATAAACCACCTAGTGTGAATCATTCACTGGTAGAGAAAACGTGTTGCTCAAAGAACTTTGAAATTTCTCTAATTTTCTTGGGTAATTAAGTGAGCTTGAAGCTAGGAGAAGTGTACCACTTCCTTTTAGAACAACAAAAACTTCTTCACATGAGTGCTTGTGTATTGGAGTCTTCGATCCAGGAGAAAATGTTTGAAGCCAAATTTCAACTTGACAGATAAATTAGTATATTCTGGGTCATTTAAGCCATTAAACCAAAGTGGGCGTGAAAGAAAAGGAAAATAGAAATGGTACCTCTAAACAATAGAACAAACTAGTTGCACATAAAATATTAGGAATAGGAGATAAGAATATTCCAATAACACTCTATTTTGCTTCACTATAATGAAAAAATAGAAGAATATTCTAATAAGACTATTTTATTTCACTATATTGAAAATGTCTTATTCTTCAATGCAAAATTCCTATCCGTAAAGCATAAGTCTAATGATGAAATTGGCCACGTCACATATTCTTCCAGTGATGTGAGTAAATCATCATTTTCAGTATTTAGAAACTCTAGACTAAATACAAAACATATTCTATTCTGCAATGACTCTAGATCATGTAAGGTTTAACTTCTTACCATATATCTGCAATTATATGGAAGTATGTACTTACATTCAACATTTTGAACCACTATACCTTCCTATACTGCATCATCCAAGTAAAATCCTAAAGAGAATCAAGGACAAAACTTCAATTTTTTCCTAGAGTGACAAGTTGCTACAAGGGAAAAGGAGAAAAAAGAGTATAATTTCTGAAGCATTCAAGCTTATGTTAAATAATAAAGTTATCAACTACTTGTCATTGGGTTATCAATAGTCAAAATGAGGTAAAAGTGTGTAATAATTTCTTTTTATTTTTCATATAGACAAGACTCTAACCATATCCAAAATTTATTTGCAGATTTCTTAATATGAACATTTGGGCTTAGGTCTTTTGGAATGCCAAAAGGACTCGAGATCCTTTTGTTCTTTTAGAGATGAAATTATCTAGTAATAGAAGGACAGAAGAATGTGATAGTGATCCAGTGAAATGGGTTTCTTTGATAAATAGAATACACCATGATTGATGATGGGACAAAAGAAGACAACACCAGCTGACTATGATGCACAACCCCCCAAGATGTCATTTCAACCTTAGTTGTCATGCTCCACAAGTCTCAGACAAGGAAGAGACCTTTATGCTTCATTCAGAAATTTCCAAAAGAATTATACATATTCACTTTTAGTGAGTTCACTTTTCACCCAGCATATAGAAAAACTACTTAACCTTCCACAAAAAGTATGCACTAGCATACATCTGGGGGGAAGGGAGGGTAATAAAGAAAGAAATGGATCTTATTACAAAGTTTACTCTAACCCACTCCAAAGAAAATATGGAGTTGATGATTGAGCAATTTTCAGTAACAATACATCATTGGTGGAACAGAGCACCTTCTTAAAGAGCATCCTCTAGACCAAGGAATGAAAATTCAAAACAAAAAGATTCTACTACTGAGATGCAATTTTGACCCACAGTCATTTCAAGACAACTAGATGCAATATAAGATTTGCCACAATGGTTGTAAAAGCCCCCAATGATTGTTCTCTTCTAATATCTACATAAAACCTTAGCTTTCGGTAGAACAATTCTGCGTGATTGTAACAATAGACCATAAAAAAGCTATATATTTCCTTTTGTCTATGTACGACAATACGCATGTATTGAATTTCTCTCAACCATACCTCCTTCATCCCATGTAAAGTAGCACCAGCCACAGTGATATGCGACAGACCATGTCTCCCATAGTTACTTTGGGGTTTCCTGCTCAAATTTCTCACCAATGGGAGACCTAGAATAGATAGAAAGCTCAATGTATGGGAAATCACCAAAGGTAGAAAACAATAGTTACTGAAATAATAAATAAACAAGTAGCTCAGAAGAAATTATCAGTGGGTTGAGAAAGCAAGCAACGGAAAAGTGGAGAAACTCAGCCTTTCCCAAGGTAGAGCTCCCTTGTGAAGCCCTACTCATCGACAAATGTACCCATGAACTGAGAGAGGAATGTGGTCCAGTGCATAGCAAGAGGAACTCTACTCAAGGAAATCAATCGCAAGAGAAGAAACCCAAATAGTGGCCGGTGACGAGGGAAGGAAAAAATTATAGAGAGATGTGGGGGAACAGTCAAGAAGAACCTTTGATGGAACAATACGACGCAGCGGTGGGGGAGAGGAGCAATGATAAGACGATGATCGCAGGGAGAGGTGAACAGTCGGCCATGCTCAGGGGACACAACTGAGCTGCTGCCGGACCTCTCTGATAAGTCTAGACGACCAAAAATTCTCGTCCAATGATAATAACCCTCTACATAAAAAGCTCTGATCCTCTTCCTCTGAAATTTTCATACTTTCACAAGCAATCAATGGGTTGTTCTCTGCCATTAATATATCTTTCATTCTGGCGGCAAACAACCAGTGTCATACAAAGGATGACTAAGGGTTGAGGAACCAAAAAGAACTATCTTGATCAAAACTTAAAGTGTAAAACTTTTCATTTTGAGAATAACCATACAGGTGGAATTACAATACATCAATTTCGTTATCTTTGTGAGATTTATGACTAATTTTAGATTCAAATAACTCGTGAATTCAATAGCCAATCAAATTAAACTTTGTGAATTTAAACTCTGATTTCTATTTTTTTGGCAACTTTTGATACGTTAAATATAAATACGTGTATCATTTTGAGCATGATGTTTTTGATGTTATTAAGTTAATCAAACAATGTAAATATAATTTAATTTCCAGCATATTTGTCAGCACCTGTGAATCTGTTTCAACAATAACATTTAATAGGTGGAGGTTGTGGCATAATGTTAGTTCATCTACCAAGGCCCAACACTTTGCCTCCATATTGTGATTGCACATGAATAATGAGCTACACAAACGAAGTAAATTTTAGTATTTTGGAAATTATTCAAATGATATTCACCTTGAATTCATGATTTTAACATTTTAAGAGTCATCAACATATTCTGTATTCATTGTAATTTAATTGGATTATTCTTCTCATATATGCGTGATGCCTCGTAGGTAAGATAAATCAAGACACTAAGTATCTTTGCTTAACCCTGCTAATCTTTTTCCAGTGATGCTTAGTGACTTATAGCATGGGTTGACGACATCTCATCAACCTAGAACGCATCCATCTAACCATTGCATGTAGCATTCACGATATAGCTATCTTGGTGGGAGAGAAATCCAACGGCCAAGGAAAAAAAGACTTCTAACAAAGACTCACCCATCCAACCGTTGAAACTAAATTGATGGAAAGACCATATACTTATGGACAAGGGAGACCGGAGGGAAATCTAGCGATCCAATGGTGGATAAATCGTTGAAAGTGGAAAGACTCCGAAACCTTCAAGAGGCTCTCTTGCATGAGAGAAAGGGGAGGACGCCACCCTATACATTTGGGGGGAAATTGTCAATAGGGGGAGCTCTCATTGTAGGAAACACTTTGGTTATTGAATCGACCTAGAGGGGAAAGGGTTTCTAGAGCTCTACATTACATGAATGCAAGTGTGTCAAGACCGGGACTCCTCTCATCTCGCTTGAACAAGGTCTCTCCCACTACTTCAAGTGAACATCTCTTTCTGACATAAATAAGGAAGGAGCAGTGATGCCAAGTTAGCTTCGAGGTGATTGAAATTACTGTTTATCTTATGTTAAATTTTCAATTAGGGAGTTAGAAATCATAATTCGTTTGATTTCTTGTCTCATGTCCTCAAGATCTGAGAAATTCAATATGGAATTCCCTTCTCACTTCCTTGTTTTCAGACAATGACCTCTAGTTTAGTTTTCCTTCTCCCTCCATCCTTCATTAAAACTAAAATAGCATAAATCAATAAGGTGAAATTCCCTAAGGAGAGGACCTAACTTGTTGCTGCCTATGATCATTCTACAAATCAAACTAAAAATAATATTTAACATTTGTGATTGAGAGGATTTAGGATTAAAGACACCTATATAAAATATCACTTATCATATTGATGGCTTGGCCAAGGGATTTGCAAATGCACAAATTAATCTACCTTAGTGATCCCAAATAATTTCCCCTCCCCTCGATCAGCCCGAATTCCCTAATGAGGTGCTGTCAACATTGAGTTTGACAGATCCACCTAGAGGGGGGAGCACCTAACCAGTCCCTAGGCTTTTGTCTCTAGGCTGGGTAGATTCTAAGTTTTTTAAAAATCATTTCCAACACTCAACTGCCCACTCCCCCTAAGAGAATAGATGGAGGAGGCTCTCCTCTTAGGGGTTGGATGGGCAATACTTACATTTAGATGCTGAATGTAAACCACGCCTACTAACATTCTCATCTAGGGGGAGTCTATTTTGGTAGACCCTCCATAGGAAGAACGATATTTTTGCCTTCCTTCAGGGTTTTACCTCCCATTTATTCCTTTTTTTTCTCCCATGCAGACTTCATTGTGAACTGACCATGTGTGGTAAGTATCCAGATGCCTCTTTGTTTCTGTGACACGTCTAAGGTCTGGGGAATGATAAATGCATTCACTATGTTCCTACGCACACCTGCAGCCTCTAGGATACATTCTCAATCCCTTCCCATCAGATGTTGGATCGTAAGGTTATGTCTATTTGTGTGAATTTGATATAGGTCAGCTCCTAGCAAAGGCTCACCCAGCTTCCAAACTAGAGAGGGCCTCGCGCACTTCGGTACACCCCCCCCTTCTTAGTATACTTACTAGCTTATAAGGATCACGAAGAACACTTTAAAAGAATGTATTAGTTTTAGGAGTATCAATTAGAGACATTATAATGATCACCCATCACATCTTAGAAGAAATTATTGTATGTCCTATTACTTATAAAAAGTAAGTAACTTTATTTCAAATGTAGAGCAAATGAATATACATCGTCTACCAAGGCATAAAACGTATCCAATTAGGCAACTAATTCAACCATCTACTTTATCTCCAATCTACTTCAACTTCTTCCATCATACAATATATATCTTCAAATGGATGCATATCTCATGTCTCCACAAGATAAAAAGTAAATCTAAATATTTCAGAAAAACAATTTTCATACTTTAAGCGCATCTATCATTTCTTATATTTTTGTATTTTTGAACAAAAGTATAGAAGATAAACTCTCTTAAAACCTATGTTTAGACTATGTAGCTATTTTTCAATGTCATTGAATATTTTTGTAAATATAGAATTTTTTCACTATGATTATAAGTTTAACTCTGAATATTGTTCAAATTTTATATGAAATTAAAGTTAAACATTAAATTAGAAACATGTTTTTATTGGACTTACATGGGCCATTGAAAGAACCAAGAATATGGATTTAATTGATTTTTTTCATGGAAAATACATAATTAATCTTTCATTAGGGTCTAAAGAGTGAAATCAATTCCTAAGAAGACTCCCTGAACAAGGACATATAGATGCAGAAAATCTTAAAATTGTTCAACTCCACTATCTATTTCATACTTCAAAAATATTCTCACTTGAGTTCATTTAAATATGTTAAGAGTGAAACATTAACATCAAGGAATTAAATTATCATTTAAATTACAATATTAGGAGGGTCAACTAATATTTATTGTTTTGATTCACCATCTTAAATTGAAAATTTTAAAACGTAAATGTCCTCATCACTTATTTTTAAGGGTGCCACCTAGCAGCGCAAGTCCTTACAAGAAAGAAACTAATGAAATGTTGCAACTTCAACCAAAAAGATTTATCTTCATAGATATACCCTACTTGAGTGCTGGAGATTGAGAGATTAGAGTGAAATAAATATTATCTTGAGGATTCAGAAAAAAATTCATTTTAAGTGTTTTTAAATAAATACCAAGGATACTCCTCTTTATGTAGATACCAAAAAAAATAAAATTGAAGGCTTCAAGTGGAATAAACTGACTGTTAACATTATCATATTTTTTGGAGGTAGTAAAAATGTGTCACCATTTCTAGGTATTCTAATCTTAATATATTTATGTAGTATTAACAAATTTCCATTGTAACAATTTTGTTACCATCAAAATGAGAATTATCTTAGTTTTTGAAGTTAACAGTTTTAGAATAAGTTGAGAACCAACTTAGTTTCTCATTTTCTGAATTAGAAATTCAAGACGTGATATGAATAGAATTTTTTGTTGAAATAATTTTACCCCTTGCTTCTTTAAATCATTACTAGTAGCCTTTAAGGGGTTATTTCTAATGTTTTTTTCCTCATGAGTAATTCTCAAACGCAACAAATGAAGAATTTATGTCAACTTTATGGAGTTGAGGCAAAAATATTGACTATATCTCCACACATTGCTGTGCACTTCTCCCTTTCCACTCTTTCCCATGTTGCTGTTGTAACTCTCTCTCTCCCTCTCTCTCTCTCTCTCTTGTGTTGTAACACTAGCACATTAGCATTTTTGTCGTGTTACCAGAAGACAAATCACATAAGAAGTTTGAAAATGGATTTTTTAATTACACTGAAATCGCAGATAGTAGATGGGTGGGTTGGGTCGCCACGGCCCTTGGCCCAGAGGCGGCTCGCTTTTCCGTTGTTTAAGCACCGAGCCCTCTTGCTGTGGGTGCTGCCCGGGCTCTGTCCCTGTGAAACCCTTGTAAAACCTGTGTTGCAGAGCAAATGCACTACTCTACACAGTAGCCGGATCTAAGCCCTCTCTGGGGTCTTCCTTCTCGTCTTGTTTTTCGCGGATTAATTTCACGGCCCATGGCACTGATGCAATGCCAGAGGCTGGTGCCTCGTCTTCTCTATCGGGGCCTGCGCCACAGAGAGACCTCCGTTTCTTCTTTGCTGTAATCTTCTCTTGGCCTGAGCATGATCCCTGTGTTCTCCCGCTTAGTCAGACAATTTAAATTTCTTGGAAGAAAGTACATGTGCTGTGGTTGCTTGGTCGCTGTTTACATTTCATAAGGGGCCGATGCTGAAGGGTTAATTCGGGTTTGTATTAACAGGTGGGGAAACTCTCGAGGCAGTTTGAGTTTTGGCTCCCAAGGTACATTGCTGACTTCTTTTCAGCTCAACTGCATACCATTTCCGTAGATTGACTTTCGAGCTTGTTGGATTAATTCTTCTTTCTCGATCAACGTCAGTTTCATGGACGGGATGCACGTTGGCATTCTCTGTCTGCCAAAGATTCCGAAGCATTGTGACGTGCGCTTATAAGTTGAACAGTAATGTTTCTTCTAGTCATAATGAGTCTGAAGCACTGACCTATGCTTGTATCAGCAAGGTAATTTTTTTGATAATTTTTTGATAATTTTTTTAATCATTTTCCTTGTGGTATTTCTATCTCTTATACAGGATTTCAAATCTTCATTGTTGTAGTTATCTTTTGGTCAGAAAAACGGGCTCACTATAATGTTGAGAGATGTTAGGTCGATGTCAACTCAGGCAAAAATGCCTATGCAAGCACTAAGGCAGGTAACTCACCAAGTTTTTCTAACTTCTATTTTCCTCCGTAAGAATTCTTCAATATCTTAATGAGTTCTTCTGATTTCCTGTCTTCAAATTTTCTTGGATGATGTTCATGGAGCAGCAATGCTTGGACGTTTCCAATGAATTCTTGCATGGATGACACTGTCCCATTATTCTCCTCGAACTAGAAATGTGTGAAAAGTCTTCAGAATTTGCTTTTATTTTGAAGTCTCTACTTTTTTGAAATTTGTGTCTGTCATATTATCTGGATGGTGAATGCTAAATTTATGGGCATTTTCATGCATGTAGAGTTTAAATCTTTTGTATGTGCAGGGGGGTCTGCAAGTAACGATGTTAAGCCCAGGCTTTGTCTATGAGCCTTACAAGCCTCGGGAACCCATCCCTTTTTGGAGAAGGTTAGTTACAAGTTTTATAAATTCTTTCATTCGAGTTTTACGTACTAGGTTCTGGTGTGTGTATCCCAAAGAAATGAAGAAGTTATGAGTTCCTTTTCTTTTAAGGTTTCTGTAAGTTTTATAAGAATCTGTTGCGTCTGTTCTTTTTGTGTGGTTTGCTGTTATATTCTCTTTCTTGTCATACTGACAAACAGTCTGCGATGATTGAAAAAATTGTACATCGACTTGCTTTTTATTGCTTATCTCTTTGTCATAAGTTTATTTCCTTGTTCAACCCCTATCTCCTTTTTAGTAACAAATTAGGTATGGATTCGTACATTCATATTGCTTTCTATTTACTGTCATGTGGTGTTATAACAATTAGCATTTTTAGCCTTTGGCTCCCATCTAGAGAGTTATTTATGAGGAAGTGTCTTGGATAACTCATGCTTGGAACTGTTCATGAGCTACTAAACTTGTCTTGTCATGTTGGAGTTTCCCTTTTTTGTTTGACTTATATTTAATCAGTTTCTTATTTTATCTACTATTTTTAAATTTAATTATGTTCAGACTATTGAGCAAAACCACCTTTTTCATGTTGGAACATCTGAAAATCATGGTATTGATCTTCTCCCCTTTATCTTCTTTCATGAGCTACTAGGTTTTTTGGAATTGACAGATGTGACTAATGAGACACCTAAATCACTCTGTTAGTGAATACAATTTCAGTATATACACAGTACATGTCAGGGTGTCTCATTTATACCTCATAGCTTAAAGTCAGAGGATTTGATTGGGTATTTTCGTACCTAAGAAATTAGGAATCTTAGTTTAGATAATAGGAAAGACTAGATATAAACATCTCTTTTTTTTAGTAGCATGGTATGAATCTTTTTAACTTTTACATATTTACATCGCTTGCAGGATCGTTTCGTGAAAGATCAATTTAATTTTTTTCTTACTTTTATGATTCTGTCTTGAAAGAAAAGTCATGGTCAAAGGGCTTATGCATTACTTGGAATTAATCTAGAGAATGAGGTAAAAGGCAAGTGCAATAAAAGTATTTATGATCTTTTGAAGGGTAGGGAGTAGTTCAAGAGTGAATGAGAGAGCAATCCAAAACACAGTTGCCTTGCGTTTGGTAACCAGTCTGACAAGTCAGAACCAAAGGAAGCCTTTGATATAATATTATGTTGAGGGAGTGAAGTGTTCTTGGAAATCGCTAATAAGTTTTTCATGCCATGTGTGTGATGAAGCTGTGGAGTCTCAGTAATGATTTTGGCTTGAAATAGCGAGGGAAATTTAGTATGAAAAGTGAAGGAGTTTTCTGCTTCAGATGTCTTTGTTCAAAGCGTTGATATTGAAAATTTTGAGTGACTTATTTCTTTTGGATTTCTTTTTGTGGACTTAGTTCAGTGTATGCCTTCTTCTTACTTGACTCTAGTGTACTCTTTGAAATGTTAAGATCACAAGGTTCTGTACAGATGTAAAATCATTGTACCATTCATCAAATTTCATGCTTTGAAGTGCCACTGTTTAGCTAAATTGAATCATGGGTTCATGAATTCATTTGTTGAATTCAGATGTAATGCAATTGTTGTAGGTTGAAATAATTTTTTCATGTATATTCAGATGTGCTTGGATGCCCTTTGAGATTGTATTCAAATTTAATGTACAGTGTTGTTTTCCTCTTCCTTTTTTATCCTTATATGAATATACAAGGTGGTTCACCCCAAGTGGTTGGAGAAGAACGAAGGAGGATATGATAATGGAGGTACTTTCACAACCTCCTCTCTTATTTTACATGCATATTTTGTTCTGGGTTCATTAAAAAAAACTATTGTAACTTTATGGTTTATCTGATGTACTTTCTATACATTGAAAATGTTATGGTAAACATGTCTATCATAAAAACTATCATTGACAAATATTTGACCTCAAAGCTGTTGTGAATTTACTCACTTTAGATGAGCATATTACTCCAACTTATCATTTATATATTTCTACAAAACACCTTATGGGGTTGGAGGCTATGATGAGAGAAAAGTTCTAGCTCTAGATTCAATGAAGATTTCTTCTCTTTACTACCCCCATCCAAATGCCCAGCGTATTTGTATGATGCTGCACGAGCTTATTAACAACGATTATTGTTGCTTAATTTTCACTGTATATCTTCAATGGAGATTGAATCCTAATCCTAATATTTTGGAGAAGCATTCGATGCCACAATAGCTTTGTCAGAGAATGTTGTCCCATGATCCTTTACATCATTTGATTTTTGATAAGATATGTGCAGTATTCTATAGCTGATTTTCTATCATTATGACATGTAGCCCAGTGAACATTCGGATACCTCCCAACCGGCAAATTGTAAGTGGTATTGTATACCTTGTCGTGGTCTTCACCTAATATAAGGAAGGATCCTCTCAATAACCTCATATTAGGAATTCCTTGTGCATCATATGATGACAATATAAGTTATGCTTGCCTTGGTCGAAGACATGCACAAACACTTACCCACCAAGCTTTAATATTTTCTTTTGTCAACATCAGAGAGGCTTTCCTGTGATGACTATGTGACCAACATAAATATTATATTTGCGAATTTTCTCATATCTCTGCTCTAGAAATAAGCTGTGATCATTGTTACTTTGTTTTTAGCTAAATTGACTGGAACAATCTTGAGTCCATCAAACCATGCCTATGAAGGTTATTTTAAGCCATACAAGCGTCTCTTTGAGACAGAAACTTTACCAAAAGTTGCGTTTTTGAAGATTACATTGTGCTAACTTCTTCTTTAAGATCTCCATTTGAATTGACACTTGTTACTCCTGTTGATTGAACGATTAGAAGAACTCTAGATTATGTCTAGGGGCGTGAGATGTTCAGTTCATAGGGTTTTAAAACCCTTCTCATTCTGCATGGGGAAAAAGTGGGTTAAATGGCTATGCAAAGTGGACGTCTGTATCAATTTTGGACCTTGCATATCATGGTAAGACGGTTTTATAGGTGATTATATGCACCTTTGTTTACTTTTGGTAATGAAAGAATTTCTTGGTCCTGTCAATATGAAAAAAATATAGCTGTTTTCATATGTACTAGATCGGATTATTTATCATCATTACTTTATGAACACAGTACTATCAGTTTTCAAAACAGATTTGTGAAATGTAATTAGACACTGCGACCAAATGATTATTCTCGTGGGTATGTCTTTTTGGTAGCAATACGCAGATGACTATGTTATTTGACTGAATATAGAATGGACTTCGGAGTGTTATGTATCAAAGGAATCATTGATGATGAGGTTGTACGAGTAGTCTGAACGTTAGTAAGATAGCTCCATAACATTGATGAGGGTGTCCTGTAAATTGTTTTCCTATAAATGGGTTGCTGAGGATGCCTTCAATGAGTGCTTCCCTTTGGTCTTATCTTCCTTATCTACTGTCTTTCCTTTCTCACTTTTTCTTCTTCCTTCTGAAAACAAAAGTAACGAGGGACTACTAGGAAATCTCTTGATGTCTGATATAAATGGCTATCATATATAAAAGTCTAAAGTTGAGAACTGTTACCGACAATTTGTTCATATGTTTAATGTACGCAGCTCAAGAACGCTTATACTGTTGCACGTCTGCGGAAAAAAACTGGGTATTCGAGGAAGGAATTCTACCAAGAGGCGCTCAAACTATACAAGGAGGTCGTCTTTATTTAATTCTGGCTTTTGAACATTATTTAGAGAAACAGAATTTGTAAGCCGTATAATTTTTTTATTTTGCAAGCCGTCTTTATTTTTTATCAAGAGGCGCTCAAACAGAATTTAATTGCATTTTTCTCCTGAGAAATTTGATTAGCGATTCTTTCAAATTTAAGACACCACCCCAGGTGACACATTACCCTTCTGTTCAGCGGTTCTAAACAACTGTCAGTGCTGCAAAGCATTACACAGCACTTGTTCCAGGGGAAGTACCTATTTTTTGAACATGACAAGCTAAAAATTATATATTTGCAAATCTGACAATCAGAACAGAGATGTAAAACTGTCAAACACTCAGAAGTATCGTTATGCCTCTTGACATTCATGGTGGCTTTAACTTGTAATTCACCTGATCTGTGGAGGTTATTCTCGAGAATTTTTAGCTCTCTTCCACTGATTTTTTCCGTCGACTGATCCTCAAGCCTTCTTTATCACTACTTTGTTCTCAACACCAGACTAATAGCAGTTCCTATGCCCTTGCCTTGAATGTCATTCTATGGTTCTGCATCTGGAACTAGTTTTCACATTTGGCTATTCATCTACAGTACTTGAATTGCATTTTTTTATCAATTACAATACTCCTCTTTCTGTATGTCAACATGGGTACTGCTGCAGGGCTCCCGACAGGAAATGTATGTGACACTCGAACCACCTTATCTCTGAGAGCCGTGCATTACGAACGAGACCTGTCTGCCAATCTATGACTTAATCAAGTACTTTCTCAGATAAGCCCTAGTGACTGAAAAAAGTTGTTCTAGATGTTACCGGATGCAAACACTGACTAGATAGTAAATGGAGCATTGTCTCCCTGTTGGCATATCCTTTAATCTTCCCAACCCTGGAATAATTCGCTTGCATATGTATGTGTATTTTTGGGGTCACTTTGTTACACTTTTGATGTGAGATATCCACCTTTACATCCGCGTCCACAACTTCAGTTCCAATGCCCTTCACAAATGAGCATCTCCTGGACATTCTTTTCAACAATATACGATTCTTCCCTTGATCCTAGTCATTTGAATGCTGAATTTTTTTCGCAGCAATAATCAACCCAACCCCCTCCCCCATCCAAAATAAAGGAGAAGAGAACGTATCCCGGCCATGAGGCTCTTTTTGGTGGTAGAGTGACGGAGTTTCGAGACCTTTCCCAAGATATCTAGTACAATGTTGGGCTTAGCTTCTTCTCTCTATAGGCTTTGAGATCCTTGTCCATTTGACCAGTTATGCATGGATATTCTCTACTAGAAATTCCTCTATAACATGTATTTTAATTTTATACCTTTTAGTCCAGACTTTATGTACTCTACTCTGATGAATCCGGTATGTTACAGTGTAACCTAATCCGGTAAAATATCCGATGAATCCAGACTTTTTGGTTTTTCTTCAAAAAAGTATGCTTAAGAGCACTATCATTTGCTCTATATGTTACAGTCTTCCTTTCGAGATGGATGATGACTATTTCTTTTTCTTTTGCACTGCAACACCCAAGAGGCCATGAGCTCTCCTCTATATCACGTCAGACTGACCTGACATCTGTGTTGATATCAGGCAGCATGGTCAATTGTTATGGCAATAACCAGTCCCTGCGAGGCAGCCAGCCATTTCAGTAGTCCTTTAGTTTATTGTCGATAAGTTTTAAAATTATTTTCCAGTTATTTTTTCAGTTGTAGTCAGAGTAAAATTTTATTTTTCTAGCTAATTGCAAAATGGTAATCGTTTAACTGATAATTGATAATGGGATACTTCAGAAACTCTTAATCTGTTCTATGTAATCAAGATATGGACAATATTCTAATATTATATCAGTGCATGATATTGGACATTAGAGAATCTTTTTCATATAACCAGTTCGACTCCCAGCATTTTTTTAAATGACCAATCGTATGGAAGAAAGTCGTGTAGAACTAATCAAGTAAATAGGCACGTTTAATGCTAACTATGTATGGATTTCTCCTTTAGGAAGAAGTAGCCCAACATAAGCATCTTATCATAGTGCGATGATTGGGCAAGTTTTTTTGTTTTGGAGGATTGTATAGCGAAAATTATCGATGTGATGTCCTGCACTGAGCCACATCATTTATCCCCGTCTTAAGTCCCTGCCCTGAGTACCTGCATGAAAGAACAAGTGAACTGACCAGGGGAAGGCTTCCAGCCTTCTCCAATGAATGGCGAACATAAAAGATGGCATCTTTCATGTTTCATGCTTAATCTATTTAAGAAGAGTTAAAGTCATCTGCACAAGTGGGGGAAGATTCCGTCTCTCCGTCACCACCAATTAGACTGCTCTTGAAATCTTTGGCCAAAGTTTACCTCAAAGACTGACCAATTCAGAAAACAAGGCCTTACTTCATTGCATGAATCACAGTCACTTTCCTTTTCAACCATTATGCTTTCTACAATATTTACAAATTATGAGATGTATGAATACAACTAACTAATATCGTCTCTTAGAGCGTGTCTCACTGGTGAATTAGTGCTAGATGTGCCTTCAGTAAAATTGGTCATTTAATTGTGTCTCCGTACAGCTTTATACATTTCTTATAAGTTCTAATAGATACATTTATATTGCCCTGACCTTTAACGTTCTTGGCTAGTGATCAAATTATATGCGGGTGTCATCAGATCTTGGTGTCTGGTAGTCATAGTTTATTTAATTTTTCTATGCACTTGAATGGTTCCTGTTTCTGATACATTAATCTGTAAGAGAAGCTGCTGCATTTGAACAGCAACACACTATAATCTCTTAAATTCTAAATTCTTGCATTTTTCCTGCTGATAATCTTAAATCAGAGGAGCAACTGTATTCTCTAGTATTGCTGCTTTATTGTGTCTACTAGACTGGAGATTTTGCTGAAATTGTAAATGCCTTGATTTTTCTATTAGGTAAGTCTGTCATCATCCTTGTCACAACAATCTTGGAACTGCTTGTGTTGTTTGTGATGACTGCCAACTTGAAATTACCTCAAGCTTTTTACAAACGACGTGGTTGCTTTAGCAGTTTTAAGATTATAGTGTTCGAATTGGGTTTACCTAAATTGGAGGAGTGTGATTTTCAGCTCAATTTTAACTAGAATTGAGTTGGTTCTGAATACATTTTGGCATATTCCATGGCTTGTGAATATCAACCATACCGAACACTATTGTCTGCCATGTTTCAGATTAACATTCAGTTGGCATCTGGAGATAAAGCATCATTACGCAAGTTAGTGACAGAGAATATGTTTTCCGTAAGACCTGTTTCATTTTCTGTTTTTGGTTCCTACTTTTGGCCTGCACTCAAACTTATGAAATATCACTGTGAGACATTTTCATGAGCATAAAAGCTTCTAGGTTAATTGATGGGTGAACTTGTTGATGTCCTGATTTAAATTCATGTTCTTTTTATGGAATGAATGGATAGGCCTTCAAGAATGATCTCAAACGAAGAGAGTCCTCGTGGAAGTCTGTTTACTGGGAATTGGTTGAACCTGCTGTCAGAATAAGAACTCTACGTGCACGAATGGTATGGTTTAATACTTTTGTTTTTATTCTTTTGGCAATAATTTTTCAGTGCATTTTTAATTTTATTATGGTTGTTTTAATCATCATCAAAACGGGCTGCGCTTTTTCTTATCTTGTTATTTCTTTCTCAATTTTTAGGATTTATGATGGATTTATATTTTATTTTCTTTATTTTTCAGATTGGTGTTGATAAGAATGATTTGGATAAAGCATTTGTTCAACTTACACTAGAGTTCCTAACCAAACAGGTGATGTATTGTGCATTTGTTCTTTTAGGTGTCTAAAAACTGAGTGCTCATTTTTGTATAAATGCCAAAAAAAATTATTGAACAAATGATTTTGGAGATCTCTCTGTATAAATGCCAAAGATCTCTCTGTACTTTGGAGACAATAGGCATACACTTCTTTAAATGATTGATGGATCTTTTGATGTATGCTTATTCTTACTATCTTCAATGCTAGAAAATTATGCTTCGTTTTTAAATTATCCTTCAGCCTAGAATTTCTATTTATAATTTGGGGAATCTCTGAAAGTGATCAATGCATGTTGCAGACCAGCAAAGAAGAATAATTGGAATTTTGTGATGTTGAGATCTTAAAATGACTTTACAACTTGAAACTATAAAGTGTACTCCATTGAAAATCCATCTCCATGTTTATCTGGTTGTGCCTATAAATTTGGGATGATATAAACTTGAATAAAACGATCTGTACTGAATTATCACGTACTGTCAACTGATAGCAATTAGTTCTAGTCCCTATCTTGATTTATTTATATTAAGGACTTGTTTAGCTCGTTTAGACATAGGCCAGAAGAATTGAATAAGCTTTGTTGTTGTACTGATGATGTAAAAGACAGGAAGATTAATCATCATCCTAGAAAATTAATACTTTTCCCTGAACCTATACCATCCACTAGACCTTTTCTCATCTCTTTATTCGCTTATTTTACGTTGCTGATCACGATTGTACTATCTCCCTCTAGCATTACCATTTTGGTAATCATTGCTGCCATACATACCCAAAGTAAGATGGTGCATGCTAATGTCTAGAATGGAAGGTGGAATATTGTGATAGTCTAAATTATGTGATAAATAGTCGTGTCAAGTATTTAAATACTTGAGAGTTAACACGACAAAGATTCTTGGTTGCTGCTAAAGCATGCTTTTCCTTGACTTCTTTAAGACAAATGCGTGTTTGAGACATTGCAAATTTTAACATAAAACGACAATTAAAAAATATTCGTATTGTTTTTACTGAAAATTTATGAAATAATGGAAACAGTTCATGGTGTGAAGGCAGAGACTTGAGAAAGTGAGAATTTCAAGAAGAAGCCTAGTAAGATTAAGCAATTTGGTTCCCAGAGCCCTAGCCTCCAGAACCTGTCAACTTATTTGTGTCATTGAATCTTTGAAATTTAGTTTTACATTTACTGATTTCTTTTTGTTCTAGTCTATCAGAAAATTGTCGTGTCATTTATCATAGTTTTGGTATTCTTAATGCCCTTGTTTGGTTTCTAGAGAAATTCAATTTTCATCAAATAGTTGACTGTTCGATTTCTAATGGTTTTTGATCCTTGTGCTATGCTAACTCAGAAGTTTGAAGCATATGATTCAAACGGCAATATTGTTGGTGGTGACAAAACAAAAGAGGTGTGTGAAATCTTTTTCAGAGTTCATTGTGAGCACAATTTTTTTCTTCCGAAGAAAATGGATTATAATTTGTGCATGTCTGAAAATGCAACCTGTTACGTGTCTTTAGATTTCCCCTGGTCCGGATGGAAAACTGATACCACCTTTGATTGAATTGTGCTGGTTGGTATCACTTCCAGTTGTAGAGTATATTCAAGTGTTGATACACATCAATAATTTCATGAGGAATTTGTTTGTCACGGAGTTTGCATAATTCACGAAATTTACACCTAGGTTCATTTGCATTTACAGAAAAAGAAAGTATTCACGATCGTATTTAGAAGAGTCAAATATGAATTGTAGATAAAAAATTGAAGGAAATGGAGTTGAGTCAGAATTATTTTTTCTTATCCATTTGAATAAGGATGAAATGTAGTGGAAGATGGTTCTCGCACACAAATCATTATTTCCATCTGTTTTTCCCCTTGTGGATCCAAGGAACCCCTCATGGATTGTGGGATACTCTTTTCCACGCCTTCTTGGATCCAGGGAACCTATTGGGGATTCAAGGGACTCTATTTTTATCCTTGTGGATTCAAGGAACACCACTTTCATTCCTTGTAGCTCTAAGAATTTTAGATTTCCTTCTTCGTGGATTTAAGGCTCAGTTTTCCTCCATAGCTTGTGGTACATTAAGTTGAATCAGGGCAATGTCTTGAATCCAAGGCTTGCCTTGGTAAAGATGTCTCACATTTGTTAAGGGCCAGCTTGCTGGCATCATAATTTGTGAACCAGAAGCTCTATGGAGAGCTAATTGTATGGCTTTCAAAACAGTGTCACTCAGAATTTATACAACTCACATCATAACCTGTGAGAGCGGCTGCTGAGGATTATCGCATTGGAGCCTAAGTGCAACTTTGACATAGTGACAAGATGTTTGCTTGACGATCACAACACTCATCCACCACACGTGAGGAAATTTTTGTAGAGATTGGACGACCTTTTAGTATTTGAAGATTCAAAGGAAAGTAGGCTAAGCTTTTTGCAGATAAGTTGAAGGGTGACAGATCAACATTATAAGAGCAGGTCATGGCAACCTGCGAAAGAGCCAGAAAGTGCCAGGATATACCCGGTTGAGAATAGAGAAATTTCTAAAGTCTAACTTGCTTTCTCAACTTAATTTATCCACCAACAGATGACACTTGTGGATTGGTTCTGATGAGGAATAACCTTTCAAGAAATGAGGAAGTCTCAAAAAGTGCTTCTCAAAAACTTGCTTTAGCCAATTTCGCTTGTATATTTCTCTTTCCTAAGGGATATTTTCTTTTGGCTTTCGTTGTTAGCAAAGCCTATTAGTTAGGAGTCCTAAAGCTAATTTATCTAGTTAAGCTAGGACGAAATGTGGAGGGACATGGTTTTTCAACCTAAAAAATGTAGTGTAATCTCTTCTCTCTCCTTGTATATTCTGATAGAACCCTTTTCGATTTAAGGGCTCCCTCTTTGTTGATCATTCTTGACTAAGGAGCCAAATTTTGTTCCTGGTACATTCATATTTCGATCTTTCACCTTGATCTCTGTTTTGCAAGAACGTTTCTCATTTTTTCTTATATTTAAGACGAGTATCAACTTTACAAGTTATGGTTAATTGCTGATAATATCGTCAAGTATAAAAAAAATGCAGAGCAACTTCTTACAAAGGCTGGTTGAATGGTGTCATTTAATAATGCAGGAACGCTTTGAATAAAAAGGTAGAATCCGGACAACTAGGAACGCTTCAACCATTCATATAGTTCGGCCTGTTTGAACAGCCCCCTAGTTCCTGTAAATTTTGGAAGGATCTGGAGAAAAACGGCAATGACGAAACTTGGTAAGGGGAGTCATCTTCGCACTACTAGTGACAATGACTGTGAGCTTAACTGTAACAAGAATTGATCATTCGGTTTTGGACAATTTGCAGTGTCTTGATTGCTTTGTTGACTCCATATGATATTTCATCCAGAGGGATAAGAACAAGGTTATGGATTTGTAAAGTTGTGTGACCATGTTGACTCCACGATCATGCTTGAGCTGCTGTCATCGTCCATATGAGTTGTCCCTTTGATCTGTTCTCACCTAGATTAGTTAGGGGATTGAAGAACCTAGGAAGGGTTTTTTCATTTACCAAAATGATGAAAAAATGTTAGATCTATGAAAAGTTTCAGCGACATAGGCATCACGCTATGTGGTTCTGTTGATGCCATCATTGATATGCTCCTTATTTCCACAATGTGATGTCGGCAAAAATAATAGAAAAATTCAAGGGTTTGGCTTAAGCTTTTAAACCAGCTGCATGCGTGGTCAACCTCTGCGAGATAACTTTCTATTAGCCGAATATTTGGCAACATTCAGTGGTTTATGGCTTGTCCATGAAGAGCAGTAGAGGGGACATGTTCTCAGTGGGTTTGTCTTTTTTTCATAATGCTTCAAGGTTGTTTCTTTATTTCGCTCTAGGTAAATTGAGTCACTTGAGCTCCAAATATTTGGCATATAAGTTTTAATGACCTGACTGAAGCATGAGGTGAATAGTGGATGCATATTCCATCTACTATGAGAAATTAATTGCTTTCAGTTTCATCTCTTGGTTCCTGAAACCGTCATAGACATCTATTATTCCATTATTTTGCTGCTCCAAACTTCTTTTTTCCTCTTTTTTCAATCTCTCGTGGTCCAAATTCCATTCGTTTGTACATGAAATGAAATCTCATGTTGGATTGGATACTTTTTTTCATTTGATGGCGTGGACTGGCTAGGATCAAAATTTTCAAGCTGTACAAACAATAAAGCTAGGAAGGCATGGCATGCTTTTATTCCTGAAATGTTCCATGCAGGGGGATGGTGTGGGGGGGGGAATGTAGGATTGGCATACCACACCATCTGTGGCTAACCAAATCTGTACAAGCCTCCCCAAAAATTTCCACCGCCCTGTTCCTTGTTGCCCTGATGTCTTGTCCAGTCATTCACCATAACTACTGTAAGAATACTGTTATTTACAATATGCAACGAATAAAATTATATAAACATTGCAGTATGGTTTGACAAACCTTGATGAGTTATGGCTTTACTTGCTGGTAATGCTGCATTTTTTTTCCATAAAAGGCATATTTTCAGTCATTTTTCTATGCAAAACTTCTGCAAGTGTCTGGGATGTTGCATATTGTTTCGTTCCGCCCAGTGAATATCAAATAGAACGTTGTCCATCACTTTAGGATATTGCCTATTTGACTGAGATATCTCCTCTTCACACACAGGTTCTTGTGCGTGACATCTGGGTTTTGGAGAGGTCTCTTTTCCACCCTGGATCATATTGGCGACTCTGTTCAAGGATATCGTTGTAGCCTCTGCCTGTGCGAGCTCTTCTTTCTCAAATAGGCAAAGTGTAGGCTTTTTTGTTCCCTTTTCTCTCTCTATTTCATCCGAGTTGAACACAGAATAGAATAACGAAGTGTAACTTCACAATGGTCTTCAGTCACTGGGGAGAAGGAGCTGGTGATCTATCGGCTCAATATTTCCATGTTAGGAATGCTCTTCCCAGATGTTTTTTCTTAGTCAACCCCCTTCCTTTAATCTTCTCTTCATTGGAAGTTCCTGGCAGATCTCTCACTCGTCTATGCTACATCTCCTGTGCACCTCTGCACCAGCGCCGACAGTCCAAACTCTCGTAAGGTATGAGCAGCCACTGTGTAGCCCGGTTTCACTAACTGTATGACTTTCCTTTTGAAGTTCCGTTGACCTTGAGCATGGTTTCACTAACTGTATGACTTTCTCTTGCAAGTTCGGTAGCAGCTACATGCCCCATGCAGATTATGAACGTCTATTTTGAATTAATACTCTTTTAAGTAATGCCTATAATTGGCATTTTTGTCAGATAAGCACAGATCACGTTGACGAGCTGAGATGTAAAGTTGTTTTGTCTCGCATGAAAATATCTGCCTAGTTTGTGAAAATAATGGTTCTATCAATGTATAATATTGTAATGACGGAACTCGCGTAAATTAACATATAAAAATAGATAAATTTCTACAGTGAATATCGGTTTAAATATTTAAAGAGAAAAGAGTAGGGACTATCCTCCGATAAATAACGTGGCTATGGCTTGATTGCCAACGTGGCAGTCCTACTCTTCTCTTTATACAGATATTCAGAGTCACATGGCTACGACGGTCACTGGGCGGGTTACTATGCCCTGATATGCGACGTGGCTATCGTTCCATTGCCCACGTGGCAGTCCCTTCCTTTCTGTTTAATTATTTAAACTGATATTCAGAGTCAGAGAGTGGGCTAGACGCTCACTAGCCGGCCCATTATGCTCTTTCCCGTTTCGGCCTGGTAACATGATATACGACGGCAGGACGTCCGAGAACGGCATAGAAAAGCGGTCATATTTTATCGGGAGGAAGGAGGAGGCAACGGTCTGATACCGGTTCGGACCGGTTCGGTGAGTACCGATGGACCTTGGACTTCTCTAAAAAGGAAACGGAGGGAATAGCCTCCTCTCCCTAGGGATTACAGTCTCTGCGGAAGGAGGCGATCGAGCAGGTCGATTCCTGCTCCCCCGGACAATCACAGAGTCGGCGTTGCGGGTGCTTCGTTTGGAATCGAAGATGAAGACCACCAAAGGAGGGAAGGTGATGAACCCCACCGACGCCTACCGGAAGGAGCTCCGCAAGAAGGAGCTCAAGAGGGTACGCTCCTCTTGCTCGCTTACTCTTTTATTTGTGCGTATATTTGTTTTACTTTGGACGCTGGGACGATCCCGGGCATGTGGCTCTTTGATTTTGCGTTACCGCGTGGTATTTGGGCCGACAGTATTCATATTTTAGTTTTATTTTTTCTAAAAGATACTTGGATAGTTCTGGTGTTTCAGTCGACCAGAGATATCACCTCAGCTAATTTGGGAATCGAGATTTTAGTTCAATGCGGCGAGTCTGAGAGCCATACATGGATTATTTCCTTTTATTGGGTCGAATTTGAAGCAATGCATGCATGACAAGATATATACCATCGAGGATTCTGACACCGATAAAGGATTAGGTCATAGATCAATACAAAAAGAGTTTACTGCTCAAGATTAAAATGCATTGAACCTAGGAGGTGGTAGGTCAGTGGTCATACTATCAATCTATCATTGACGCGCATGCTTGCACTGTCTTATTGTGCCATACAATTAATATGTTTTCCGTCACGCCTCCTGTCACCACGATTGATGAGTAATCATCAAAGGCGTTTGGGTTTTTATTGGCCAAAAGATGCATAGCTTTATCAAAACTGAAACCTAGACCTATCGTGTAGTATAATCCTAGTTTTAGTCCCGATTGGCTATGTTGGACCCTTCTTTAGGTCGGTGTTTTGTTTGGCCTTTTAACATTTTTATTTGATCCATTGGATAACAGAACATTCGTTCAGGTCCAAATTAGACCGTCGTTCATTTCATCTGGTATCAAGTCAATTCGAGTTTTCATGATGTTGAATGATTTTAACAAGCTTCAAACTAGGACAATGTATTGAGTCCTGGATTTTCCCCGCTTCGAATTGTTTTGAGTTGCACGGTTATTGCTAAACTTGGTGTTGGGTGGAGATCTTATTGAACCTTTGGTTCGTATTTATGAAAAGAATATTTTAAAGTATTATCCGATTAATGGAGCCCAAATGTCAGTCATGCAAGACAGGACTCCCCCACTACCCCCCTCCCCAAAAAAAAACAGAATCACATGCTTTCTTGCATTGCTATTAGACATCTTTTTGCTGGATATATTTTAAATATGCAGTTATCCCTTTCTTGATTTTGTGGGCACCATTCATTCTATGAAAACTATAAAAGTAGAATGTTTGCCAACATATTGATGACGACAGTAGGTGATTACAAATGCCTTTATTTTGAAGATTAAAAGAACCATAGAAGCTGTATAAATTTTCTTATTCAATATGCACGCGTGGTGACACTTTCACTTACTTATTTATTCAGTCTCTTCATATCTCACTTTATCATATTTGCATTGTCCAACATGTGCCCATGTCGATTCAATGTTTGCACTTCTTCTAATGATCTAAGAAGTTTTTTATCAAGAATTTTTATACCGGTCATTTTTAAGATTCTATTTGCGAGTATCAGACCTGATTTGCATGTCATTCGTAGATACTTACTGGTATCGTACTGAAATATTTCTTTTCATCTTTCCTCTGTGTTGTTGACAGAACAAAAAAGAAAGGAAGAAGGTCCGGGAGGTTGGCATTCTAAAGAAGGATCCTGAGGCCATCAAGGACCAGATTCAAAAATTGGAAATGATGAGTAAGTGAGATGTGAGAAATGTGAGAAAATTGGAAAATTGATCCCCTTAGCTCATGCTATATAGTCCCTTCCCTATGAAACCTGAGAAATCATATGTTGTATTATTAGGTCTTCTTTGAAATACCATTAGCTTGGAATCCTTGCTAACTAAGAGGCAAGCATCCCCTTAACCCATGCTCTGGAGTCCCCTCCGTATAATAATCATTTTATGACCAAAGACTGATAGCGATACATACATTTTATCATGAAAATCATCATTCCTGTATCTGCATTAATATATTTATGATTTCTTTAGTGGTTTGATAGTATAGTAGAGGTCATTTATATAATATCTCAATTTGATATGTCGTTCAAGCCACCTTTTGAGAAATGCTTATAGCTTTTAACGCATACTATCCTGTGAGCTCTGTAAGCTGTTCAAACTCTGAAACCGTTGAGTATCCTACACCAAGGTGGTGTAGGGCACACAAGAAACTCAAGCACCCGAAGACAGTAGAATCAGCTCCTTCCTCATTCCTAGTGAATCTACGTTTCTTCATGTCCAAATATCCCAGAGTATTGCACGAGAAGGATAAGCTACCTCATCCTAACGCTATGATCCCCATTCTGTCATATATCCCAGTTCAGTTTGTTATCTTAAAATGGGTGTGTTGTAACAGAAGTCAGGGGAGAACGGAAAACACTTTGAATCCACGAGGGAGACTGGGACAAATATAGTGGCGAAATTTTCTATCTGCTACACAGCATATCTCTTTGAACCGGCAGACGGGTTGATTTAGTTCCTAATAGGTAGGATCTGATCAGGAATCTACCAGAAGATGTCAGTTCTGAAAAAAAGAAAGAAACAGTTACTAGACCTAACAAATGGCAATGCGTTTTGGACCTAGATAAAGAGTATTTGGGTATTCCATGCTTTACCCTTTTAGGCCTTCATTACTTCTTGTAACTTTGTTCTGCATCGAGGTGAGAATGGATGTCATCAGAGGATCATTGTTAATGCCGCTGTCTGGACAATTACACTATTTGGATAAGTATACACAAACGAGAATTTTTTGGTGATAATCTCTTTTTCTCACGTTTTGTTTTTTTTTTTATGTGGCTCCTTTGTTGTGCATTTGTGAAGCAGGCCTCTGGCATCTGAAATGGCCTTTAACTATTATATGTACCTATTGGTTTTTCTTATATGAGAATTTCGTCAAGCAATCTTGGTAGTCATGAGATAGCTAACATGGCATTTACTGCTGCAGAGGCAGATGGTGCTCTGGATAAAGCAAGAAAACATAAGAAAAGACAGCTTGAGGACACTTTAAATTTAGTTATGAAGAAGAGGAAGGTACTTGTATTTTCCAAACATATGACTCATGATATTAGCTATTGGTGACCCAGCGATCCATTTTTCAAAAGAGCCTCCGTGTTTCTTCTCTGATGGTTTGTGATAACCTTATTAAGTGATTACCTATTTATTTATGTATTGGATATTTCTGATGTGCTTTCTTTAATGTTGAAAGATATTGTACTTTGATTGTGTAAATCAAGACTGGATTGGATTACGTATCATCATGTATAAAATTTGGCTACTGTGATCTTGACGTGATTGTAAAATAAATGGAGAGAATTAACTATGTTTCTGACGTGCCCCCTTGGGTTGTCATGTGATAGAGAGATGCCTGACAAAAGGTTTGGGTAGGAATTCTGCCCTAATTCCTTTTGTTCTATTATATATAAATATAACACTTGTTTACATAAGTCAACTTACGAGACAGGGTTTCTTTTAGATTATGCACATGTTATTATCCTAAGTGAGTAATGGAGCTTCTGTTTTAAGACTCACATGAATAAATGATTTCAGACTCTACTATGTACTTTAGTATGTGTAACTTGTAATATGTCTGGTTCTGACGAACAATGCCAGTGGTATTAAACATGATACCTGTAGCTTTGGTTTTTTTAAACGTGAATAGAACCACATAATCATTAAATAACACCAAGAAACAGCGGATGCGACTCACTGTTTTATGAGCCCTCAAAAATTTGGTAGATGAGCTGTGTACGGCATTGAGATGGTGGGCACTTGCGTGCAACCTCAAATACCTAAAATAACATATTCATATCATGCTCTCTCATCATATAGAGTCTTGCCTACACTTCTAAATTTGCTGTTGGACAGGAATATGAAGAGAAGGCACGGGAGAAGGGCGAAACATCTGTGATGTTCAGGTAATGTTGCTCGATGAGCCGCATGTTACTTTCATATCATGGGAAATGGATTTTATTCTTCTCTCATTGGGCCACGTCATGCTCACTTTCCAGCCACCTGGGTCCCCCACGTAGACTAACAACAGCAGAAGAGGAGGAGAAGGTCAAACATCCCCAGCCAGAGGTACTTTGAATATGAAGCCATGAGAGAAATCCCAGAGATGGGACTTGTCCTGGACACCTGGTGACACATAGCTTTGAATGTTTTATTGAATTCAGGACTCTGTTTACTACCATCCCACGCTAAACCCCACGGGAGCCCCACCTCCTGGAAAACCACCAATGTACAAATCTTCATTAGGTAGGAACATGAATTCTTTCATCCAACTTTGTTGATATTTCTACTTCTGTAATTTATTCATAGTATTTGTATGTTCGGTGTGGATTCTGCCCATCAGGACCTGAGATTCCCTCGTCTTCAAGTGCTGCGGCGTCAACTTCAAATCCAGAATCAGAAGAAATGCCTCTAGCTGCTCCTCCTCCGCCTCCACCACCACCACCACTGCCGGATTCTGGCCTTACATCTGCTGATGATTCTGATTTTCCTCTGTCTATGCCTCCACCTCCACCTCCACCTCCCCCAACTCAACCAAAACTCTCCCGCGATTCGAGCTTGTCATTACCTCCACATCTGATACCTCCACCACCTCCGGGCCCGCCACCAAAAGAAAGTCTTGGGATTCGCCCAATGATGCCTCCGCTTCCTCCACCACCTGTTCAACCACCTACACAGTCTGCACAAGATGAAGAGGATGAAGAAGACGCTGAAAGTAAAAATCTAGGAGGATCTGGTGAGGTAAGTTCCTTTCTATGGACTTCTCGTCACCTACTGTCTTTGCATCTTTTCTGAATATTTTTGGTATGCGCAATTATTTGCAATAATCTGCTCTAAAACCTCATCTATATCTTTGGTATATTTCTCATTAAATTTATTAAAACTTGACCCAAAAAATGATATTTCTCATTAAATTTCTCATCTATATACTTTAGCTCCTGAGATTGTCCAATCAGCGCAGACATCATAAATTTCTCTATTTATTTATTTTTATTATTATTTTGCAGGTTGTAAAGATACCTCCTCCGCCTCCACCTCCTGGATTGCCACCTAAGCAGACAAGCCATCAGTCCATGACTATGAACCCTGAATCCATTGCCGGAGCCATTTTGGACACAAACAATCTCCCCAAGATGGTTCTGCCACCACCGCCGAGGCAGCCTCCGCCAGGTCCCATTAGGTTTCCCTTGCAGCCGGATGTGCTACCACCCGGCGTTTCTCATATTCCCTCTGCAGCACCGCTCTTGGATATGAGCAGGCCACCTCTGCCACCTCTCCATGGACACCCGGGTCAACCTTTTCCCCCTGGAATCATGACCCCGCTGTTACCAAGGCCACCTTTCCCCGCAGGGCATGGCCTTCCCCCCATGTTCAGGCCACCAGTTCCCCCCGGCCATCCTTTCCCTCAAGAAGATGAGATGTTCTTGAAGCCACAGAAGCCCTCTTATGTCAAGTCAGCCGCCTCAACTGTTGTCAAAAGACCTCTGGCTCAGCACAATTCAGAGCTCACCTCCATGGTTAGTGCTGACTAAATAAAGGACAATCTGGCTTTGCGCAGGAACCAAATCCATGCTTTATTCTACTGATCAATCTGTAACCTTCTTCTCGATGAAAACATGATGGATCAGGTTCCTGCTTCTGTTCGTGTGAGAAGAGAGACTGCGACGGCGCCGAGGGCAAAGCCGAAGGCGCAACTGCTGGTACCCGGTGCAGGCCCGTCCAGGCAATCCGCCCCAGCTGCTGCGGTGAAATCAGAATCCGCATCAGCTGCACCTCCCAAGATGCCGAGCATGGACGACTCCTACATGGCCTTCTTGGAGGATATGAAGGCGCTCGGCGCACTGGACGGCTAGAGAGAGAGAGAGAGAGACAGACAGGGAACGAGGCGCTCAGTCTTGCTCAACTTGTGGTGACCTTCTTGGATCACCTATTTACTGCAGCTCTTCTGGAATATGAGCAGGATTAGTTGCAACATTCAAATTTGCCCCTCTTTTCACTGCCACCCGTTGATGATTTCAATGCCCATTCTCGCTCCTTTTCGCTCGCAGGAATAAAGAGGAAAACTCTTATCAAGAGATTGTAGCCCTCGTTCCAGATGACCCTCTAAGAAAATTTATCCAAGCATTCCTCTCCCTGTTCATCTGCTTTCGGAGCTCGCCAAAGTCACCAAGAATCAGAGCAAGAACACCGGCCTCCGCTAAAATGGTGAAACCTAATGTTATCTCTGATGACGATTTCCCGTTCAGTGCAGAGGGATATGAGCTTCATCGCCGAATGGCAATCGCCACAGATGCGGAGATTCTTCGTTACCCTTACAGGTTTAGGAGGATCTGTTCTGAGGAGTCCAAACGCGACTGCAATCTTCTCGCTGTGCTTCATGAGAACCTCCTCCTTTTCCAGTTCCTCCATCTCTTCCATCACGTGGTTGTAATCCGGAACATACCCGAGTTCTTTTATCCTGCAGATCAGGCCTTCCAAATGAGCGAGCACTTCTCCAGACGGCGGCAGAGATTTATCCCCAGCGAAGAAGGAGAAGATCTCCCCATTGATCTCAATCCAGCTGCGACCAGGTCTCGTGATCATCCTAGCAGCATTCATCTTCTTCCGTAATCTTCGCAGATTGGCCGACTGGCCAGTCACCGCATAGATCCGAGCTAGGCACAGGTAAGGCGCCGGATCTCTTGGTTCGATCGAGAGCAGTCGTTCGGCAGCATACTCTGCCAGATCCACCCGGACGTTCAGCGCGCTCCCGCTGAGAAGAGAGCTCCACACCACCGAATCAGGCTCGAACGGCATCGAGCGGACCAGCTCCTCGGCCTCCTCGAGACGACCTGATCGACACAGAAGCTCGATCAGGCACGAGTAGTGTGGAAGACTCGGAGCGACTCCGTGCTCAGATCTCATCACATCGAGGTAACGCCGAGCTTCCTCCAACAGGCGGCCGTGCGCGCAGGCACACAGAATGGCAAGGAAGGTCACATCGTCCGGCTCCGTCCCCGCGCACTTCATCTTCTCAAACAGTTCGACGCATTCCGCGCCGCATCCGTTGACGGCATAGCCATAGAGCATGGAGTTCCAGGATATCAGATCTCGATTCTGCGCTCGATCGAACACTGATCTGGCCGCGGGAACCTGCCCGCACTTGCTGTACATGTTTATCAGCGAATTGGCAGTCAGCAGGCGCGGTTCGTGCCCCAGCTTGACGGCGATTCCGTGGATCGCTTCCCCCGGAGCCAACGCGGAGAGGCCGGCAGAAGCGCTGAGAATGCTGGCAATCGCCGGCTCGTTCGGTCGGATGTTGCCTTGAGCAGAAGCGAACATCATGCTTCTGAACAATAGGAACGCCTCGCTGGCGAGTCCTCCTCGCACCAGACCAGAGATCATGGCGCTCCACGAGACCTCGTCCTTGAGAGGCGCCTCGTTGAACAGATTGTAAGCTTCCCTAGCCTTCCCATGGAGTATCAGCCCAGAAACGACGACGTTGTAGGTGACGATGCTGGGGTTGGGGATCATCTTGAAAAGCTTCAACGCCTCTTCCAGTAAGCCCTTCCTGATGTAACCAGACATCAGAGTCGTATACAGTATCACGTCCCTGTCAGGCATATCATCGAACAGCTTCCTCGCCTCGGCAACCCTACCGTCTTCGACTAGAGCAGACACCAGGACAGTGCAGATCTCCACCGTGGGGCTTGTCATTGTGGAAAAGAGATCAACAGCGCGATCGACCAAGTTGTTCCTCAAGTAACCCTGGATTATCAGGTACCAAGAGATCTCATCCCTCTTCTCCATTCCGTCGAACACCTTCCGAGCTTCATCGATCCTGCCGTTATCCACATAGCCACGGATCAAGGAATTGCAAGCTCCAGTAGATCTGCTGCATCCAAGTTTCAGAACCTCCAGCTCTGCAGCCTCTATCTCCAAACAACTGAAATACATGGAAATCAGAGAGGCCTCGATGGCCGGATCGGCGTCAAATCCCAATTTCACAATGTGACCATGAACTGCCCTTCCACAATTTGCGTCCTCCAAGCCCAAGCACGCAGCAACGACCTGCACGATGACCGCAGCGCTGCTGCTGCTCTGTTCCCGCTGGTTCTTCTCCACCATAACCTTGTTGAACAGTCGGATGGCGTCGCGAAAATGGCCCTCGGAGACGAGCCCTCGCAGCATCACAGCCCACGTCACGCTGTTCTTCATCGGGGCAGAGTGGAACAGTTCGAGGGCTTCCGCTAGCCTCCCACCCTGAACGAGCCCGTCGATCATCGCCGTCCAGGAGATGCAATTCCGCGCCGGCATTCGGTCGAAGACTTGGCGAGCCCTCAGAAGCTGTCGGTTTCTGATCAAGGCGGAGAGCAGAGCGTTCCAAGACGCCGTGCTCTTCCAATATACCTCCTCGAAGGCCCGAAGCAGCGAGCAATCCGAAACCAGGCATTTGGAGTACATCGTGACGAGGGAAGTGCCCACAAATGCGTTGCTCGAGGAGTCCCTCTTGATGGAGAGACCGTGGAGCTGCCTCCCCTCGGCCAGCGCCCGCAGCTCGGCACAGGAGGAGAAGACAGTCGCCAGCGTCGTGTGGGTCGGCTCCACAGCGCCGCGCTTCAGCATCTGCTTGAACATCCGCAGGACCTCCTCGTGCATCCCGTGCCGCGCGTAGGCCGACATCACGGAGTTCCAGGAGATCACGTCTCGATCAGGCATTTCGTCGAACAGCTTTCGTGCGCCGCCCAGATCACCCGACTTGGACATGGCGAGGATGGCCTTGTTCGAGGAAACCGTGGTAGCCGCTGCACGAATGGAGGACTTTGCGGGCGCCCCTCTCATGGTGAGGGTGGGGGAGGAGCATCGATGGCTGCAGGGGCTGGCCGCAGCGGAAGGTCTCTTGTGGGAGGAGATCTCGACTCGTGTCCACTGCGATAGGACTGGCACAGTTGTGTTGCAGGTGGATTCGCCATGGATGACGACGCTCCTGATCTTCGTCGCACCGCGGTGAGAATCTCATACCTTCAACTTGAATAATACTCGGTGCGGATGCCGGACCGAGAAATTTATCTTCAGAAATTGGAGCCATCGCTTTTTGCTTTTGTCTTATCTTCGTATTTCTGAATAGCAGCCATTCTAATATTAGTATGTCATTTTTTTTTTTTTCATCATCAAAACTCTTCGGCTCCCCAAACAAAGAAGAACATATAGTTTTGAGTAACATAACACTTTTGCGTAACCAACTTTTCAATATGGGCACTTTAGTTTCTTTGGGTTTGGTTTCTTTAAACTATAATATATGTTTTGTTGAGTCGAACATTTTGACAATTAATCACATAAAGATAAAAGAATAATTAATCATAAAATTGTTTTCACTACATTGATTCGCAGTTCAAGATTTTAATGATAGATTCAGTTTTCTTTCATGCTTAAATTTACTTTTCAAGCATTATATAAATAAAAGAAACATCATAAAATAGAAACTTGAGAAGAAGGTAAATAAAATCTAAACAAAATAACAAGTTTTAGGAAGAAAAATTGAGGAAATGTGTACGTCAAAAATCTTCAGACCAGAAGGAACAAAATCATTTTGGCCTTTCTGCACGTCCTCATCATCATGATCAGTTACAGAACCTCAACCGTAGCTTTTCTCTTAGTCATGCTTTCTAAATCAAAGATTCGCAATGTTTGAATCCTCCAAAATCCCTCACAATGACTCACACCCAAGTTTTATCTCATAAAATGAAATTCTTGACTAGAAATCGTTGAAAAGCTGTAGATCCAGGTTACACCACTATAATAGTGCCATGACACTTATCTCACCCGCCCACTAGGCCTAAATGGCCAATCTCGTATTCTGACCTAATAACAACAAATCAAAGCCAATAAACCTTTCAGCCATGTTAGCTCGACGACAAGGGTCTGTCCACAAGGTCAATAGATAAGCAGCTGAAAACTAGTTTGATATCCCTCTATTCTCCATCTTGGTCATCAAAACCCATTATAAGTGTTAATTTGAGGGGGGGGGGAGGGGAGAGGAGAAAAGTGAGATCAATGGTGTCAAGAGGTGGCAGGGGAGAGGAACCATCAAGACAAAGAACAAAGGGGCAAACCATCTACATGGAATGAGCCCTAGATTATGTGATTTATAATATAGGTAAACCGACCAATATAACCAAGTCTAATAAGCCATAATAGGCATAGACTCTAACACTCCTCAAATTCACAATAGGATAATCATCAATGATTTGTCTAGAAGAAACTTAAAATGAGATACAATGAGTCTTGGTAAAAAAATTAACTTGTTGTCAAGACGATGGATCATTAAGTCATGTAAGAGTGTAAGACGATAACGTCAAACAAAGTGACAATAATCTCAATGTGCTTATTAACAATGAAACTATGAGCAATTTAAATTTCAATTTCATCAACACAGTAAAAATGAGTTAGAGTAGAGTATGATACTCTCATATTACTAAGTAGTACATATAGTTAAATAATCTCTACTACTATAGAAGACATAGCTTGATATTCTAATTCAGTGGTAGAGCATGCAATAATATCTTATTTTTTACTCTTCTAAGAAATGAGATAATCATCAAGAAATATACACCAACCGTTGTGGTCATTAATATTGCTAACCCAATTAGCATAAAAGAAAAAAAGAGTTAATAAAGAATAAGAAGAGAAAAAAAGTCTTTGAAACCATGTACAACAAAGACAGTGAATAAAGTGTAAGATTGCAGTCCAATGAGTAAAGCAAGAAGTGGAATAAAATTGTACTGAAGATTACCAATATCTTTCACATCAAATAAGTCATGAAGTTTAATCTGGAAATAATGCCTTCTAAGTCATCACTTGTAATGATCATATCATCCATATATAATAATAGAAGATTCTGAATATGAGAACAAGAGATAGTAAAAAAAATTGAGTCATAAGTAGGGATGATAAATCCAAGCTAAAAGAAAGTAGTAGTAAACATCTACCAATTATGGGAGACTTCTTTAAGATCATATAATTACAAGGAAGACAACATATATAGCATGAAAGGTGTGAAATTTTGAAAGGAGGAGATATATATACTTCTTCATAACGATCCCTATTGAAAAAAATACATTTTTCATATCAAACTGGTATAAAGGTCACTTGCAAGCGGCAACAACATACATAAAGGTAGAAATGGATGTCACTTTTCATATAGAAGTAAATGTCTTTTTATAGTCGAAGTTATATTCTTGTGAAAAACCTTTGGCCATAAGTATGGCATAGAAATCCATTTGCCTTAATTCTAATCTTATATACTCATTTGCAACCAATAGCATGTTTGCCTTTTGGGAAGGGGAACAAGTTCCCAAGTGTCAATTTGATGGAGTGCATCAAGTTCTTCAAAGATTGATTGTTGTCAATTAGCATCTAAAAATACTTCTTTAAAAGACAGGTTCAGCAAAAGAGTGAATAGTAGAAAGAAAGGAAAGAAAGTGAAGAGATTTGATGGAGATAAGAGATAGGTATTGAGCATGTAATCAACACATATGAGTTGGGAGAGTGAGAAATTCAGGGATAGGAGGCGGAGGATAAGTAGATTGGGACACAAGAGGTAAGGTATTCAAGTTAGATGGTGACAAGTCAACTTTGATACTATTATATGTTTTGCTTTCTCATAGGATAAAATAGTGAGGTTAATAGATAACCTAGACGATAGAGATAAATTGAAAGTATCTAAGAATAGATCAATAAATTGTGTTTTAGTTGTACGATTTTTAGAAGAATATAACATATTGGGAAGGAGATAGTATAAAATATGCTCTAAAAGATAGCATGACATAATGTGAAGAGACAATTTGAAGTAAGATCATAACATTGGTAACATTTTTGTGACAAGCTATACCCAAGAAAGACACATACTAGTGTAGGTAGATAACTTAATATGTTCAATTAGAGAGAGTAAGACAAAACAAATTGACCTAGACACAAGAAGTGTATAATAGCTATCTATTCATTATTACCTCCATTTATATCCTAGGAGGAAAGTATGAATATTAGTGCAAATAAATATCCCCTAATCTTTACTTTTAGAAAATCATCTGAATTTCAAAAAATTATATTTTAAGTAATATGAACAAATTGTCAACATCAGTGGTTCAGCAAAATCATTGGGAGCAGTATCTATTTTTGATGGTTTTCCACTTGATATGGATAGAATGATGTGTATGATAATGTTGTTTTGATTAGTGAAAGAAAAAGATAAATATTGAGATATAATGACTGAGAGTGACCAAATCAGAGATAGATGATCCATAAATAAAGGAGGATGAAGGCACCCCACTACTCCTCAATCCAAATGGACTGAGATATCATTTTGCACAATATAATATTAGGAGAAGGCTTGATTCAAGGCAAATAAATCCAGATAAAAAGTGGCAAAATGGTATGTTACTTTGAGTGAGGAAGAGAAGAGAAAAGGGAGTGCAATGGTATTGAGGAGGCAAGAGAGAGGAACATTGTGACAACAAAAAAAGGGGCAATTCATCTACACTTGACGAGCCCTAGACAATGTTATTTATAATATGAGTAAACGGACCAACATAAGCAAGTGTAATAGGCTTTCATGGGACTATCACTCTAACAAGGACCTCTACTGTAATAGGAAAGTCATTAGAAGTAAAACTATTGACCTCTCCTACTTTGACTCTAAATAAACCCATCTTCCGTTATTTGATACTCTCTAGTGGTCTAAGTTAGCCTCTACCCATCTAGGAATTTACCTTAACCTTACTTGTCATTTTATTCAAATATTGAACCCTTCTCTTCTTTCAAATCTAAAATGTTTTTTTCATACGATCTAGTACAATAGTAAATTCAATTTGTTTAATTCAGTACATGCTATTACATTCCCTTTGTATGGTTATAATCGGACATCTATTATCTTCTCTAAGGAGTCCCATTAAGATTGAGGTTTATATGTAAGAGACCTATGCAAAATGATAGAGAATCTAGAGAGGTGGTATTCTAATTACTACATCATGATTATTTTCATGTTAGTCTACCTGACCAAAACAAATTAATGGAACTTTAGTTTCCATAGCGTACCATACTTGAATACCAAGAATGAAGGATGATATTACCTTTTATGAGTACCAAAAATGACCAAGAGGCTAACATATGATTGTAAATATAAGTCTACAAGGCTCCCTCTTATTAAGCTCTCAAAAAATATGTAAGGCAAAGATATCAACTTTTTTTCGCACTGTGTAATCTTAGACAATGTTTAAAATCAATGGGACAAAGTCTGTCAATTTATTAAACATTCATTTAATAAATGAGAACCTAATATATTGACATTCGTTTTTACTTTAAATTTAATTTACAAAATATATTTAATTTTGTCCCATGGAAGTTGATAGAAAATATTATGATGAGAAGGCCCTCCGATCTTACCTGAATTTTTGACTGTCTACCTTGTATTTTCCTTCCCGCCAAGATTTCGGCGGGTGAGGAAAGGAGGGTTACGTCGTGAAACCAAGCGAGCGAGAGAGAAGAGTTTTGGCGCTGAGAGGGAGGAGGCATTGCAGCTGGGTAGAAGAAGAGGAGAAATGGGGATACAGGGCCTCCTTCCTATGCTAAAGTCCATTATGGTGCCAATGCACGTTAAGGATCTCGCTGGTCAGAGCGTCGCCGTCGACACCTATTCGTGGCTTCACAAGGGCGCGTTCTCCTGCAGCAGGGAGATTTGCAAGGGTTTGCCGACATCCAGGTCCATGAAAGACTTCGCTTTTCACCTGCATTGCTCCTCTTGATGGGTTACTTAACTTAGCGTCTCTGCTTCTGGTTCTTGTTTTTCTTGCTTGCCCGATTTGGCTACCTGATTGAAACTGAGGGGAATTTCTCGCTCCCCGTCAACCTCTCTTTGTCTGCATTCATTGATCCGCGATTTTTCCACGTGTGCTGCACACTTATCTCTATTCAGTGGAATCGTGAACAGGATGAATGCTTAACTCGATTCGTTACGTCTCTTGCTCTATGATACATCTTATTAGTTCTCTTTCCTAGTCTTACATTTTCCCAATCGCATGCAAACCTGACAAGGGTTAGCGCCAGTTCATTAAGAGTTTACATCTTGATAACATCATTATGATATCGATCTTTTTTTGCCCTTTTTTGTGGCCGTTCCCTGAGAATGATTATGATGAGCGAACTTATTTTTCGGAGAAGCTTATGCCATCTTTTTATTAGAGGAGTTTCGGAGACCGAATGATCTTATTTCACAGTAGAGAATGGGCTGGACTATGATTTGAGTGGTCCTCAGTTTTTTTTTCTTTTTTTTTCTCTCCATCTCTGTTTGCTCCGCTTTTCTTTTTTCTATATCTGTGCTCATTTCTGTGGAACTGACATTGATTTTTTCCCCTAATGAATTGAAGATGGACTGTTGACTCCGCCTGTTGTTTGATTAGTCAACGCCCACACCCTTTGCAATCCGATTAAATTCAATCTGAGTAAATAATAAACATACAATCTGTTTGGTTAGCTAATGTGGACCGGCTTCGATGATTTCAAATGCTTACTCTACGTGGTTATCTAAACGATGTGTACGGGCATACAGTGATCCCATAATGAAATATAAGGACCATTCTGTCACAAATTTTTTAATTTCTCCACGTTTTGTGGGGAACTGTCAATAGCTTGCACCTGAAATGAGGTATAATTAAATTGCGGGCAATTAAAATTTCAAAACTAAAGTACCTGCGACGTTTTAAGAGTGAACATGGATCAATAAGAAGAGAGTATCTGCAAAAAAGTTGGTGAACGTGATTAATTTATTTGCTTCTATTTTCTTGTCTTGCAGTCATTTTACAAGTCTGTCATCAAGATTCATTGCCAGCATTCATATGTTTTAGGGTCCGTTTGTTTTATCTGGGTTTCGAAGCAAGTTTCTGAATTTTTTTTCTCACAAAGATCTAGCTGCATAATTAACTTGTTGGTGGGCAGGTCAGCTTGATGTAAAGGAGTCAAAGGTTGCTGACGTGTGTTGGTTTCTAGCTCACTAGTTTACGAGGGTTGGCAGTTTTTTCTTCTGCTTTCTCTGTGCATATCAACTACATAAATTGTTGACTTAATTTCAAGGGAGAAAATATTGCATGCGCAATGTGTGGTGAAGCCTAGTCCATTGTGGCTATTTGCTGCTTCTTGACTTAAAAAAATGCTTATGCTGCTTTAACACAATAGGAGGGGTAAAGTATTTTCATCTTAAAAGGACTGCGTCTCCTTGATTTCATTGACGTTCTCATCTGGCTGATTTATATCTATGAGTTGGCCAAACAGAAATGTAGTTCATTTTGAGGAAAAAACTTTGACCTACTTTTTGGAGTAAAAACAATTACTTTTTAACCAACTCTACTTCATAAGCTTGCAGCTAATTATGTTTATCATGACTATATATTAGGTATGTGGATTATTGCATGTATAGAGTAAATCTACTGCGGCATTTTGGGATCAAGCCAATTCTTGTCTTTGATGGGGGTCTTCTACCCATGAAGGTTGATCAAGAGATTAAACGTTCCAGGTATAGTTTTTTTTGTTCTTACTCTGGAACAACATTGTTCACTGTGTTCTATTAGTAATCTGTGGTTACAAAGTTAGATATGTTTACTTTTCGACTTTCTCTATTTTTACCTGCCTGGGAATAAGGTTGAGTGATGATATTTATATTGTAATAATTTCACCAATCCTAATAATACTGGCTTGTATAGATAATTTTTGGATGACAGCCTTGAAACTTCAATTTAATATTATGTAGAGTAAATATTTTTTGCTTCTAATTAAAAATGATGTTATGACAAGTTATTTTTTTATTAAATAGGCCATAACTATCAAGAAACATAAAACAAGACTTTATTTTATAAAGCTCCATTTCCTATGCACTCTGGTGAATACAGGTGCCATTCATTGCTGATATGTGTCATAAAAAATTGCGTTCATAAAGAGGTCAACGATGACTATTTTGGTGGGAAAGAGACGACCATGGATCATTTTGTTAGGGTCCCAAAACAGGGATCAAAACAAGGGTAGAAACTAGGGTAGCAACCAGGGTAGCAACCAGGGAACTGAAAGTACGGGGGGAAAATATCTCCACTCGGACAGAAAATAGGAAAGAACAGAAAAGGGTTTCCAGTTGGGGACGAGTTCGAGAGTGTCCCACTCTCCCATTGACCTCTTCCAAAAGTGCCCAGTGAGGACCTTGAGGGTCCTTAAACCCGTACTCCTTAATGGGCTTCCTTTGACCCGCCTACATCTTAACCTTCCCTCTCCAGGCTTAAGTAGCTTGAACATTGGGCCCAACAGTTCCGGACCTAACACATTTCCACCACAACTATATGTACCATTGACTTAGACATCAACTTGGCCACACCGCCTCTGATTCTCCTTCCATCTGAAATAACTAATGCATTAGAACAATACTAGGGAGTGCGAAAACAGTTTTCGTTTAGTAAAAACAGTGTACTGCTTCCATGGCTATGGTGACTGTGCTATTTAGTCTTTTGACTCGACGTGTGGGATATTTGCTTTGTGCCGATGTCTTGAGCTGTTGTTATGATAGAACATTGATGTCATCTTGTTTGCTTACATAGAATAAGGAAGGAAAACCTGGAGCGTGCACTGGACCACGAATCTGCTGGCAATACTGCTGCTGCTTATGAATATTATCAGAAAGCTGTTGACATATCACCTTCAGTTGCATACCATCTTATACAGGTAGTATTTTCTTTTGACATGATATGTACTGACAGTGTGGACTAGAAACAAAGAATGTTTTCAATAAGAACGAAGCTATTCAGACCACTAAGTTAGCCATAATTTGGTTTTTTATTGAGTATAATTACCAAGATTTTTTCACAGCATTTATTGTGTGATTCATACGGCCTGACAGTTGCTTTTGCAGGTTTTGAAGGAAGAAAATGTTGATTATATTGTTGCACCTTATGAAGCAGATGCACAGATGGCATTTCTTGTCATGCAGAAATATGTTGATGCTGTCATTACGGAGGATTCGGACTTAATACCCTTTGGATGCTCTAGGGTGAGTTCCAGTTTCTAATGGCATTTCCTAATTTACCCACCCATGTTTCCGCTCGCCTTGATTTACTTATTTTGTGAAATAGTTTCTTCATGGTTATTCCATTTTTACTGGGACCTAATTTCTCCCGTTTTTATGGACAGATTATATACAAGATGGATAAATTTGGGCAGGGTGTTGAGTTTCGCTGTTCGTTGTTAGGCCAAAATAGGGAGCTCAATTTTGCAGATTTCACCCAGCAGATGTTTCTTGAGATGTGCATCCTAAGTGGTTGTGACTATCTACAGTCCTTGCCTGGTATGGGTTTGAGGAGAGCTCATGCACTTATTCAGAAGTTTAAAAGCCATGAGAAGGTACTTTGAATATGTTGTATATTGGCTTAGGTTATTAATCATTTCAGTACTCTTGAACCCATCTACATCCTCACCTAAGGATTACATATTGATTTCATTTTTTTCTGAAAAAAGTACTTTAATGATAAGTGTGAGGCTTCAACACTACCGAAGGCAAGGTAATTTTGTACGAGGTATCGTGTTCTATGCTTGATAGTTGAATATTTAAAGTGCTAAAAAAGTAGGACGATGCGTGATAGGTCTCAACTGCAAGGTCAATGTTTTAAAGCTGTACTTGTAGCCTATTTCAGCTTCATTAGGGACCATTCCAGTGAGTCATAGCTCCCAATTAATTCTTATTTCGTTCCCCTCTTCTTTACGTTTATTAAGTGTCATATCTGTTGCTACTGTAGTTGATTACCTAGAGGTGTAAATACGCCGGTCACCATGAATAGGTAGTTTGCTATTTCCAATGATTTATTTTTTTTCCTTAGACTCACATAGAAAGGATGCCAATATTGTCACAGATGAGGTTTATGTTGAAGGAACAATATTTGTCAAAGCAACAAGGTGAGTCTGTGATACCCAACAACCTAGTAGACTAGATTAACTAGACTCCTCTCTATAGCCCTAATTAGCATCCTAGAAAGAGGGATCAAAGAATGGCATCATTGTTTTAAAAACTAAGGTGATGTGATTTTAATTTTTTTTATAAGGTATGCTTGGTGTCCTCCAGCCTGTTTCTCAGTTTGATTAATTTCGAAGTACCATGATTAATGCAATTATGGATTTTTTTCCGGTTTCTTCTCTAAATCATGCTTTGGTTTAGTTTATTCATGTTAATGGAATAAATTAGCATTATTCAGGCTACAACGATTAGAGTGGATGCATGATTATATCACAGTTTATTTGAGGACTCCAGATTTAGTTTATGCTGTTCCATTATTACTTATGAGAATTATGTTGCACATTTTTTTCTGTATGCCTACGTTTCCATTAATATGGTTATTGTAATTACTGAAAAATCTGCTCCATAAATCCAAGAATGAATAGATGCGAAAATTTTGATTCTTCGGGCTTTTCTTGTGCAAAGTTTTTGATTCTATCATCAGTCTTATATTCACATTTGTCTTGTGGGATGTTGTTCATACTGGTAAGTTCGAGAAGATAATGTATTGTGAAAGATTTTGAAAAAATGTCTGTCCAGATCAAGATCTTTTTCTTGTCTCCATTATTTACATATCCATGTCTCTAACATTTAGTTATCCTCATCTGGGCCATAGCGTGAACGAATTTGTATTTCCAGGTAATCAAGCACTTGAAGTATAGCGCTGTGTCCGTTCCACCTCTTTACGAGGAAAACTTCAAGAAAGCTATATGGACTTTTAGGCATCAAAGGGTTTACAACCCTAAACTTGAGGATATTGTGCATTTGTCAGAGATTCCTCGTGATCTTGTGGATGACATGGATTTTTTGGGGCCATATCCTTGAAATCACGTCATGAATATGTGATGTTCTTGTTGCATTAAATTTGATGTGTTTATCTTAACTGGTCGTACTCCACTGCCGCAGACTCTTGTGAAAGGCATCGCTAAAGGCTACATCGATCCATTCACACAGTTGCCATTTGAGGTATGTGAGGCGTACCGAATTGAAATGTATTCGATTTCGAGATGAAAGTAATCTATTAGATTGCTTCTCTTGTTGAAAATTTATTTCTCCATACTAGGAACAAGAAGAACAATCCATCCTCTGTTCCTTCTTAGATATCTTGTCACTCACTGCAAATATATTATTCGTACTGGGAACAACAAGAATAATCAGTCTTCTGCTCCTTTCCTGTCCTGAATGGAGAAACATTTTTTTCTTCCTAATAAACTACGGGGACAGGTATTCAAATAAAGTTCATCATCAATTTCATTCCTTCCTCAGTTGTTCATCTCAGAAAATAATTGGTTTTTTTCATTCTTTTGTTCTTTCTTGGAATTTTTAGCACAATTATTGAGTCAACTGGGTTCCGCCCCCTTAACCGTGAAAATTTTTGGGCTTGTGGCTCTCCATTGCGAAAGTTTTTTGGTGCATCTTTGTTATTTACAATCTAGCATCACCTATTTTGTGCACCTGATCCCTAAAACTGAGCTTGGCCTTAGTTTATTAAAGATTATGCGGGAATGGCGCAGTAACCCTCATTAAGGATGTGTACCTCAACGGTTTTCCTCTCTTGCATGCGAATTCTAGTACATGCTCTCCTGGATGTTGGAGGGGATGCGCAAAGTATAAGAACCAGCCATTACATCTTTTTACTCACAAGAGGCTTCAGGATGCCCACAACATTCTCTCACTCTCTTGACCTTCTCTCTCTATCATTCATCTTTCACTCTCTTTCTTACATGGTCCTTGTTTCTCCTGATAGAAACATACGAAAACACAGTCACAGCTTATTACCCCCACTTCCCTCTCATTTTAACTATTTCTTCGTTTTTCAATATCAATAATTAGATTTTATTTCATTCTCTCTTGTTTTTCCTTTCTTTTTCTTACACTTTTCTTCCTTTTGTTGGTATGCTTTATTCCGCTGTGATAAGCTCAGGTTTCCCTCTTCCCTCTCAGCTCCTACACCTCTCCGTATTCTTTTCACCTTTTCTTCTCTCTCTCACTCCTTTTTGACAGCTTTGAGCTAGAAGTAAGAAACTTTGGCAGTATGTGAAGAATAGGCATTGGCAGCCAGGGTGTGAAGTTTAGGTAGTCTTTGGGAGAGGTGATAGTGGTGCTCAGAATTTTCAAATGAGGACGGGTGGATAGGGAGTACATGCCATCTCTCTCTCTCTCTCTCTCTCTCTCTCTCTCTCTCTCTCGCCTGTTTATGAGTGGAGTGACTTTCTGTTCCATGTAATGATTAGACAATTTTTTTTATGTTAGTCGTTGTGGATCATGTCTTAGAGATTATGATGCTTTTAATGGCTCTGTCCTTATTTCAAGATCTCTATTGTTTGACGTATTTCATTCTTATTTAATGCAGGGGGAGATAACCCACATTGCATGTGCGCCAAACGAGGCCTACTCTCTTAAAGAATTTAAGCCTAGAAATGAACGGAAAAGGCTAGAGTTGCCTGTCAAGAAAAATGTCTTAACTAATTACTTTTGTATCCTTTGATGCTTTGTTTTTTGCTTCTCTACCTGGCATATTTTTCTCCATCTCATGATTCATATCTAACTATTTGATATTTTCTTGATCTTTGCGAAATTTCAGAATAAGTTGATGCTAAAGCATATCTAGTTCTGATGTTTGGTAATACATATCTTGTGATCATCTAGGAATATCAATAAAATGTGTGGAGTCCCTACATGGAAACAACGTGCTAAATTGAGGAGAACCAGGGTATAGGTGTCCATGCAACCGTGTGATGTAGTAGTGTACGTAGAGGCTTTACTGAATGGTGTTGTCATCAGTATTAGATATAGAAAGAATAGCTCCTGTATATGATTGGCAATCACGAACAAACAATCTCCTATAGGTAATCACCCATCTGCAACCGTTATTACATCTGAACTTGTCAGCGGTCTCTTGTTAGTTCGTAATGTATTGATATTGTTAGGATGTAATTTTTTTGTTTACCATTTGGTTCATCTAAAATTGTTATATTATTGGAGATCTGCCCAGGGCAACCTCGTGTCATTTGATCATTGGGATCATGAAAAGAGATATTGATAGGCCTCAATGTTGACCAGTACAGGCAGCTATATCTTGTAGAGCCTCCAGAAGCAATGCTATCCTATTGGGAGTGTGCACACCAGTTGGCTACCTCTCTTACTGTCAACGGCCTGAAGAAATGTTCAACCCATTGCTCTCTGTGTCTACCTGAGACATCTGTAGACTCTGAACTGGTTTTAGGATAAGAGTTGTTATCACGTTTGCCACGTCGTAAGGGTTTTCCACTAAATCGCTCTATGGAGCATCTATTAATATATCGGTAGTGTTACAATGTTCACACATTTCTCCATTTATGATCGAAATTTTGGAAGTTCATCTTCGACATGATACTTCTTTTCACGAAATGAGAACAGGTGTGGAAGTAAATAATTTATATAATGAACTTGACAAGCTTGAAACCGTTTAGGCTTTTAACGGCCATGGAATCAGATTTTTTCAGGTGTAGGAATTTGAAACGCAAGACAGGTTTATTTTGCTTTCATTTATTATGCTGTTCTCTATATTTTCCAAGTTGTTAAAATTAACTTACCTTACTGCCGTTAAGAGTTAGGAAAGAGTGTCCAATTTTCAGTTTTCTTCATGTTATATATTTTTATTTCTCATTATTCTGTTCTTTAGACATAGAGGTGCATAAGAATCCTGTAGATATTAGACTACGAGAGTCTAGATTTACCAGCCCAAGCTGTGCTACCATCTATGGAGCGTGCTTATGCGAATGTCCTTGTGCACATAAGTCCTTGACACTCAAAAGGCTTAGCTTCACTTGAAGCAAAGAGGAAATATAAGGCACCTCAAGTCAACTGCAAGCAGTTATTGACGATGGAAGAATCTCTATCTGGCAGTGAACAATTTGTGCATTCAGAGAATGCGGTTGGTTCTCTCTTTTAAAAAGCTCAGAAATTTTCATAAGTGATACTGATGACTGTGATGTTGTGTACTCCCTGTCTCTTTCAGCTTCAGTTAATATTCATCTCATCATGCCACGCTGACTGTGTTCAGAATGATATTTTTTGATCAGGTCATCGCTAAGTTTCAAGACAAAAGTGATGCGATTATGAATCTGTCTGACAAAGGTAGGCACGAGTATCCGTTGGTTGAAGGCATGTTACTCTTGTTCAAAGCTTCATCACAGATACATATTGCCTGTGCTGCACATCTTTCTTACTCGTTATGCGGATGGTTTTACTTAATCAATGCCTTTTTAAGAGTTCGGCCCAGAAGAATTTAGCCAAACTCATTGATGGAATACCATGCGTTTTTCATCAATCATGAGTGATCTCTTAACGCTATTGTCTGTTCCAACTATTGCTTACTAAGCAATTTTCCTCCTGACAAACGTCTTCAGGTCACATGAGAAGGTCTCAACACTCTCAATTGCCACATCTAAAGAACGGACCCTCAGTGTCGTCCTTAATATCACATAACTTATTGGAGATCAAAGCCATATGTATGCATAAGGTTGACAGTTCAAAGGGCTATGATTTCCCTGATAACCGTTTGGCTTCTAATGGTTCTAAGGATGAGGAAAACGAAGCCACTCTGCAGCACGAAGATACTGATAAAAGCTCTCTTGATGATACAACGGCTCGGTGTGCTGCAATACCTGCAGTTCCCATAAAGAAACCAAAACTTGTTCACGCTCAGGATGAGAATGTATGTCTTTAGTGAGTAATGATTTCGTTATCAATATTCTTCTGATTTTGTCTTTTACTTGGAGCGTTTTACTTGTCCTAGGGAAAAAAGCATTTGGCTCAAATTGCAAAAGGAAAAACATTGGAGTGTGTGGAAGGTTCAGCTTCTTCTCGCAATGGTAAGTGTCGGTTTTATTTTTTTCTCAAGTTAACCATATAGAATTCTAGGAATTGTAATCATCTCGTACTATGATATAAGTGAAACAATTTTGGATTTCCTTTGTACATCCTCATTAATCAGATTCCTCACAGCTTTGAGCAGTCTCAAATCCTTACAGATACGATATGTTCTTAGAACGGATAACTCATTCTTGATAAACTCTTTTGTTTTTTCCATGCAGGGTAAAACCCATGCAGATTCATTTGATCCCTCAAATTCACTTTCAATCAAATTCAATTGAAATATTTGTTTGTCTTTTAAAAGAGTCCAACTAGTTCTAGGTGTTCATCGGTACCTTCTTGTGTTTGCTTTCAATAGGAAAAAAACTCTTGAATGTGTCTCTTGAAAGGACTCATCAAGTTAAACTGAATATCTTTTGGTAGATGCGTCAAAAGATTGTTTTACGTGTGTATTATAACGAAAAAAATATGCCAGCTCCCCCAGTTTCATATCACTGGACCTCATATGCATCGATGCAATATATATGTTATATGATTCAGAAATTATATGTTAATGTTATAAGAATATCCATATCTAACTATATCACATTTAAATATGGTTTTTATGATAGACGAGCTAGAATTTTCGTTTGCTTTCACTCTATCTCTTAAGTTTATGTTATCAATGGCCCTTTTTAATCAAAAAGAAGTCTGAGATCCTAAATAAATCCATGAATGAGGCACTAAACTCTGGGCGACGGGTATTACCAGAATTTAGCAGAGTAAAGCGGGAAGTTTGCATATCCGCTGAGTATGGACCTTATCGGCCAGTTTAAATAGAAAATACCATATGCATGGTAATCTCCTTTCTATATTCCTTTTTGTTTAAATATATTTTTTAATTTTTTTCCCGATTCGTGCCCTTTTTAATTACCCTTTTTACCATTACGAAAGGACTGCCATCTCCCCTCATGACTTGGACTAATATGAAAAAGAAAATTTTCTTTCCAAACTGTAGCTTCGCTACCCAGCGATTGTCTATAATCTCTCAAACATCAAGAGCAATTCCAGAAGTTTTTTCTTCCGCGTTCTTTCTTTCTTCGGGTATTCAAGAATTGAAGCAACCAGACCATTAGGAGTAAGTTTTCAGAATGGTTTAGTCTGATCTTGGGGAGTTGCTCTGTAGACCAAGTAATGGCTGGGAAGCCTCCATGACCATTATGAGTTAAATAACCTCTTCAGGTTCTGCATTGGAAGGGAGGAGCTTCGGTTCTAATAATGTTCTCCGCTTCTTTTCCTTGTACGGTCCCTGTACTTGTAAGCAGTGAACTTATTCTATGATTATTCAATCCTTATCCACTCGAAATTGCACAATCATCGATATTTTATCAAGATCACCATGTTGTTATTACCATGACCCGTATGAAACCTAAACACAGTACGCACAATGATTATTCTATGCTTCTGTTACAGATAATCTGAAATCCATTGTTATGCTCTCTCTCATGACCATCAAAGTTAATTGTTTCAGAGTCTAATCTTCATGGTCTCTCATGACCATCTTCCAGTGAAAACATCCTTAGGTTTGTTGTAGATCTCGCAGGTAATGACACCTCTACGTCAATACAGAAGTCTCTGGAGAAAAATGGGGAACAAAAGTTGCAGTGTGACATCTCCCATTTGGATCGCTATTCTGATATAGCAGAGAAATCAATGAAAAATTTTGTTTCGGTCATGTCTTCTTTCCGCTATGTTCCATCGGGCTCTCGTGCCAGTGGGCTCCGCGCCCCTCTGAAGGATGTCAAGAACATTAACGTGGTCAGGTAATCGTTCTGGTCGACTCACTGTTCTTAAAATAGCTGAAGCATGTCCCTAACACCACTTCCATCTGTTCAAGGCCATCAATTGCACCAGCAGAGCTCTAGTGTGCCATCTGTCTTGGGTTATATTTATGCTACACCACACGGTACGTGACCTCCCTCGCTCATCCATCCAAAACTGGGCATGCTCTTGACGCATTCCTCAGACTTTCATCATTCCTGTATCGAGAGATTAGCTCATCAAAAAACGTTAGCAGTTATTTTTTGGTTAAAATGATTCTTGTTATCATTTATCTCGTGCGCAGAGTTTCACTTCCCACGTACCTGCAACAGGTATCAGGGCAGGCTGATGTCACATATATATCCTCGCTTTCTCAAGCATTCTCTTGAATGGCAATGAAGGCCTCCCCTTTTCTCTCTGTTTTTGCCGCTGACAGGGCCAGCTACCAGCTTGTAGAGTATTGCCACACGGCGGTGCAGCATACTGCGGCAATAGCTTGGCAGAACGAGGGATCGAGGGAGAATGCTAGGCTGCCGCACTTGCATTGGGTGGAGATTTTTGTGTCCTCAAATCCCCAGTTTACACGTTCTGGTTGGATGCCACAGTTGGCTTTTAACTCCTTGTTTTGAAGCTAACTCTTGGGAATTCGTTCTTCAGGGTATCATGTGGCAGTATTTTCATTAACCCAGTTGGCCATGGGAGACCCGTAGAATGTAAATGGTAGCTAGCAGCTTCCGAAGGTTTCGGAGATTGGTTCCGAAGAGCAAGGTAGCTGAATGCTGCAGGTTATTTGCAATAGAAGTTAACTAGTTCCTTAATGCAGGGGCTAGTAGATGACAACTGGAAACAAATAATGCGTTTTCATGGCGGCTGGTGGCACCAAGAAACAATTGTACTAGTGTAGCAGGCAAAACCCATCTGAGGGAGCTCCCCCATTATTCCCCCACCTTGAGAAGCGAGATTTCTCCCTCCTCAGGGGCCTGAATCAGGAAGCGGCCCTGCCGCCTTCGAAAGCTGGCTTCAGTGCTGCAGCGAGGCTACTCTCGAAAGTCCAGAGATGTAGCCGATGTGAGCCCGGAGATTCCTTGCAGCTTTGTGCAGACGTAGATGTAGTGGGAATCAGGGTCTTCCGGAGCGAAGCCAGGAGGGAGAAGGCCCCTCTCTGTAAGCGCCACAGGCTCAAGGAGCGGCCTTCTTGAGGAGCTGCAACCCTCCGAACTCTGAAAGCCTGGCCGGGCTGGAGGAAAAAAAAAAGGTTGATGAGAGCAATCTGTGTTAGAGTCACATGGGTTCACCAATACAGTAAAAACATCGATCTCAAGATCATAAAAGATTGTGTGCCCATTCATGATATCCATGTAGAAAATGATCCAGGGCTCATCAGATTTCTCATAGGGTGGTGCAAGGGCCTATGAATCCCTCACAAAACAGCCAGATGAATCTCAAATAATCAAAATACTGCCACCATGGACTAGGAGACGCGGCAGGACGAAGACGGCACCACAAAGGACAGCGTTAACACGGTGGCCCTCCAAAGACCCCTCAAAAGAAAAATTTGTGACGCTCAAAAAGTGAGCAGGTCGAAGCAGGAAGACAAAGAGGGTGTACTTGATTGAACAATAGCTATGATTCTCCCTTTCTACGTCCTCTTTATTTCTGAGGATGTGATCAAGCATTCTCAAAGATGCTCAGAAAAGGGAATCATTTTCTTCTTATAACAGGTGCCTTCAATTTATTTCTTAATTCTTTTGCTGGTAAAGGTTCAATAATATACCTTGATGAACGAGGATCTGCCAAACTTCACTCTGTTTATCTGCATGTATATATAGGATAGCTCATCACTAGCGAGCCAGACCTAATAAACCGGATTTTTACCAGCCATTCCAGGGTTTTCCTAATTGGTGTTCACCGTTCTGCTATTTCCTTTTCTTTCAAAGTCGAAGCAGCCATTTTTATTAATTTTTAAAAATAATATTAAACAATATAGGTACCAATAAAGCCACCATTGCCTAGCACATATGAATGAAATCAACGAATCACGTAGTCCAGAGCGCACATAAGTAGGAGAAGCCCAAAACTAGAGGCCCAACTCTTTGGAAATAGGTTGTAAAGATGAAAAGGCTAAAAGAGGGCCTAGGACCTTATTGGGCCCAAATAAAGTGCGAGAAAACTATGTCAAACAAGTTAAGGCCTGTTTAAAGGCCCCCACATTATAAACCCAGGACAACTAGAATTATTACGAGTCTTACTCTTTTAAGTGTTCCTCTTTACTTGTGGGACAAATCATCTTTCACGGTTGCCGCTAATAAGCCTCTGTAGGTTCACGGTTGAAGCCTCCAATTCTGTAAATTCAGAAGTGCGTTTTTTCATTGAAATTTCGTGTCTTGTGGATTCAAGGATGAATTTTTTTCTTCACAGAACTTTGGCTGCGTCAAATGATATAAAGGCAAGGTTGCTACTTTTAGATTAAACCTAGTGAAGATTCTACAAGGCAAAAGTTTGCAGGATAATGAGGATATTGTCACTGATGTAGGCCCATTCTTTAGAATGTAATTTCTTGATTTTCAAGAGCGCCTTGACCAAAATTTTGAAGAGGTAAATGACACTTTGAAGCAAATTTCATCAAGTACCATTTTATTTGAGCATCATTCACATGTCAACAATACTCAAAATGGAAATTATTTGAGGCACTTCACACAAAAAAATCGCAATCAAATGAGATGGGCAAGAATAATCATTCTCTTTTTGTTATTGTAAGCCTAAGAAGTAGACTGGAAGATTAAGATGAAGCTTAAGAAGTTACTTGTTTGCATTGTTCACTAAATTAGAAACCACAAAATAAACTCGAAAACAAACTGATGACACTAAGGACATCAAGGATTAATCTAGTACTCACGTAAAATGTATAATCTTATCTTCCAACGTCCTTCCTTGGTCAAATGATGAATCCGGAGAGACGGGTCACCATAAGTAATCTGTAAGGAGAATGGGCCAGATTCATTGAGCTTCCAGTACGTAATCCCCAATAAAGCTTTAACTTCAAGTTTTATAAACATACCAACATGTAAATTCCTCCCGGTTTTAGTAGCCTAGAGATTTTGAAAATGATTAAATGAAAGAAAAACCGTTCATATCAGAAATTCTAACATGTAGCGCAAAAAAGATTACTTCAATACTTCTCAGATGCAACCTGTTCACTTCTCCTAGCATTTGGGAAGCACTTATTCGAGCATTGATGCCACACTAGCATAAAAAATTATCAGCAGAATCAGGTCAAGCACGAGAAATAAGCTTCAGAAATTACGAGCGCCTCTCAAATATTAATCCGTACCATCAAAGAATCCAGTGTTCCTACATAAACACCAATATGTCAATCAGCAAAAAAAGGCAAGATTAATTTAGCACAAATTAATACAGAATTTAAGGCACAGTTCTTGAAAAGATACAGTAAAATAGAGGACACGAACCCTTGTCAATTACACTGTCAAATGATTCATCAGGAAAGAAACTCATATCTCTAACATCCATCTGCATGTCTATAAATGATTAAGGGTCTAGACAGTGTGCGAAAGGTATTTAAAGTTCTTTGTATAGTAAGCATGTGACTGAGAAACTGAAATAATAATATTTGTTGATCAAAAAGGATACATTGCAGTTCAGGAACATTGGCATATTTCTTTCTCATCATTTCAATTACAATCGAAGAGATGTCAATATTCATTATATCTTCATAACCATCTTGTACCATGTTTTCTGACATAACTGCAGGATAGAAGCCTTCATTATTAGCCACAAACGAAAATATATAGATATTTCAGATTTTTGTAAATGAACAGTTTGAGAGAATGAGACTCTACAACATGAAAAAAATTAGAAATCTCCAATGGCATGTGAGTTGGCTATGCTGACATATGTATCTCGGGTTCTGTTATGTTATGGAACCAAACCATAATTCCCACACTACAGTCACCGAATCAGTGTAATTTTTAAATATTGAGATGTGGGAGACATTGCACAGCATTGTATTTTATTGACCCTTTAAGGGCAAGAACAACCAGGATCCACTGAATCCCGTTAAAATCAGAATGAAGAACTGAAAACAGAACAGAGAATCGATCCAAATTTAAAAAGAATAAAGCAGTAGATGAAAGAAAAGAAATAGATAATGGTTAAGACGAGTAGGAGAATACAGTTTCCTATGTTCTGTTGCCCCGCACTAATCTGTTTAGGAACTCTTGCCGACGATCACGACTGCAAGCCAAGTCATTCTCTCTGGGGCAGGTCATCAGGAGTAACTGCCTAAATACCTCAACAATTTTGCCATATCAGAACTAACCAAATCAACTTTTCTCATCTTTCTCCAATCCGACCACTATCCACCTTGGAACATATTATGCTCAAATAGAGGGCTTCCGGACCTCTGAGCCCCAATGCCGTGCAACGTATGTGATTGAAAAACGGAAATTGTTCCATAGTCAATAATTTCAAACCCCAACACGATTACCGTAGGGTTTCATGTTAATACATCCTACAGTATAGCAGCGGTCAGTCCCAACTCGCTACCGGAACTACGCGAATTGTTCAAATACATGGATAATTCAACTCAACGAACCCCACCTACGGCAAAAAGATAACCAACGACGCATAGGAAAACGCAAAAATCAACGACTGATGTGAGGAGAAACTTAGGGAAATCGAATACCGGCGTTGCCGCAGCCGACCATGAGAATTCTGGAGGATGTCGGGACGAACTTGCGGACAAGGGGACGGAGGGCGGAGTAACGCTGGTACCAGTCGAACGAGGTGTCGCCTTCCTCTATGTACCGCGCGTCCCAGTAGAGGGCGTCCCCGTAGTTGTAGCAATTCGATCGCGAGACGTCCTCGAACATCCTCCCACCCTCTCTCTCTCTCTCTCTCTCTCTCTCTCTCTGTTCCCTCACTTACTGCTAGCACTCCACGTATGCCACGCGGAAAATGCAGCATATCCCTGGACTGAATGTTTGTGCACTGCCGCATTCCACATATCGAGAAGGGCCGACAAGAAGGAAAGCCCGACCCGTCCGACATCTCGTAATCAGAGTTAAAAAAAAGAGCCAAAATACCAAGCAGCACGGCAAAATCTCATTGCCACGTCATTTTTAACATTCAATAATTTTATATAAGTCCCCACAAAATATCACCCATAGTTCCCTGCCAAATAATTTTCTTATACTTTGATTCTATAGAGGTGTGAAGTAGCATCGTAGATGCTAAGTGATATTATGACTCATGCAAAAGCAAACTATATTTGATTACAACGAGAAACCTACATATTTTTTTTTTCTCGTTCTCTTGAGTTTGACCTGTTGATTCCATTCAGCTAGGTCAACTCATGGGTCAATTCATGACATTTTTTGTGATATTTTTCTCAAAAATACCAATTTTTGTTATAAATTCAGCTTTCTTCATTCAGACCTCTTCTTGGATGATTATTGTTGTGTATTTATACCTTAAAAACACAATAAAAAAATTAATAAATTGGATCTAATACTTTTGATCGTCAACCTATCATTGTTATAAGAAATATTTATGGTCAATTTTCTATTATTTCTATTTGCGGACAAATTGCCTTTAGGAGTGACGTGATATGTATTCAATCTGCACAAGTGAAGGAGAATGATAATTGATTGGATGTAGGATGGCCATATTAGTTCGTCTAGTGTTCAACCGTCGGAATCATTTGGGTCATTAGGTTAGAGAGTTGACCCACTCAAGCACAACGACGTGGAAATAGATGAAAATTATTAGCTGATCTCAACAGCGTAATATTGACTTTCAGAGCATTTCTTCGCTGGGTGGTTTTGGAGAGACTGTAGAAGGTTCAGAGACGGGCTCAGTCATTCGAAGGATTTCTTGAAGAGTGGGAGATGCTACGTGTTTGTAGGGGAAATGATAATTAGGGCAAAGGTTGGGGTAGAAAAGAGAGAACCGGGGGGAAGGAGCGAAGAAGAAAGGAGAGAGACGAACGAGCTTCGTCGGCTTCTCTCTCTACTTTTTCTCTCTACACCAACCCATCAACACAGCCTCCTAATCTCCTTCTCGCAGGCGGACGGGGCAGAGTTCTCACCTTTTCCCATTGAACGCGTTTGCGCCTGACAGGCGCAATCATCCTCACCTCCCCTCTCCGCAGTCAGATCTGTATCGTCCTTCCTCCCGCCAGTCTTACCAAAACCACATCAAATTCCTGCTTTTCTGCCGCCGTAGTTCGTCTTTACCTCCGCTCTCTCTCTCTCTCTCTCTCTCTATCTCTCTTCTCTGATTCCTATTTACAGGTGCGTCTGCGGCGGTTTTGGGAGAGGGGGGTGCGTAATTCTCTGGATTTGCTGTGCGAGCTGGGCACCCCTACTATGAATTTGGTTTGCGATCTGGCTGTTACCTTGTGTTTCGCTTAACCTAGCCGCCTCTGGAAGAAGTGTAGGGGAGAAGGAAGGCGTGTGCAGATGAGGGTGCCGTGTTGCTCGCTATGCCACGGGAGGTACGACGAGGAGGAGCACACCCCGCTTCTGCTGCACTGCGGGCACGGGTTCTGTAGGTGTTGTCTGTCGCGCATGTTTTCGGCGTCTATTGATACTGCCCTGGTTTGCCCGAGATGCCGCCACCCCACCGTCGTAGGCAACAGCGTCCTTGCCCTCCGGAAGAACTTCCCTATCCTCTCGCTTCTTACTTCCTCCCCTTCCTCCCCTTCCTTTGAGCGCGTCCTCACCGATGAGGATGAAGATGACGATGGCGACAATGCGGATGGGTTCGAGCGCGATGACGACGACGATGAGCACTTTGGTGGAGGCCAAGGTAGGCGTTGGGGACAGGAGCTGGAGTCTGAACTTGAGTACTTTGGGTCTCATCGTCGCCGTAGGGGGAGCCACCGATCTCGCGTTTCTGTCTCTGGTCGCTGCTCTGGTGTTGGAAGTGGCGGAAGCAGGGATTCATGCTCAGCCATTGACCTCGGAGTTCATCACAATATCAAACTTCTGAGGAAAATTAGGGAGGGACGGAGGCCTGGGTTGGAGGTGTGGACTGCTTTACTCTCAGGGAGTTCTTCTGCATCCTCTGTGTCATCGTCGTCACCATCTGTGAGGTGCCGGCATAGGGTTGCTGTGAAAAAGGTGGAGATAACAGCTGATATGGACGTGGTGTGGGTGCAGAGCAAACTTGAGAATCTTCGTCTCGCTTCCATGTGGTGTAGGAATGTCTGTGCTTTCCATGGGGCCATCCGGATAGATAATTCTCTCTGCCTCATCATGGACAGGTATAATCGCTCCATACAGTCCGAGATGCTGGAGAATAAAGGCCGCCTCACGCTAGAACAGATACTCAGGTCAAAGCCTATTTTCCCTTTTCAAGTTATGCTTAAATTACAAATTTCTTTCAATAATCAGTCCATTCTTTAACCTCCAAAATAAACTGATGGATCAGATAGCATTTGCTGGGATCAGATCTAATGAGGACAAAATCTAGAAATTTAATAATCTGGATTCTCTAGCCACATCATATTTCTATATATTTGATAAGAAAACATTCTATTTAACATCTGACAGATTCATGCACATTGTAGATTGAAAGGTGGCATGGCCGCTGTGCAGAATGACAAGCGTTTATGTTCAATTATCTACTAGATAGTTGAACGCCTTTTGAGCGTCTCTTTTGATTTTTGAGAGAGAACGGTTCTTTTCCGTTTTGGCTTGTAAGAAGGCAGTGCTCTGTTCATTCTTGATGTTTATGATCTGCACTCAAAATACCTAATTAATCTATAACTAAATACAGGAAACACCTGAAGCTTTCGAAATGCTAATTTACTGTTGCAGGCTTTCAGGAGAAAAGAAACAAGTAGACAGCTGCATGGACTAGATCAGGAAGTTGTCTTATACTATTGACGTGTGGGTGATTTGTTTTGCTTGGTTGAAGAAAAAATAAGGAAAGCAATGAGCAGACTGAGGTGCACTATTGACTGGAGATACTTATTTTTACTTTTGTCAGAAATGAGATGAGGGGAAACTTGTCGAGTCTTAGCCACTTTAAGGTAGTTTTATTCTTTCCCCATGATAAATCTTAAAACGAAAAATATTAGTTAAATGGGAGCATATTACTTGGTATGCAATACATTCTGAAAATCTTTCTGTCATAAGCTGATAGTATGAATTGCGGAAAACATGTGACTAAGAATAGTGGGAGATAATGCAGTGGATTCTGAACGTTTGAAATTGATTGCAAATGGAACTGTGTGGAGGTCCAGAGGTTATCAATATGTAGAATTGGGATGTTATTCATCAGATATGGCGAAATACTTGATTTCTTGAAAAGGCTGGCAATAGGCAGATGCAAACTTCAGCTAGAGGTTTGTTCTCCCATTTCTTAGATTAGGCATCTCGCTAACTATGAATACTTTGGTGAAGGAAATAGATTTGATGACAAGGGTAATTTGAGAGCTTAGAGCATATTGTGGATCATTTGAAAGAATCTATTCTGGTTGTTGAAATGCAGCTATTCAGCTGCACTTTGATAAGGAAAATATGCAAGACTTTGATGATTAAAATCTATAATCCTTTTGTGGAGGAACTTTTTCCTAAGGGGTGCTATCAACCTAGTTATTTTGGTGTCAACCAATCTTGTAGTGTTTTCTTTTTTTTAATGCCTAAGTTGTTAGGCTTAAGTTCCCAGCATTTCTTAAGGTTTTGTCACAGGCGAGCTAATTGAACTTCTCTTATTGTTGAATGTTGGTATTTCTCCTTTTCATCGTATGTGGTCCATTTCCGAAGATACTCTCATTTTAGGGCAAAACAGGCAACAAATTGAAAATGAAGTTATTTAGCTCTTTTACACTATATAGAATAATATAGCCAGAATGTGCTCCTATATGGTAGCTTAACACCGCCTACTGGTCATGTGTTTCATAGATCACCAATCAATTCTATGCAGCATCTGCAAAAACAACATTAAAAAATCGTTAATAATGGGGAATTGGCTGGAGTTTGGATGGAAAATTTGTAGAAAGTGGTTAGTTTTGTTTATATTTTCCTGCCTTGGACAAACCCTTGAAACAAGAATCTTTGCTCATAAGTCTTATGGGTTATCTAATGAGAGGATTTTATGTACTTTGATAGTCGGATAGGAATTCTTGTTTTGCAGTTTTGAAGAGATGCCTAAAATACTGGATTTTTCAAAAGGACAATGTTATAAAAACCTGATAGTCTGGTAATGTATTTGATTTGGGCCACTTGTGGATTAATCCAAACATCATCTGTTTTCCTGGTCTTGAACGAAAGATGGTATGAGGCTTAGAACAAACCGTGATTCCTGTCAATGTTGCTGTCTTTCATAGTCTCAAATTAATGGCTGAACTACTACAAAAAACTCAGTTGTGTGATGACTAAGCTGTGTATTACATTAGTTGCTTGCTATATCAAGGAAGAGGATAGGTTTTCCTCACGTTCTCCTTTGTGACACAGGCCTGGTAGAATGCTGGAAGGTGAAAAATATATTCATGCTCTTGTAAACAGTATTTGATGGTCAACAACCCTCTTGTCTTACCACAAAAAACTCAGTTGTGTGATAATTAAGCTGTGTATTACATGATTTGCTTTCTGTATCAATAAAGAGGACGGCTTTTCATCACATTCTCCTTTGTGACACAGGCCTGGCAGAATGTTGGAACGTAAAAAAATGTTCAGGGTCTTGTGAACAGCATTTGATGCTCAACACTCCTCTTCTGGTCTCCAAAACCGGGTTGGGAAAAATAGACTAGTGAATTTGTGACGCGTAATGTAACCTGGAGCAAGAGGGTGGAAGGAAGAAAGAAGATGTGATGTTTTCTTGGGCTTTGATGAATGAATGAACTTTTGTTATGCTGAATAGCTTGGCTTCTTCCTTGTAATAAAAATATATTCTTTGTGTGAAATTTTATGAGCTGCTGATTTTCTTTTTCGCCTGTCATTGGAGAAGAATATGCTCGCATCGTTCATATCCTTCTTTCTTATGCAACTTAAATTTGTCGTTGTTCATTATCTTTTTTCTGTAGTCATCATTTCTTGTGCTAATTTTTTTTGTTGCTCATGTTTTTCACTCTTTTCCAGCCTAAATGTTGTATTGCAGCATTTAAAAGGCTGTTGTTCAATCTTTCGAGTGTACATAAATGTGTAATATCTTGATGCCTTTGGATTTTAATACATTTCTTCCTTATTTTGTGTGAATATCATAACCAAGGCATCAGTGCTTGCAAATGGAAAAAAGGCAACTTTCTTTCATATTGTTAACTGCTTTACTTTGTGGATGACATTCCCAATCTTCTGTTATAGATATGGGGCAGACATTGCTCGTGGTGTTGCAGAACTTCATGCAGCAGGTGTTGTTTGCATGAATCTGAAACCGTCTGATATTCTCTTGGATGCAAGAGGTTGTGCTGTAGTTTCTGATTATGGGCTGCCAGAGATTTTAAAAAAATCTTCCTGCCGCAAAGCTAGGACACTTCCAGAGGATAACTCATCAAGAATGCATTCCTGTATGGAGTGTACTATGTTGAATCCGCATTACACAGCTCCTGAGGCTTGGGAGCCTATAAAGAAAATAAATTTGTTTTGGGATGATGCAATTGGTATATCCATGGAGTCAGATGCCTGGAGTTTTGGGTGCACGCTTGTAGAAATGTGCACTGGTTCAATGCCGTATGTGACTCACCTCTTTTCAGCCAATATTTACTAGTTTTTCACCGTAAGTTGCTGATTATACAAGTATAATTGCAGATGGTCTGGATTAAGTCATGAGGAAATATACAAAGCTGTTGTCAAGATGCGAAAGCTACCCCCACAGTATGCAAGCGTTGTGGGTGTTGGGATTCCCAGAGAATTGTGGAAAATGATTGGGGAGTGTCTGCAGTTCAGGGCTTCAAGACGACCAACCTTCCATGCAATGCTGTCAATATTTTTACGTCATCTGCAAGAGATACCTCGTAGTCCTCCTGGGAGCCCGGAAAAGTATGGATTCCTGGATTTTATTTCTGTTTGGGTTTGTATCGTTCTATCGTAATTCTCTTTTGCTGCAGTCATTGCTGGCAGCTGGCAATATCTCTAAAAGAATTCGAAACAATTTTTTTCACACAGTCCATATGAGCACCTGTTAGCCGGATGTTGAACTTTGGCATTATACTTCTTTATTTTTTCCATGAGTTACGAGTGCAACCTCTCACAGGAAATTTATGTCTTTTCATTTATTTATACACAGTGAGTTGAGCAAGACTTTTCTCGCTAATGCCCCAGAGCCGTCCCCCACATCTGTGTTGGATGTTTACCAGCATAATCCAAGTGCTCTACATCGACTAATATCAGAAGGGAACCTGGATGGTGTCATGTGAGTTTTATTGTTAAATGGTTTATTTGTTTTGCAAGGATCATATTCATATTCAATCATCTCTATTTGTAGCGATTTGCTGAGAAAGGTTTCATCAGAAAGAAGTGGATCTTCCTTTTGTTCTCTTCTGGAGGCTCAGAATTCTGATGGTCAAACTGCTCTGCATTTAGCATGCAGAAGAGGTCATGTAGAAATTGTGAAAGCCATTCTTGAGTACAGAGAGGCTGATGTGGATATCCTTAACAAGGATGGAAATCCCCCTATCGTGTTTGCCTTGAATGCTGGGTCACCAGGTTGTGTTCAAGCTCTTGTCTGTAGGTCTGCCAATGTCAACATGATGTTGGGAGAAGGCCTTGGCCCATCTATTGCCCATATTTGTTCTCTCCATGGGCAACCTGAATGCATGCGTGTGAGTTTGATCTTTTATACATACTAGTAATAATTTTTTCATTCTTATTATTACGTAGTTTCTCTGTTCTCAGCATGTTTTTTCTTGATCATAGGAGCTGTTGCTGGCTGGGGCTGATCCCAATGCTGTTGATGACGAAGGAGATTCTGTTTTACATAAGGCTATTGCTAAGCGGAACACTGATTGTGCCATTATTATCTTAGAAAATGGGGGATGCAAATCAATGGGGATTCTGAATTCGCAAAGGAAAACGTAAGAATCTGGATCATCTATTGGAAACAGTATACCCTGAAAATGTCCCACTTCATCTTGTTTGCTGAAGGCTTTTCCATTTTCCGGGCTTTCAATCACTGAACTCAGTTTCCTGCTTCGTCCTTTGGGTTTTTCTTCTAGTGCTTTTTCTGATGAAGAAATGATGCTGTGCGGTCCAATTCTGCTGTGAAACTCAAATAATATTCATGTTCATAGTCTCTTGCATCCACTTTGTGGGTTTCTTTTTATGATTCATGTTCAGAATATTCTGATGAAGAAATACTTGTGTGGAGTTCAATAATTCCCTGCATTTTATACTAATAGGCGTGTAGAATCTAATTTTTTTCCGAATGACGCTTGTGATGGGTAATTTATATTTCTATTTTACTATCAAAACTGATTGTATTTTTGGGTAAAAAAGCTTTAAATATATTCGATATTTCATTTGGACGTTTTTTGGGGTAGTATTTTGTTGAGGAAGAGCAAAAAGGATTTTATCTTTTCCTTCTTGTGTAACTAGTAGTAACCCATATGTATGTTGAATAAGGCCTTATAAATTATTTATATGAAAGCTAGCGTCAAATATTTAACCATATTTAATGAGTTTGAACATGTGAACAGGCCATTGCACTTGTGTGTAGAGACGTGGAATGTCACTGTTGTGAGAAGGTGGGTGGAGATAGCATTGCAAGAGGACATTGATAACGCCATTGAAATTCCGAGCCCAATTGGGACTGCCCTTTGTATGGCAGCTGCCCTAAAGAAAGAACGTGAAATTGGTAATTTGATTGAATTGTTTTCGAATGAGTTTTTGATTTTTATTCCTTCAATCAAGTTTTCCTATCATCATCATTGTTGTCCCAATTATCAAACTTAGCCCCTCAATTTGAGATCTTCTAATCGAACCATTATAGTATTTAGGGGTTGATAAGTATGGAGATGCTTTGTCTTGGGAGATTCTCAACTGATCTGCAATCTGTGTTGAAGACTGATATAAACTGAAAGTTATAAAAATATCTTGAGTTAGAAGATTATCCCATCCAATATCTTAATAAATTAGACTAGTCCAAGCCTAATAAGGACTTATATATAATGCTATCTGTTATATGAGACAGATCCTGAGGACATGTGGTTTAATTTTATTTTTCTATTGGTACAATTCGCCTGGCATTTGCTATCATAGATGATAATTTTTTTATCGCTCATTTTGGGATTATCAGGAAAATATAATATCTTCAAGTTCCAAGGTTATGCCATTTTTTGTTTTATCAAAATACGCTTTTTTTTTCTCTTTTGTTCAGTTCTATGCTATGGGACCTTTTTTCTGGCTCATTAGGGTTTCTCCATGCTTGTAGCTGATCTGTGTTAGTAGGTATTGGAATGAAGTTTTTCTTTTCAGATGATTTGTGGCAATAGACATGTCCTAAATATGCGGATGTCTTCACGGTTCTCTAAGGTTTACCCGGCTGTCTTCACAAATGTGAGTCAGCCTATGGAGAAGATGCGAATTAATGACAATAAGCTTTCACTCTCCTATGATTTAGTGAAATTTAAGGTTTTCAGAAGAACCGGCTGTTATCCTTATCCTAGTGGACACAGGTAATGAAGCTCATGATATTGGAGGATGGAACTATTAATTAAGAAGAAGGTGATTTTACAAGATGCTGGAAACGTGAATGAAGCTATTTGGTGGGGCTTCAAGGCTGAATAATTACATTTTGATAAGTTCGTTCTGAATGCCCAAATGGTTGGAAGGTCTTTAAAGGAGAGTCTTCACATTTTGGTGGTGACCAACTCAATGGAAAACACAGAGACAATGGAGAAGGATTCGCTCCATCTGTTGGGAAAGCTTTAAATAGGAGTGTGCTGCCTGAAGAACTACAGGGCATACATAAAAAACAACAGAATCAACTACATAAACCCACGAACTAATTGGTGGTAATTACTATTGTTGCGGAAATTTTGGTTTAGCGTGCCTACCAGCTCGTGGCATAGGAGTAAATGTCTTTCGCTAACAGGGTGGAAGTCCACATAAATGTTTATATGATAAATAAACGATATTGGTGAGTAGGGTGAAGATATGATTTTTACATGCCTTAATAATTTCAGAATTTTTGGCCTTTGACCCCTACATGCATCCAAACAAGTTTAGGACTCTGGTGTCACCATAAGATAATAAAGACTAAGAGTGCGAGGAAAGAGTGATTAAATTATCATGGATAGGTTAGTGCTGAACAACCTTGGATTTTGTGTCTTGTCTTACTGGATATACAAGCGGACAGGGATAACAGATTAGCGTTCATTTTGATGAATTGGTAAGATATCTTTCTCTATTAGCTATGTTCTTTGATGAATTGATTATTGGTGTAGTAGGTATGGATATCAAGCTCATAATTTTGGGACGACCTTGATAACAATGAGAATTATCTATCATGCATTGTTTACAGGACGGAAGAAAAATGGCACTGTACCATTTAGATTAAAATAAGATCTCAATGCTGTTCAGACAAGGGATCTTAGGAATCAAAGGAAAGTAGGAAGATAAATATCTTTGCATGAAAGGAGTTCAATCTGCTTTTGCACCTAATAACTTAGATTTGAAAAATTTCATGTTTTTTTAATGAATAGCTGAATAACTTACTAATTATGCGCTTGAACTCCATGCCATGGTGTAAGTGTTGAAGCATTGGAAATAGTAATTGGTTCTTTTGGTAAAAGAGAGTTCGTTTTGTACATTGTACATCAAGCACATTGATACACGGATAGTTTTCAATGTACTGACTTTTTGGAGGAAGTCATATTTCATCTAAAGGATACTCATGGGGTTGAAAACAAAATTGCTTATGCACAAAGCCAAGGGTAGAAATAATTGAAAACTATGAGCACAGATGTGATTTATGAACGGACTCTGCAAGATACACTATCTATTTAATACCTCAATCCATTGTATTTATCTATATTGTAGGTGCAGAATATTTTGATGAACATATTATCTCTGCATGATCAACATCTGGGGTAGGAAATGGTAAAGATCAACACTTAGGATAGTCAAAGAGTAAGATTTTACTAGTGTTGTCTTTTTTTCGTACTGAAACGGATTATAACTGATAAGCTATCTGGAATGAGCATATTTGGTCCATTTTCTAGTTTTGACAGGAACGTTGTGAAGTTCCGAGTTAGGGTATCTATTGCTCATATCCATAGCTCTAGATTTATTCCTTGTGGAGTACTATGCTCTTTGGGCTTTTTCCCTTACCCCTTGCCAAACTTCCTACTTGATGGATATCATTACATTAGATCTGCCGAAATTGGGCCCAAAACTTTCTGATTTGTTTGAAAGTAGAGCTTCTAGGCTTTAACTATCCCCACAATCCCAGCAAGTACTGATTTCTTGAGTTCTCAGGGTGTCTAGCTTTCCTCTGGATCTTGGGTCAACTGAATAATTGATATCGATATCACATCTGGCAGTGGAAATAAAGCGAAATTTGGTGTCCAAAGTCATGTCCGCCCACTTACAAGTAGATAAAAATACTTTTTCGGGCTTGTAGCTTAGACCGATAGAATGGAGGAGATAACCATCTTTGGTGTTCTTGGAACTTGGAAAATGTATATATGAAAACGTGAATGAGAAGGTTCGATAAGATTTATTGTTTTTTTTTGTTGTAACTTAACAATAATCCAGAATGCTGCTTTGGAGTTGTTTATTGGTTACTAAGAAATTAGTCACTGAACTGATTAGGACTTTTTATCTGCTAATTAGATCAAAGAACATCATCGAGGACACTTTTTATCTGCTAGTGTTTTATCTTGCATAAGTGATCTAGAAATGCTTGGTCGTGTTATTAACTTTATTATCTTGAAAGTGATAGATTCATGCCTTTTTATATTAATTGGTAGTGGTGAAGCAAGCATGTAAGTTGGCAGGTTGTTTCTTCCAGAGCCATAATATTTCAAATTGTTTTTAAGAAAATATGGGATGAATAATACCAAATATGCTTTTGATAGGTAATGTGAAAATTGAAGAATTTTTTACAAACGATTGCAAGCTCCAAAAATTTGGTCATTGTTTGAGTTTTTGAAGGAACTTTGCTCACTTTCTGGTTGAAACGCTACAAAACTTTTACCTACGAACCAGAACCAACCATTGGTGTTTATGTATCAGGCAATCTCAAAACTGTGGAATATTGGTCTATCAAGGAGTAGTCTCATTCTGTAGTTTGTCATAAATAAATTATAATAATGATAAATACTTGTTTTTTATCTTTTCTTAGGCACTTTTATATTTTTATTTCAACCTGACGGGTCATTCCAATAATATCACGTATGCCAATCTTTTAGATATACACTTGCATGAGAAATTTTAGAAATGAAAGTGTTGAACATAGCCTTCTCCCCTTGGGGATGACCTGGAAAATGCATGTCTTGCCTTCATCCGATGTTGCGCCAAAGTACTGACATCTCTCTTTGAACATAGTAAAGTACAATATAAAGGATAGTGGTTTCACCAACTCTTATTTTCGTTTGAATTCATTGGACAGAGGGGCGAGAGTTGGTGAGGGTATTGCTTAATGCTGGAGCAGATCCAACTGCCCAGGATGATGTGCATTATCGAACGCCTTTACATACAGCAGCCATGGTTAATGATGCAGAGCTTGTTAAGGTAATTCTTGGTTTTTTTGTTGTGGGTTTTCCATTCTTCTTTGTAATTCATGAACTCCGGTCCTTTGGGGGATCTTTTTATATTTTTTTAGTCCTTTACCAGATAATGTTGGATGCTGGAGTTGATGTCAATATAGTGAATGTGCAAAATACAATACCTCTTCATGTTGCTCTGAACAGAGGTTCGAACTCATGTGTTGGATTGCTTTTGTCTGCTGGTGCAAACTGCAATTTTCAGGTATTTGGTTTCTTTTCATAATACTATGAACTACGTTTGTTATCATGATGAAGTGGGATTTGAGGAATGCTATTTTAAAGTTGCTTAAATAATTCACTATCCTTGCCAAAGCCTTTTGATTGAACTGTGTCAAAGAGGAACTATGCTTGATTCTACCATAGTAACGTGTATGGTCTAGATATGAGGAGGATCTCCTCTCCCAATATATTTTTTTTGCTTTCTTCTGACTGCGGAAATAATATTATTTTCAATTTTATTTGCAAAATAGTATGACACATAAAATCTGAGGTTTTGCATCTGACATTCTAGCATCTCTGTTAGCTCCTGTCCCATCTTTTGGTTCCTAATTATAATTCGGTGTTTATTTTGTTCAGGATGATGATGGTGATACTGCTTTCCATATAGCCGCTGATGCAGCTAAGATGATCAGGGAGAACCTCGAATGGATTGTTGTTATGCTTCAGTATCCAGATGCTGCTGTTGAGTTAAGAAATCACAGGCAAGTTACTATCCATAGAATTAAGCTTGCCTATGAAAAAACTTGTATGTGCTTCTCTCTTGCCATTATGATGGTGGCCAATTCATATTTTGTTGCTAGTTTTAGAGTCCCGTTGTCCATCCATAGAAAAATGAGACTTGCTGAACCTCTTGATTGTTGACAGAGGTATGACATTATGTGATTTTTTGGAGGCTCTCCCTCGTGAATGGATTTCTGAAGATCTGATGGAAGCTCTTATCGATAAAGGAGTTCTTCTGTCCTCAACCATGTAAGCAGAATGTTTACCTTGCCGAGTGACCATCATGCATGTTTTGGATTTCATTCAGTTCAGAGAAGTGGTTTTGCTTCCGTTTGATATCAATACATTTCGTTCTCTCCTCTGACGTGGGACTTTTTACTTGTTTCATTTGTGATTTTTAGATACAATGTCGGGGACTGGGTGAAATTCAAGAGAAGCGTGGTGACTCCTACAAATGGTTGGCAAGGGGCAGATCATAAAAGTGTAGGTTTTGTTCAGTCAACGGTGGACAATGACCATCTAATTGTGTCATTTTGCTCTGGTGAAGCCAATGTTCTGATAAATGAGATTACGAAAGTCATACCTTTAAACCGGGGACAACATGTCCGCCTAAGGAGAGACGTCAGAAACCCAAGGTATGCTTCTTTTGTCATTCAAGGCCTACTATACATGTATTCACATACTTGCATGCACATATCGGTGATGGCCTTAAGCACATATTGATGGGCATACTGCTATGCATGTAGGTTTATATAAATGCTAGTTGGAGTCATATTTAACTTCTCCCTTAAACTCACTGTGTGTCCTTACTGGTAATATAATTCTCAAACGTTTCCTTGTAATTTGGAGATGATCACTGGGTTCACGATCATTCTTTCATATCTGTGATATAGCTTCCTTGGATTAATTAAGACTCTATGATTCCGAGAAATCTTACATCCTTGTTGCCTACTGGGCTATATCGGGAATGTTTGTAGAAGCATAAAAATGTTTATACAAGGGAAAAAACTGAGCATGATAGTGTAGATATCCACAATTAAAGTTGAATAACGAAGATCAGTCCCACAGAGGTGCGATACGGATTCAATTTAGTAGGAATTTTAGCGTAGGGCTTTACAATGAAACCAGTGTGGAACCTTCAGGAGCCTTGAATTGTCTGACCTAGCTTCGTAATTACCAAGGATTGTAGCCTTAGAAAATTAATCCAACACCTATCTAGTCAATGGACCCTAAACCCAATGAGTCGTCCGAGGTCTCAGGCAATGACATAGCTTTATGATTATTATTTTCTTCATTTGTAAATTATCTCGAATGATCTAGATATGGTTACCAAGACATCTTTCCTTTCTGATGTTATACTCTTGTTGATTTATGCTGATAACAATTCTATTAAATCTTTTGAACAGGTTTGGATGGCGTGGCCGGTCACATGATAGCATTGGAACTGTTCTCTGTGTTGATGATGACGGAATTCTGCGAGTAGGTTTTCCTGGGGCATCAAGGGGATGGAGTGCAGATCCTGCTGAAATGGAAAGGGTCGAAGAATTTAAGGTGGGTGATTGGGTACGGATTCGCCCCTCCTTGACAACTGCTGTACATGGACTGGGATCTGTAACACCTGGGAGCATTGGGATAGTCTACTGTATCAGGCCAGACAGTAGCCTTTTACTGAGTCTCAGCTACCTGCCAAGCCAGTGGCATTGTGAACCAGAGGAAGTCGAACCAGTTGAACCATTTAGGGTAAAGACGTGATTTCCTTTAAATTTAGTCTGGGTCATATGTGTAACACCTGGGTTTGATTTATGATTCTTTTTATCTTACAGATCGGTGACCAGGTATGTGTAAAGAGATCTGTTGGAGAACCAAGATGTGCATGGGGTGGTGAGACGCATCACAGTGTTGGAAGGATAATTGATGTTGAAAGTGATGGGCTTCTCACTATTGAAATTCCAAATCGATCTGCCCCCTGGCATGCTGATCCTTCTGACATGGAGAAAGTGGAAAATTTCAAGGTGATACATCTCATTTCCTTCTTTGATCACATTATTGTCGCTCATTGGGATTTCATTTTTGTGGTGATTTCACTCTTTTTTTTTTTTAAACTGTTCTTGCAGGTGGGAGACTGGGTAAAGGTTAAAGCCTCTGTATCTGCTCCAAAATATGGATGGGAGGATGTTACGAGGAACAGTATAGGAATAATCCATTATCTAGAGGATGATGGAGATATGGGTGTTGCTTTCTGCTTCAAAAGCAAGCTCTTCTGTTGCTCTGTTGCTGACATGGAGAGAGTGCAGCCTTTTGCAGTGGGGCAAGAGATTCATGTGAACCCGGCTATTGTTCAGCCGCGACTTGGATGGTCGAATGAAACTCCGGCTACTGTTGGGAAGATCTCGAGGGTAGACATGGATGGCACCTTAAATGTAAGTGGAACTTACATTAACTCTCTCTGATGGGATGGATCAGACTTCATGATGGTGGTGATGATGATGATGCAATCTCCTCAACTTTTTTATTTTAATTTTATTTTTGGTGTATCCATGCTAATGTTGTTGTCCTTATCTCTATAGGTGAGGGTGGCTGGGAGAGAGTCCTTGTGGAAGGTCTCTCCTGGAGATGCAGAATGCCTTCCAGGGTTTGAAGTCGGTGACTGGGTTCGTCTGAAACAAAGCTCCAGTGCTCGACCTAGTTATGACTGGAACGGCGTTGGGAAAGAAAGCATAGCTGTCGTGCATAGCATACAGGAATCTGGCTATTTAGAGCTGGCCGGTTGCTTTAGGAAAGGGCGGTGGATAACTCACTTCATGGACGTTGAGAAGATCCCCTGCTTGAGAGCAGGTCAATATGTGCGTTTCCGCCATGAACTAGCAGAGCCACGGTGGGGCTGGAGAGGTGTGGACCCCAGCTCCCGGGGAGTTGTAGCCGCTGTCCATGCTGATGGAGAAGTGATGGTGGCTTTTCCTGGTGTGGTCGGTGTGTGGAGAGGAGACCCTGCTGACCTTGAAAGAGAGCAGCTTTTTGAGGTAGGGGAGTGGGTGATGCTGCGGGACACTGGCTGGAAGACCCTGAAACCTAGAAGTGTCGGCATTGTTCAGGCACTCGGATATGAAGGAGACTCTTGGGACGGAACAGTACGTGTGGCCTTTTGTGGGGAGCAGGAATGGTGGGTCGGGAACCCATGTCAGCTGGAGAGAGCGGAGAGGCTGGTGACAGGGGACAGAGTGCGGATGAAGAGTAGTGTGAAGCAGCCGAGGTTTGGGTGGTCTGGCCACAACCATGGCACTGTGGGTACGATATCATCTGTTGATGGGGATGGAAAGTTGAGAGTATACATGCCTGGGGGGGGGAAGGCATGGTTGATGGACCCGGCGGAGGTGGACAAGGTGGAGGAGGTGCAGATTTGTGTTGGGGACTGGGTGAGGGTGAAAAGCTCCATCACAATGCCGGCATACCAGTGGGGTGAGGTCTCCCATGCCAGCATAGGTGTGGTCCACAAGATGGAGGAGGGGAAGCTCTGGGTCGCCTTCTGCTTCCTTGACAAGCTATGGGTGGCAAGAATGTCAGAGATGGAGCGAGTGAGGGAGTTCAAGGTGGGAGACAAGGTGAAGGTCAGACCAGGGCTGGTGACTCCAAGGTGGGACTGGGGGGAGGAGACCCATGCCAGCCAGGGCGAGGTGATGGGCGTCGATGCCAATGGAAAGCTGCGGATAAGATTCAAGTGGAGGGATGGGGGGCTGTGGATTGGAGATCCTGCTGACATCGTTTTGGATGAGACGTCCAATGATAGCACCGAGTGTGAACACAGCACAATACACCAATAACTTCTAGGATGCTTTTCCCCTGCCCTCCCACACTCTAATTGTATCATTTAATGCCTGCTCCGTTCCCCACTATTACCCAACCTTTGAGCTTCTTGGCAAAAGCCCCAGCTTTGCAACCTTCAGCTGCGAAGATCCTATCCCTACCCCTCTCTTCCCCACAACCCCAGCCCTTTCTCCTTGTAGGGTACACTCACATCACACTTTATATGGGGAAGTCAGAGCTAGAGCTGGGAGCACGAAGGAGCCTATTTGTGTTTATCCTTGTATGCCTGTTGGCAGTTGGATCTGTAGCAGCCGAAAGGCTAATTTTTTTTTATGTACAGATGACTAGGCAGACCTTGTATTTCTGAGAAGGTGATCCATAAGTATTCGTTATCTTATATGCCAGGTGTACTGAGGATTTCCACCTCTATGACTGTCGAATGCCTTCTTGATCATTCGGTTCCTCCTGGTAGTGTGCTAACTATTCACGCTCATCTTCATGTTCGTGTTCATAGCAGGGTTTTGAAGGCCTGATAGATGGTTTTCTACTGCATTTGAAGATGTGGATCACATGGTAAGGAGTTGAGCAATTAGTACTCCTTTTGTTATTTGGATATAACGAGTCTTTGATAGATTATTCTCATCATATGAGATAGTGATATTTTTTTGCACTGTAATAATTTTTGCATGAAATATTCTTGTCTAAATCATGCCATTTAATTCATCCTTCAGATAAAATCATTAAATTTCAAATGCATGATGCTTTAAGGTGATCACATATGTATACATATGTATGGCGTATTTGCATTGACGACTAAAAGGTTTATCTATATGATTTTCGACTCAAGTTTACGTTCAAGAAATAATCTGGTTAGATGTATGATTCTAATTCACATAATTCTCTAGAATGTGAAAGTTGTGTTGAACATAGGCAACATGGTTTAATTCGTGTATTTTGATGTTGAATTTAGAATGATGCTTTGAAAGTGACGCACATATCAGTATTTGTAAAATGTTATGAATAAAAACTCTTAAATAGAGATTGTGTTAGGTGATCTGTATAATCTTTTCAGATAGAGAGATGAGGGAAACGTAGGGTGGCAAAAATTAGAGGGAGGCTACAATTCTTCAAATCTTCTGAGGACTTGGCTTTGTGCACTCTAGCCAGGATCAAGCCTAGTCAACTATGGCATAGGTTTTCACAAATCACCTATCCAAATTATCTTAGTGCCATTTATGTTCTTCATTCTGATTTTAAGTGGATAATATTTCACCTCAAGGTGTATATTTCTTGTGTTTCTCATGGTTTTGAAGCTTTCTTTGCTCACTTGTAACAGGTCTCTCTTACCTTCAACTACTATTTAACAACATTGTGCTTCCCAATTATAAATAAAGTAGTATAACTTTATTGGAAAGCCTTTCTAATGGGGATGATCTCTATTATGTAGTCCCATGGTAGTCCTCCAATTTCATCTGGATCCCAAATCAATTTCAAGACATTGAAATATTGAAGAGTAGTTTATATAGGTAGTATTATCTTTTTCCTAACAATGCTGCCTAACTAGGGATGTGATTTGAAGTTCTTCAAAGCATCCTTTCCATAACCAATTGGGCAAATAGAATATTCTATTGAGATAGAAGATATTTATATTTTAGCTTTTCTGTTATGTATGTACCTAATATCATCATTAAGTGAATTATTTGTTGATGATGCTAATGTACGACTGCCATCCAGTTTCTTGGATTCATTTTATCAAATGTCAGAAGTATAATATCAAACGTTTCCATAATGGTTCACATACATGCCTTTACATCATCCAGCCCTTGTAATTCTAACAGCCTTAGGAAGGTATGAGGCGGTGCATGTCAAGCCAATGATTGGTGTAACTTATTGAGATAAATGATTTTGATGCTAACCATTAATCACATAAAAGATAAAATGACGAATTGTTAATATGTTTAAATAAACTAAATGAAGAATCAAGCTTTAAATATTTAGACCTATTTTTTCATGTTGTAAAGATCTATTTTCATTCTTTCTATGTACAAAATAGATGTCAAGAAATAAATATGCATCAAACTAAATCAAATTATAACGATAAATTAAATTAGAAGAAAAACAAGAGGACAAAGACAATGTATAGATCAACTAGCAGAATGTGCGACACACTTGAGGAAGTAAAAGTATGCTGACTTGTGATCTAGAGAGAGTGTATTGACTAATGAGTTAACCTAGTCAAAACAGACTAAATCTTAGTAGTGAGGAACAAGAATTTTTTTCTTTCAAAATTTTGACAACAAAGGACAGACGATCTTTGACAAAGTGTATCTTGAAAAAATAGAATATCAAAATATTTTAACTACAACTAACCTAGTCAAAAGCTAGTCAAACTAATTACATTGTATTAGTCTGATCATGTAGTCAAACTCATGTGTCAAGCCATATAATTTTAATATATCATATCTTAGACATTTGATCTTCAATGGTCAAGATCATAAACTTTATAAATAACCTTTAGAATGAGCTTTCAATAGCATTACAATGATCAACCAAATCTTTTTAAACAGCTTGAACTTTGCTTGAAAAGATTTGTTGCAAGTTATTGTATGTCCAAGCTTTCTCTAATACCAAATGATCCACAAAGATAAGTAGGTTACTAATTCAAGATCAAACAATCATTGTAACTTTAAAGGACTTCCGTTTGTTGGATTTTTGGTTGCACTTAGATCAAGTAGTAGAGATTTAATTGATTAGATCCTAGTTTGACTTTTGGTGAGCTATTGTAATCTTATAAATTCTATATTTTTTGATCCTAAGTTCTTAATGTCACATATTTAAATCTAGAAGATCTAACTTTTTCTCACAGTGGTTTACCCTCTTACCCCATATTAAATTTCTAAGAATATCTCATTTTTGATTTCCACTTAATTAATCATTTGGCAAAATAATTATTTTTGACTAGGTTCTACTTACACATAATTTCACCCTAAAATTATTTTCTAAATTCACAACTTTAGGAGGCCTACTCGTGATTATAAGCATCACCTCCCTTGAGTAATTAAATCTGTATTTAATGATAGGTCTTTTCCTTAAAAATAAAAAAGAGTAGAATTGTGTGATTGTTTTAGTCATTTATGTTGACTTGAGGTGAATATTTTTTAGTAATCTTCAATTAAGAGGATGTTGAATTTGGCTTCATTTTCCTCCCTTCTCATTGGGAAGCTACATGATTGTTAAAAACTTTCACTTCAATAAAATGGAGGATGATGTTGGTTTAATTGAATCTTACTCCCTAACTTGTAATCTTCTTGTTGTTTGACAAAGCTATTTAAACCACTCAAATTTGAGATTCTAGTGAGGTTAGAGGTGACTATTAATTAGCATTTCAAAGGACAATAAATTTATAGAGAATATTGAGTGCAAAACCTCTTATATTGCCAATTATATTTTAACATTAAGATTCTAAAATTATTTAAAAATTTGAACGGTTGGAAACTAATATGACATATTCTTTGTGTTGGAAAATTAAATGAGTATCAAATGAATAGCATTTGATGATGAGAAACCCATATGATTCCAATAATGGATCTAATTATGCTAAGAGCTACAAAACTAAATATTCTTTTATATACAAAGATGAATTTAATTGAACAAAAAAACAAAAAAACTTTAATATAATAATTTTCAATACCCAAATAAGAACTCAAATAATGTATTTATTATTATAATATCGAATTCCAATGTGATATTTGTACTAATATAAGTTATTATTTTGAATATTACTAAACAAATATTAGTATTTAGAGAAAATTTGAATATAGAAAATTAATAATTAACACATTAGAATGAATAATAATTTTGGAAGCTAAATATGATTGAAGGCTTACTAAGTCTATTATATACTCTCATTAGACTAAATAATTCTTTTTTAATGTTCTTGGTATTGAATTAAAATTCTTCATACTAGCATTCAATTTTTTCTTAATATTAAAAAATATTATTTAGAATAATTTTAAATATTTAGTAGCACCAAAATTCTGATTTTCTTATTGTATATGTAACTTAATGTGTCCATTTAATAGTTAAATGTTATTTGAGGCAATTGGAATAATTATTGACTAATAAAATAATATTTTATTTTAAAATGTTTTATGGGTTCTATTTTGATTATAATAGATCTTTACCAAACTTGTTTGAATGTAGAGGATTGAAACATATTTGTTGATACTTAATGCTAATACACATTTGTGTCCCTTAGAGGACATCTGAACCCTTAAACATTATGTCATTTTAGTTTCCAACGATTGAAAATTATAATTAATTTTAATATTTAAAGATCGAGAGGCACCATAAAAGGAGAGGTTTTTGTGTTTGATTGCCAATAAATTCAACACCTATTTAATAGCTAATTAGTTGCGAATGATTATCTCTAACCTTTCTATCATCTTCAATGGCTAATTAATTTTGAATGTTCATCTTTGATTCCTTTAGTATCTTGAGTTTTATTTTCACATTGTATCCCAAGAACTTGATGCTAATTTGAGCAGTCTTCTAAATTGGGTAAACAGGAGGAAAATGATCTATTGATAAAATAATTCAATGCTTATGTGTTCTTTGTTGACTAGATTGGAACAACAACCCCTTTTACAATCTCCTTGATTTTCATTATAAAAATCAGTGTAAGTCGGTGTAGTTAGGGGAAAAATATTATAAAAATCTTTGAGTATTTTAGATTTAGATAAATAAAAGTCTTGACATTTTGGATCAGATAAAGGAGAATGAGGAAATTAGAAGTGTTGATAAAATGTAGAAATAGGGTCTTATCAATCCAATCACCTTTCTTGATCTAAGTGCAGCCTAAAATCTAATACTTTATAGTTCTTCCAAGAGAAACCAATAATAGTGTTATGTAAGTCTTATCTTCACACTTACTTTGACATGAGCTTTTATGTCATCTTGAAACAACTACTTGTCAAGTTGTTAGTGATGTGCTCATGTGTCCCTCATATGACTAACTAAAGTTGAACAACTATAGAATCAACACCAATACACATTTGAGGGAACTTCCACGTCTATTGCTAATGTACACACTTTTTCAAGTGTTTGTGGGCTGCTAGGCACTAGTACTCAATAAATATTTGTCATAGTTGGCCAAATTGAGGAATGATGTTTTCCTAGGTCATATACATATCATTATCCCTCGAAATGTGATTCAAGAAGGCAACTTCCTTTGGCACAAATTATCACTCTGCCAAATTGAGAGAAAAAAAAAAGAATGTTTTCTTAGCTTGCACAAATGTTTCTAAGATATACCATGTGTTTGTCTAAATTTAAAATATAGATAAGAATATTGTCAAGGTAAATAACAATAAACCTTTCAATGTGCTCATTGAAGATGACATTTGCTAGAGTAAAAAGTAATGATAAGGCATTAGTAAAACCAAACCACCTCATCATGAACTCATATGTGTACGATTTAATGCCACACTTAAAAAAGAGAGGGTCAAAATTTTTAGTTTCTAATTATGACTTTAGATGATTCTAATCAAGATCTTGAATGTTCTTCTTCACATCTTAAATCATATGATTTTCCTAAATCTATTAGTGTGTGACTCCAGAATTTTTGAAGTTGTTTGGTTCCCTGCCTATGTACACTATTGAAGGAGAAGCCCATTCTTTAGATCTATTTGATTGAATGTTTCGATAACAACTGGTGATGACTGGGTTCAACTCCCTCATAATTTCACCTAAAATTATATTTCAGATTCATGGTTATAGGTGCTGAACAACTAATTAATGGATTAACTCCCTTGAGTGATTAAATCAATATTTAATCATTAGTTTATGTCATAAAGAAAATGAAAGATTTCATCATGGGTTGTGTTTAGAAGATGGGCTTGACTCAAGGAGGATTCAAAAATTTGATGTGAACAATGATGACTTGAGGATAACTGTTACTATCCTCTACTCATAATGTTTTTGGCTGAATGTGGAAGCCATTGTCGCTTTGATCTAGTTGAGAAAGACTGCTGATGGCTTAAAATTGGTTCCTTGACTTGTTGCATTCAGATTATTTAACCAGTGAGAAATACCTCACAATTCAAAATAATGTGACATAGACTTAGTTACATATAATGATTATAATTTCACTGAAAATATAACTGATAATGAAACATCAAGGAGTTGTGCTTAATTTTAAGTGAATATCTTATATTATTAACATCAAAGAAAATAAGAAACAAGTATCTTGTTCATAGGTGAAGCTGAATACATAGTTGTCTAACTATGCGGTACACATATTTTTGGGGTTTAACCCATAGGTAAGGGATTATAAGATTGACTTTGAAAGAGTTCTAATCATTATATCTAGGTAATTACTTTAGAAAAGAATTCAATCATTCATACCAAAATAGAGCACATAAATACTATCATTTCGTCCATGATCATGTGAATAGAAATTATTTTGCTTTGAATTTTTTTGATACTGGATTTCAATTAGCAAATTATTTCACTAAAATTTTTATTGCATAAATATTTATAAATTAAAAAAATAGGATGTATATTGAAAAAAAGGTTTGTAATTCAACTTGAATTTACAGCTTTGAGTTCTAAAATTGTTATAAATGTTTAAGGTATTGTTTCTTCTAATATATATTTTGAAAGTGTATGAAAATTATGTGCGCAGGTGAATTGGTAAATGAATGTGATTTTTTTTTATAAATCATCTGATTTACAATTTTTGAAGAGCCTATAATAACTTGAAATTGGCAATCCCTAATAGACAACTAAATGGTTGACTTTGTAGGAGTCTCTCTTTCGTTTTATTTGCTCTGATGGATTTGCTTCACACATGGAAACTCGTTTCTTAAAATTAAGTAAAAAATGCTTCATACATGGGAGACACTATCTCTTTCAAATTTTTTATGAGACTTCTCCTGGGTTATTGTCATTGAATATTCTCCATGAACACATATCAATTATTAATATTAAAATTTCTATTTTAATTTTGAATGCTATGAAAAAAGTACTGATTTAAAGTCAAACATATGTTTCACAATGTTGAAAGTGAGTCATCCCTTTGACTTGGTTCATTATTTTCTATGAGATGTCAACTGCTTGTTCCATTAACCACACTAGCTAACTTAATGCAGCTTTGTATGAATGTTTGATAGGTGTCCCTAGGACTATTTCTTTCAAGTTTAAAGACATTAAATATAGGAAATAAAAGGACAAGTAGGAAGATAAATGAAATGACTTGCACATTTCCATGAATCTTTTTGATTGCACACTTTTGAACGATTGAAATTTTTCTCATGTTGTTACTACAATTTTTTCCTATAGAACTGAAAAGCTCAGGAAACCTCTTAAAGCTCTAATAAACTGGATATGAATATTTCACTACTAAGAGTCAGGTTTGGGAGGGCCAATGGATATTTGGTTGTTGTCACTTGTAATCATGAAATTGGTGGAGAGTATGCACTCAAAGAGCAAGTAATATCTGAATCTGCAGCTGATCCTTAGTCCCCATGAGTCCTTTTGTGAAGGGTTTACTGAGAAACTATAGAAGGTCACTTGAAATTTATGTGGGTGGTCTGTGAAGAATCCTCAAGTGGAGTCTACATGTATCAAGGCTATTATTATCATTAATCTCTCTATGATATAAGAAGGGGGGCACCACTGTTTGCAATATATGTGAGATAATTCTCTCTCTAAAAGGAAAAACGAGGACTTTGTGAGGCTGAGACGCATGAAAGGCTTTCCAAACCACGTAAATCTGGTGTCTCTTTTTTCTTTCTCCTTAATCTCTTTTGTTCATCTATTTTTGTTGAGCGAGTGACGCTTGCCACCTAACCATGCAAAGCACAGCGCCAAAGATTTCCGCTAGATAAAACTCTCCCCCCATTCTCTTCCTCTTCCGTTTTATTTGCTCTATACAAATTCAACAGGAGAGGTTACGGTGGGAGGCACGTGCGCTGCAGCGTGCGAGGTAGATAGTCCGCGCGCGCGCGAGAACAACGCTCCGCCGAGGGCGAGAAAGAGAGGGAGGAAAATTAAACTATTCAATCAGCTCCGTGAAATCCGGCCTTTCTTCCGTCGAGGGTCCTCTGCGTCCCTTGTCCTCCTCCCCTCCACTCGATCCGCCATCCAATCAACCCTCCTCGGAGCCTCTCCCTCGGCGTCCATCTTCCCCGATCTGTCTCTATCGCTCTCTCTTTCTCTGTCTCTGTTTCTCTGTATGTAGTTTCCCGAGGAAGAGGCGCAGGAGTCGATGCAGTGGCAGCCGGAGAACCAGGCGGAGTGAGCAGGCGCCGCCCTCTGCGGACGCGGGCGTCGACATTTCGTAAGCTGGAACGAACCAGGTACAGGGGAGAGATGGAGGAGGACGGCGAGGATCTCCTGGCAGCTCTCAGCCTTAACGGCGGCAGCAGCAGCAGCCGGTACGGGGGCACCGTGGTGTGCAACACGATGCCAGCGCCAACCCCGCCGCCTGGACATCAGAGGAATAAGGTGATGTCCTATAGCCAGCCCATCCCCCGCGACGGTGACGGTGGGAGCAGTGTCCTCGGCGGCGGCAACGGGAGGGGTTCCGCGCGGAGGAACAGCCTCGAGGAGGAACGGATCCCGAGGAGCCGTAGCAGCAGTGATAACGAGTACAGCACGGCAGAGGACTGGAATGATGACTACGGCGGGGGCCCTGATAATCTCCGAAATCCGTATTTCAGCCACAACCAGCAGCTCCGGTTTTATCAGTCGTTATCTTGTCCTGATGAAACAGACCGGAATCATTATCATCGTCAGCATCATCCTCAACTAAGTCATCATCTACACCCATCTTCATACCACCAATATGGAGGAGGGGTATTTCTCGGCAGCGTCAGGTTTAATGACACGTCCTCATCCCTGGGTTGGAGGACGTCCACTGGAGGTGGCAGTGGCACATTCTCACCACCCAAAATGTCAGCGGGAGTGGGAGTTGGGGCCGCGCTGCCGGAGTTCACGGGTGCTGGCGGAGACCAGGGTATCTTCAAGTTGCCATTGCGGGCACCGGTGCATCCTGGACGGCCGCCATCGCTGGATCTTAGACCGCATCCTCTCAGGGAGACACAGGCAGGGTCTTTCCTTCGGACCATTGCTTGTACACCCACTCAACTCTGGGCTGGGCAAGAATCTGGTGTTCGGTTCTGGAACTTCTCTGACTTATACGAGGGACAGGAAGGAGAGGGAAGGATCTTAGTGAGAGGGGATGAGGAGTCTGCCCCATTCCGCATATCCCACCAAACATCTCCGACACTGTGCATGGTTGTCGATGCTGCCACGCATTTGGTTTGGACAGGGCACAAGGATGGCAAAATCAGATCGTGGAGGATGGACCAGCCACGGCATCATACTTTTGCTTCTTTCGACTCAACTATCCCCTCTACTACGAGCTCTGGATCATCCCAACATATTCGTTCCTTTAAAGAAGGCCTTGCATGGCAGGCACACCGGTCTCCTGTTTTATCAATGATCATCACATCATATGGTAAAAAATATTATGAGCTTTGTCTCCATTATCTTTATCCTTATCTAGTACATAAAGTTTTAGGAAAAATCTGTAGGCTCTTTGATATTTTATTTTTCTCATGTATACCGCATTGGTTTTTCTCTCTATTTGAAATAAGGATGGCTACAAGTTACTTGCCTTTCTGTTTTTTTGCGTGTATGTTTTTTTCCACTGATCAAAATTGAGTGTTTTTAAGACAAAGAAAAACTGAAATGTACAATAGTTAAAACTCTTAACGTGGCAAAAATGTAGCATGATGGTTATGTGATTGAAAGAGGACAGAATACTATTGACACCCCTGGAGTTTCTCTTTTCATTTCTCCTTTCATCTTGTCCCTGTAGTGCTTTGACCGGTAAATATGAAAGACTCGCTTAAATTATATACACCAGTGTGATGTTGCCGCATTATGAGACATAGTGATCTGCTTGTGATGAGTTATTGACCCTATTTCACAGAAGCATCGATCGTTTCAGTGTTTCCTTGCAACAAGGGATCTATAATTTTTCGTCTGGGTTTTGATATGTTGAACCTCTTTTTTATTCAAATTAATCATTTATGTTACAAAGCTTCTGCAACATTTTTTGTATGCGTAAATTAAATAAAAATATGTTTTTTTGTTACACCATGATATTTTTTTTTGTTGAGGTAATTATTAGCTTGCACCATGAGGAAGGATTGATAAGGCATCTAAGGGAGATTTTCAATCCATTAATCAAAGAGAGAGATCTATCTGGGAAGTTCTTAGGGTGGACCTGTTAAGTGGCATTCAATAGTGTCATTGGGATTGGGAAGTGAGATTATTTATTTATGGGATGGTGCGGCATTAACATGCTTGGAAAAACACTAATTGTAGGTGGTCAATTTTACGATCTGAAAGTTATTAAGTTACCAGTAAGAGTGCAAAAATCGCTTAGAGGGAAGGTGCTGGTATTACGATGAAAACCAAAGACTGATTCGGACCTTGGGTACAAACGTGAGAAACATGGGATGGTTATCACTGTTTTTTCTAACTAAGCCTTTCACTGCCATTTTAGTGGCTTACAAGAATCCTATTTAGTGGAGAGCAAAATAGAGATTTAAATTGGAAGCCTATGAAAATCCATATACTTAGGAATAAGTGAGACGAAAAAGTGTTTGTAGCTTCCTTTCAAATAGGAGGGAAAGTGCTGATTTATTGGAAAATCACAGCTGATGATATAAGTTTAAGATCTGGATGTTTACTAACTCGTGGAGTGTATTATTATGCAAAAAGATATGCACTGCTGTTTAAAGACTCAGTTTTGGTGGCATGATCTTAATCTATTATTATTCCATGGTTCAAGACTAAGATAAAGCATGCTTTAAAGCCTTTTCGCTCATAGCTAGAATGGGGAAGGACAGGATAGACTCTTTGAATGCTTTTGTGTTCTATCTTTTGTGGTTTTCTTTTTCCTCCAGAAGTTCCTTTACTTCGATTGTTTTCGTATTTTCTTTTCTATTCTTTCATTACATTAAGCTTTGCGCTATATTTTGATTTTTGCCCTTATTGGCAATTTTTTTATAGGATTTGGGCTTCATCAACTGAAGTCCTATTGAACGTACAGTTCACGCTTGTGCTTTTGCTTTAACTCTCAGTGCACTTCTGGAATCCTGTGTCTAATGGAAGGGAAAATGCTAACCAATACACAATATTTTTGTAACCCCTGAACTTTAAAGGATGTGATGAACTGTCTGGGAAACTGGGGGAACAACCGAGAAAAGAAGGAAGGCCACCTGGAGGGAATCTTTCTGGGCATGTGTCGTCAGAACATCTGGTCAGGGATTTATCGACAATGTTAACAATTTCCTAAATAATTAATTGAAATTCTGATGATTGCAAATTCATCAAATCTTGTGTTCTGCCGAGGTCATATTTCTATTATTTGGAGAACGAATTTCCGATTTGGAGGGGAATACTTGAACTACAAGTTAGATCGGAAGAAAATGAATGAAATATCAAGGGGATGCTTGTTGGGATGCCTTGAGTGAGGTTCGCTGTCATTCATTGAAGTTAACGAGTTTTTTTACTCAAAGATAGCTCGAACAGACATTATTCTGAATATCAATTTTTCCCAGGGTTACAGTACAGTAGAAGTCCCACCAAGCAAACACAGATAAGTGCGGCCCATCTGGGTTTACTTGCAATATCCTTGCATAAGGACCAAAACAGAAGAGCACTGATCCTCAATCCAAGAGCCATCTTAAATTCTTTATGATATAGTCTGACATGTTAACTGATTTCCAGGATGATGGAATCATAGGACTTTGAGCTGAGGGTTCAAAGAATGTTCTCAATCTAGGGATCAGTGCGAATAAAATTCTGTTTTCTTTGGTTGTTTATTTTTATTTTCGCTTGAGTGAAAAGGCCAAGGTGAAATCATAAAGATAATGAATACCAAAGAAGGCCGAGTGTCAGACTTTTCTATGACACTATGGCATCAAAAACCTTTTGAGGACACAGCGGAGAATATGCATAGGAATTTTTTATTCCTTAAGTAGAAATTATGATGCATTAAATTGTTTAACTGATTAAGGGATAGACATATGTCCTGAATATCAATTTTTTTGGTGAATCATTCGAAAATGAGTTGTTTATTGAGGTCCTAATTCTAAATGTGGTATAGCTTATATATACTTATGAATGTTAGGGAAATAATCTAGAAAGATAAGTTTCTTTTTCAATTCTCAGATTTCCTACTAGAGTTTTAAGTGTTACTGTTGATCAAAGAAAACTTAATTTGGTGAAAGGTAAGATGAGTCACATAGATATTGAAAGGGTGAGCAATACAAGGTTTTCTTTTGGAAATCATCCAATGCCATCTTATGCTGATCTGTTTGTGATTATTTTCCTTGACCAACTAGAGAAATGACTTATTTTGACTGAGTTTTACCCTAGAAATTTATATTACTCATTCTCTTGTACGTGTCTTTTAAGCCAAGTTTCAAGTTTCGCACAAAGAATGCCTACAGCTTCTATTGAACAGTAAAATGTTATGACTTTGGTATATAAATTGCATTGCAATTGTATTTAGTCTATGCTACATAAAACTTTTACGTGCATAAATATGTTCAATACATTTGTGGGCTTCTGTTGAGAAGTTTATCAGTTACACTACAGGATACAGATTAGGACGTCTCTCTATTTGTCCTCCGAATTCCAAGCTGTCATTTATTTGTCAGAGAAGTTTTGATCGTGCTGTGATTAAATATTCTCCCATTGAAATGGATCATATTCTGGATAATGGAGCCCTGTTAAAAAGTGGTTAAAAGGTAGCATGGTAGGCCTGTGCAAGCCATAAGTAATTTGTTTTTCGAGTGAATGACTACAAAGTCAACAGATCATCATTGATCCTGGCCAAGTGGGAATATCATTATTTTTCTTACTTAAAAGTAAGCTGTTCCGGCCAGAGACTCATATACAAACTATCAATGTTTTGTATTTTATACAAAGATATAGGAGACATTACTGATGTTAAAATCCAAAATGACTAGCGGAGATTCGATGTCTTATTATTGGATTGAATGTAACCTCTTTGGTAATTGTCTCTGTGGTTTCATTGATTAGTGGGCATTATCTTAATTTGTCTTTGTTATCTTATCATTTAGTTGTAGATTTTGATAATGATGAGTATTTACTCCTCTTTTCGGCCAAAGTCTTTCTTTCTGCCCATCTTTTTGGTAACATCTTGGTTGCCTTTTTAATAAACGGATATGGTTTTCAAGTGGATTTCAGCATGAAACTAAGTGTGTGTTGTTTTAAAATCCAGGTGATCTGTGGTCAGGTTCGGAGGGCGGTGTTATAAAGGCATGGCCTTGGGAAGCCGTTGAAAAATCTCTTTCTTTGCCAACAGAGGAAAGGCATATGGCTGCTTTGTTGCTTGAGAGGTCATATATAGATCTCAGGAGTAATGTTACCGTTGGAGGTGTCTGTGCTCTGCCCGCTTCAGATGTAAAATACTTGTTATCTGATAACTTGAGGTCAAAAGTGTGGAGTGGTGGTTACTTATCCTTTGCGCTATGGTATATGTCTATTTTACGTTCAATTATGTGTTTACTAGTTTCCTCTAATTTCTTGGGTTATATTTTGAATGTTATGCATTCTTACGTTATTATATTTTAATTTTGATGAGCTATTACTCAGGGATTCACGTACAAAGGAACTTCTGAAAGTATTTGGCATTGATGGCCAGGTGGACACTCGCCTGGATATTTCACCAGTCAATGATGCATATATAGAAGATGAGATGAAAATGAAATTTGCTGCAACATCGAAAAAGGAAAAATCTCAGGGTTCTGTTAGTTTTTTCCAGCGCTCACGTAATGCACTTATGGGAGCTGCTGATGCTGTTCGTAGAGTTGCTGTTAAGAGTGCTTTTGGTGATGATAACCGGAGGGCTGAATCACTTGCAATATCCATGGATGGTATGATTTGGATGGGATGTGCGAATGGTTTGCTTGTTCAATGGGATGGAAATGGCAATCGATTGCAGGAGTTTAATCATAATTCCTCCTCTGTTCTTTGCCTTTGCACGTTTGGTACACGGCTATGGGCTGGGTATGCTAATGGTTCTATGCAAGTTATGGATTTGGAAGGAAATCGTTTCGGTTCTTGGGTTGCTCACAGCAGCCCAGTTATAAAGATGACCGTTGGGAATGGTTTTGTGTTTACATTGGCTAACCATGGTGGCATTCGTGGATGGAATTTGACATCTCCAGGGCCTCTTGACAAGATCTTGCTTACAGAGTTGACTAATAGACAGATTTTGTATACAAAAAAAGAAAATATTAAAATATTGGCTGGAACTTGGAATGTAGGTCAAGAAAGGGCATCTCATGATTCACTCATAGTGTGGCTTGGCAGTGCAGCATCAGAGGTAGGCTTGGTTGTTGTTGGTTTGCAAGAAGTTGAGATGGGGGCTGGCTTTCTCGCGATGGCTGCTGCAAAAGAAACTGTAAGAGTCCGTTAGCAGCTTTATATTTTTATCTGCTTTACATTTTTCTAAAGAGTGTAGAAAGCATGTTAACCTTGGAATGGTGTTCTCAATGGCTTTATTGTGCATTCTTTATCTTTTTTAGAAAAAATTATCTGATGCTTTGAGTTGTGATGAAAAAAAGTTATCGTCTTTGATGGTTACCTCTTTACTTTTGCTAAACTATCATGCGGTAATTTTTCTACCATTAATTATCGATGTATACATGTTTGGGTTTTGATCTAAATATCTGATGTGTGTATTTTTAAACTGCTTCAAGCCTGTCAACATTGCATAAAGTTGGAAGGTCTGAAAAGTTCTATAGCTTGTTATCCAAATTTTCATCATTTTCAGGCATGGTCTGATTAATTTGCTTCGGTATCTTCGTCAGTAGATGAAGATATGTTTACGTGCACGAATGTCCCTCGCTTGTTTAGTCGTTTCCTCTGTATGCACCATATTATAGCATCTGTGTATGCCGACATTTGCATCTTCATTTCTCAATGAATACAGTATACATTCAACATGTAGGTTTTCGTGACTGTTAAGCAGGTGTTTTTTTCTGTTCAGATTTAACCCAACAATAAGATTTTAATCTGGAATTACCTCAGTATATGGAAAATTTATATTCTATATGATTATTTTCAGAGTTTAATGCAGTATGTTTTTCTGTCATGGCTCTCTTATAGATTACATTAAATGCGTAATTATTTTTCGTTTATATTGTAGTTACTTCTGGGCTAAAGCTAAAAGTTAGGTCGTGAATTTGTTATTTGCTTTGGGTGCCTTTGTCTACTGACCATTATCATTATTTATAAAATCATGTGATGTAACCTTGAAAATAACTCTATCTGTAATGGTCTTGATGACTGCTTACTCTTACCTGATTCCAGGACCTTCTAAATTTTGTATGGCCTGGATTCGCTCTTCTTTTTTTAGAAAGACATTATTTGTATGCACTTGTTTTGCAAATAATTTACTTATATTGTTACCTTGAATGGGAATCTTGATGATCCAAGAAACTGTGATAGAGTGTTTCGGTAATTTGGATATGTAGGTAATGACATACGATTTATTTGTCCAAAGTTTATTTGATTTATGAATGTTTTGGAATAATATATTTTTTTCCGTATAAAATAGACACATTGGCTTTTTTGTTCCATATTTTCTCAGACTACATTTTTTCGTGATTACTTTGGCATTTTTTTTTTTTTTGTGTCCAATTTCAGATGCAATTTTTTGTGTCTATCGTTGTTCTTTGTCAGTGATATTTTTCTGATTAGTACGTTGGGTCCATCCCTTGAAGTCATGACATTTTTAGTCGTTTTCCATATTGATCGTAGGTAGGACTGGAAGGGAGTGCTAATGGGCAGTGGTGGTTGGATACTATAGGGAAGACATTGGATGAAGGAACAAGTTTCGAACGAGTTGGGTCACGACAACTTGCCGGGCTGCTTATTGCCATATGGTAAACAATCATCCTGAAGTATTATTTATTCAGTTGGACTCAGTTTATGGAGAATTTTGGTTCTGTCTGAGCACATTTCAAGACCGTGATGCACTAATACTTTTCCTGGTCAAAAAATTACCCTTGCTTCACTTTTCTCTTTCTTCACAGGGCTAGGAAGAATCTTCGGGCGTACATTGGTGATATTGATGCTGCTGCTGTACCTTGTGGTTTTGGGCGTGCAATTGGAAACAAGGTGAGTGCCATTTTTTTTAGGTCTTATCCTGCAGATAAAGACAGTACTTTGAAGGTTGTCAGATCCCTGTTGTATCAAATGAAATTTGAGATGAAAGAAATTTCTATGTATTGCACCAGTTACACTATCGATACTTGCTTGTAGAATCAGCAAGTTGTCATGTCCTAAACATTTTTGTCGAGACTTCTCAGGACCTTTAGTGATTGGTAACGACCATTTTATTGTATGACTATGCAATACTTATGATCGAATTATTAATGCGCCAATAAATCAAGGAATGAAAAGTAATCAGCAAAAATCTGTCCACAAACAACTTATCCGGGTGATAATTTGATGGTACTCCTTTTGCAAATGAATGTCAAGCTTAGGAACACCAACGATCTGCTCAATATTCTATCCGTAAATAGCAAAAACATATAGTTGAATCATGCTAACTCGAGCTTACTCGGCGTTTATTCAATGGAATTTATGGAAATAGCACCTTTGAAAACAATGGACAACCTTCAAAACACTTGGTACAGCCATTTGGATGATCCCATTGCATATGACTGTTTGGTAACTTGGACTAGAGTTTCATAGTTTTTTCTCACACATCATCCTTTTCCATTTTTTTTGAGGATTGATGTCCACCGTGGTCTGTAGATTATGACTTTAAATCACTGATTCCTGTTGAAACGGCAAAATTGAGGGCCTTTTATATTTCGGTTGCAGAAGTATAAATTTTATCCCTCATTGAACTTAAAAAAGAAAGACTATAATAATTCCAAACCAATTGGTTATATGCTAAAATTATTTGAATCATTGAGAAATAATCTAATTTCTATGAAAAATTGCAGATGGCCAGAAATAAGAAGCAACGGGTAGAAAAAAGAGGGTCAACAAAAATTAGAGAAATGCACTAGAAACTAAGTAAAATCACTTTTCCATTTTGAGTGTTAGATCTGGATCACATACAGGATTCGTATTTCCCATTGATTTGTCTCCATTGTGCACTTTGCTTTAGTTAGGCTTAGCTTTTTCCTGATCAGTTGGAGCTATGGTTACTTGGGCTACGAGCAAACTCTATTATATGTAATTGAGTATTTTGAATGGATTATCAGTGATTTTGAATTTAACTCAGCTCAATAATTCACAGCCCGCCCTGATCTTTCCCTTTGATTCGCTTGGATAGTGACTCGTTAGAGTGTCTTAAAAGACGCTTTATTTCAATGGATTAGCAATCGTGGTGACTATACCCCTATTTTTGTCCTTCCTTGATTTCATTTACTCGGTATAGATTAACTGAAATAACATTCTCAGGTCAACGCTTGATTTTCACAGTAAACATGCTTATTTATCCTTATTTTTTCGCTAAATGGCATATTCCATCATGGTACCAGCAATGTTAAAGCCTTTTGTTTCCATTTTTCTCTTGCAGAAACTGTCTAATTTACATTAGTGTACTAGATGGGGTATTGGGAAATTTTGGGTGACGTATTTTATCCACTTTCTTTACTTTAATGTCACCATGAGACCGAGATTTTTGCGGAATTCGCCATTCCTTCTGTCTATGAACTTATGGATTACAGATCTTTTATTATAAATAATTTAGGAGTCGAATTTTTTCAACAGGGGGCCGTAGGATTGAGAATAAGAATCTATGACAGGATAATGTGCTTTGTGAACTGTCACTTTGCGGCACATTTAGAGGCAGTCAATCGAAGAAATGCCGACTTTGATCATGTTTACCGGACCATGACTTTCAGCCGACAATCACAGGGACTGAATGCTGCTAATGGTATGGTACTATGCCTGCGTTGGTTTTCTTCTCTCATTATATGCATCCAACTGTGCTCTCTGATATATGCGTGTGGAAAGCAATGCATACATGTGGGAGGATATTGCTCTACACGTGCAAGTACCGAATGTGCAAATGTGTTTAGCCTGGTGGTTTATTTGGTTTTCTTGATCCTGTTTGGTGCAGCTGGCGCTTCATCTGCTCTTCAATTGTTTCGTGGACCAAATGTACGTAAAACATTTTTCATACTAAAGTGACTCATTTGACTTCACTTTCATATAGTGTCTCTTTTCTCTCCGACTGAGGGCCCTTGGCATTTCAGACTGATGATGGGAGACCTGAGCTATCTGAAGCAGACATGGTTATATTTCTTGGTGATTTTAACTATCGGCTCCATGGCATATCTTATGATGAAGCAAGAGACTTTGTTTCTCAACGATGTTTTGACTGGCTTCGGGAAAAGGATCAGCTGAGAGCTGAAATGAAACTGGGGAAAGTATTTCAAGGGATCCGTGAAGGGCATATAAAATTCCCTCCTACATATAAATTTGAGAGGCATCAAGCTGGCTTGTCAGGTATTTTTCTGAAGGATGTTCCCAACATAATACATATTTCACGTTGCTGAACTAGGTGTTGCCTCTACCAGTTACTGTCGGAAATTCAGAAATTACTTGCTTACAACATCAATGCAATTATGAAATTTTCATAGTTTGGATTTGATTGGTTCCTTCGCAGGGTATGATTCCAGTGAGAAGAAAAGGATTCCTGCCTGGTGCGACAGGATACTGTACCGTGATAGCCGTTCCGTTTCATCCTCTGAATGCTCTTTAGAATGTCCAGTTGTTTCTTCGATTTGTCAGTGAGTGTTCTCAAATTCCTATTTCTTTGTTCTCTATAAGAGTTGCTTGTTTGATGACTAATCGGCACTGTTCTAAATTCTTATCAGATACGATGCGTGCATGGATGTTACTGACAGTGATCACAAGCCTGTCCGGTGCATATTCAACGTTGATATTGCCCGCGCTGATGAATTGACAAGAAGGCAAGAATTTGGGGAAATAATGATGTCAAATGAGAAAATTACCTCCTTGCTTGAAGAAGTATGCACCGTTCCCGAAACAATTGTGAGCACCAATAGCATAATCTTACAAAATCAGGATGTCACCATTCTAAGAATCACAAATATAAGTGAGACGGAAAAAGCGATGTTCGAAATAGCTTGCGAGAGGCAGTCAGCAATCATGGAAGATGGGTTCGCAACAGATCACTCTGCAAGAGGCGCCTTTGGCTTTCCTCAGTGGCTAGAGGTATTTTTCAGACCCCATGATGAATAATAATTTTTTTTCTAGTCTGCCCTTGCCCATTTTACTCAAGGGATCCTTCTATTACGATATGCATAAGAGGGAGAAAGAGGGACCCTCTGTCCCAGAGAGGAGGAGCGGCGGAAAGACTTCCTCAGTTTCTCATCGCTAAATAACACCCATTATATATGGTGTGAACCCTACACAACATTGTCCAGATTGCCCTCAGGCTACATCCCCTAATACCTTCTGTTTGCACTCTGGTGATTACTGTTGGATGTGGAGCTTTCCGCCAATTTCAGTTTATTACCTTGAAACCAGAATAGATGGCAGCCGGTAAGCCATTGACATTAGGACTAGTGAAGGCGCGCACCCCACTCCTGGCATTGGTTGGCAGAAGATGAAGAAGAGAGAGGGAGAAACTCAACTCTGCTGCCATACTCAGTATGCTGTCACCTCCAGCCTCTGCTTGCTGCTGTCCGTCACCATTGTGGGGCTTCTTCCTTGTATCACCTTGACTATACCGTTGTGCCTGTACACCCACCAGTCCTCTTTCTGATGAGTTGCTGCCATCTTAAAAGACACAGCACCGAGGTTCAAGTGTTTTTCCGTGACGTCTTTCTCTTTCGTTTTCCTCACTTGCTTTGCTTACAGTGAAGAAAGAGGAAGAAGGAAAGCCGTCCTTTTTCTCCTCATTTGATCTTCTCCTCATCTGTGTGCTGATTCCGATGCAGGTGGCGCCTGCGGCGGGCATGATCAGGCCCGGGCAGACAGTGGAGGTGTCCATGCAGCACGAGGACCTGCATACGCTGGAGGAGTTTGTCGACGGGGTCCTGCAGAACCGGTGGTACGAGGACCTCACCAGGGACAAGGAGGTGGTGCTGCTGGTGCATGTCACCGGGGACCGCTCGACCGAGCGGCGCAGGCACCGCGTCACCGTCCGCCACTGCTTCTCCTCCCGGGCTAGCGGCGCCTCCTCCTCGAGGGGTCCCTCCCAGAGGACTCAGTCCAGCGTCCTCCACCGCTCAGACTTCCGCTACCTCGGCAGCTCCTCAGACATCGTGGACGACTTCCACTACATGCACGACTCCTGAGGCTCCGCTTCCTTGTTTGTACATACACGGTCGATGAATCACCCCCGCTCTTATTTCAAACACCCCAAAAAAAAAGTATATGAGAGAGAGAGAGAGAGAGAGGTCTTAGGTTGTTGGTGTCGTTGTGGATAAAAGAAAAGGTTCCCCTACGGCTGACACTTTCATCACCGGGATATTCTTTGGATATTCATTCGATTCGAAGGCTAAGAAGCCAGACTGTTCCCAGGACTGAGTTATTGTTTCATGTGATAGACTTGATTGCACCCATAACTACAGAAATTCCTCGTCACCCGTTGGTACTGTAAAAAAATACAATTCCTCGTCCCGTAAATTTCATTGCCCCGTCTTGGACGCCCATCAAACTCAAGGGTCTTTTCCTATCAACAAAAATGATTTCTTCTGTGGCAAGAAAGAACATACGCAGATTGTATCTCAAAATCTAGCTCATGAATTCTTGACTTAACTTTGTGTGTTATTTCTGAATTATTTGAGATAACTTAGCTAGACAGTTGGCTGAATAAACCATTAAGAGTTAGTTAGAAGCGGGCAGGTACGAAGTCTCGTTGACAAATGGGGACCCAACTTGTCTGCACAGCGAAACCCCAAGCCCACTCAGCTCATCTCTGTAGTTATTATACTAAAAATTACATTGACCTGACTCATGATGAAGAAAGCGTACCAACAAGTTAAAAGCCTGCAAGGGCAAGGTTGACTTAGTTAATCTTGGCATGATGCCGAATCAGATCGCAGAAGGGAGCTCCACTCTGCTCAAGAGATTATTTATATAAAAAAAGTCCAAATCCAAGGCTAATTTTTTCTATTTATTTTAAATTTAATCATTAAGTTAGCCATTGAGAGAGAGAGAGAGAGAGAGAGAGAGAGAGAGAGGCTGGGTGGTGGAAGTAGTACCAGTTGGAGAGGAGAAACAGACGGGACCATTTCAAAGCACCACTGGCCGCTCGCGCGCCCCACACCGCGTACGCCTCCTGTTGGCTGCCTGCCCCTTCCGAGGCCGGCGGAGCGGGACGCGCTTGCCCGCCTCTTTGTTCCAAGCAGTGCGCCGCAGCGGCGGCGGCGGCGGCGGCCGCCTGCAATGGGGTCGTTGGGAGAGGACGGCATGTTGGGTGTGCTCGCGCTCGTGATCGTCGCCTCCTTGCTCTTCCTGCTGTTGCTTGTTCTGCTGTTCTTCTATCTGGCTCGCCGCCGGGAATGGCTCCTTGTCTCGTCTTCTTCCTCTTCCCCTTCCTCGCCCCCTTCTGCTGGTCTGCCCGTCCCAAAGGTAAGAAACTGTTGTTGCTTTGCGTGGCTTGTTGTCAGGTTCCGCCCGCCGGTGCCAGTTAGGTTTCAGCATAGTGAGGACAATGCCGGCTGGGTCCCTTTTTCTTTTTCTCATCTTCCCATTGGAATCAGTGCAGGCTTTCTTATTTTTTTCTCCCTGGAATTCGTCCGAATTTATGTCTCTAAGGCCTTCCACAGCCTTAATTTGCAATGCCTTCAAATATTTTGACGTTGGCTTTAACATGTGGAAATTGTAATTGTGTAAGCGGAGAAATGCATCTTTCATCATCCTGCTAAAGGAGGAAGGCAAGCCAAACGAAAGATAAATGAAGTGAGAAGCCGAACTTTTAGGGAAAAGATGCAGCAATAGCATTACAGGGAGTTGGTACCGATGCATAGCCGTGCATCATCTTCTCTGATCGTCTCTCTCCCTTTTGATTTTATTCGACCTTTTTCAAACCATGATCTCAACTCTTATCTAAGAACCATAGTAAGAAAGGAGACGATAAACTAAAAATTATGATCTATCTTTTTTTAGTCAAATAATAATAGAAATTTGATTTTAGATAAAGGAAGGTGTAAGTCCCCTCTATCGCTCGATGGACTGAATTTTTTTGGCGAGAGAGTTATCACTGGGAGAAAAAAGCTAAGTTAGACAGAAGTATGATTTTTTTTGTAGTCAAACTTTCTGAAGCAGTAAAATTTCTGTCAGATTGTCCCTGGCTGAGGTAAGATCCTATTCCACCAATGTTTTTTGTGCTATGAGAATTCTCGTTTTACTTACATTTCCCTCCAGAAAGAGTCAGACGAGTCTTTGTACACAATATGATTCACTAATTCAAATAGATATGATCCTCTCTGACATGTCATGGGTTCAAGTAGTTGGTCAAATCTTTCCTCTTTAATTTGTTGACAGCTTGTGTGCAATGCACAAGAAATTTGTGCGATTTACCCCGTTGGTTGGGTAGAGACTGTGGAATTCCTTCTAAGCACAACGAAATGAAGAACAATTTTGATTTTTGGGTGATATTATTCACTCACTCAAGTTGGCAATTCCTTGAAAACAGTTCTCCAAGAAAATCATCACGTATTTTGAATGCAGTGCCATGCTGAGAAATAGGACCAAACAAGTCTGAAACATCAGAAACAGGAACAAATGTTGGAGCATCAAAAATGTGGGCAAAGGACTTGGCAATGATTGTCTTTTGGTTCTTAGCTCCAACTTGTCTTTATGATCAGAGCATACCATTCGACATTTTCCCAAAATATTGGGATCTGACTTCTTAGTCATGGCCATGCTTCTTATTCATTTAATGTGTATAATGTGTAGAATCACCTCATTCTTTTCTTCACCCTAAAATAGTTTCATTATAAAAATGAACTTGTTTAACCCTTTGTTCCTTGCTATATTTTCTTAGCAGGTTGATATAGAGAAACCTCTTCTCTCTAATGATTTTGGAGAAATTCCTGGTCAAATTAGTTGTTCAGCTAGAAGATGTCTTTCAGACGAATATAGACATGAGAATGATGTGAATATTAGCTCTCTTATAACGCATCTGTCTCCTAAGAATAGAGAGAAGCAATTGATAGGTCGAGATGGTCCAGGTGTGTTAAATAACTGATTAATTTCTCAGGCTCTCTCAAAATTATCATCTCCTCTTTTTATTTATTTTCTTTGGTACCTATGAAGTGTTGCCTTTTTCTAGCTGTTCTGATGGTTTTTGAGTTCTCAATATGATGTCTGCTATGAATCAGATGATTTGGTAGTTGGCCAGACGCTCAGGTTTACAGAGGTGGCAAACTGGCGAGAAGAAGAGTTCGCACATGACAGGAAAAAAAATACTAAAAATGACTCAGAATTGTTTGGGGAGATTCTCAGACATCAGGTGTCTCAAGTTGTGGACAAATCGGCACATGAACGTACTATCTCCTTTCATATTTTATCTCATTTGGTTGCCTGATGAAGAATGTGTGCTAAGCTAAATGTCAATATAATTTTGATGATTACATGCTATTTGATCCTCTAGTTTGTTAAATTGCAGGAAGCAGCCTGTTCCTAGAGGTTATTTCTGGCCCTTCATGTGGGCTCCAATGCTCCAGACAGTCAAACAACTCTTCTGGCCGTCCATTGACTCTTGGAAGAATTTCTTCTAGTGACCTATTCCTGGAAGACGCAGGAGTCTCAGGGAAGCATGCAGTCATCAATTGGAACAAGAATGTACTATGTCTATACATGCTTCACCTATTTGTGCCTGTAGCAATCTTTCCTTTGTAGGAGTCTCTTTGATTGACTTTTTTCGCTAGAGTCCTATTTTGATTTCATGTACTCTTTGTAGACATTTAAGTGGGAGCTGGTGGATATCGGAAGCTTGAATGGAACGCTCTTGAATTCACAGGCAGTCCATAATCCTGAGCTAGGACGTCCAAGTGGTAGTGCACCTGTGGAGCTTGCAGATGGAGATATAATTACACTTGGCTCTTCTTCAAAAATATTTGTGAGTCATGGTCATTCCGTTGCTTTGTTGATTTATGGTTTCTACTTAAAATTATTCAAATTCATTGAGGTAGAAGGATAATTTAGATTCCGAGAATGCATGCAAAAAGTTTCCTGTATGTCTCTATATTTTTTATATCTCTTCTTGTTTTTGACTGGAGTGGTGCTGCTTGTCTCTGTTTCCTCCAAAAACAAAGTCCAAGCGAGGAGACTACATGGAAGGAATCTATATAAATTTCAATATAAAAAATGGCCCAGAACTTGAATATTCGATTTTTAAGATATATGATTGATTGCTTTAATCCTTCTGTTAGTTGTCCTAACTAAAATGTAAGGCCTACTGTGGTGCCTGGAAATTTTGAGCAAAATCTTAATTTATGAACTGCTGGGTCACTTCACCTTGGGCTACGAAATTCATGCTAATCCATGTCTAGTTTTATCACAGACAGTTCCTGAAGTTCGAAAAGACAACTGAAAGGACCTAAAATTTCTAAATTGGCTTGTGCTTTGTAATTAGTTATCGTTTATTTTCATTCACAGAAGATGATACATCTTTTCATTTTTGTCCCAACTATATTTTCAAGATTTACTTTTATTTTTAAATCTCCCGGTATTCATTTTTGTTCAATTAAATTATTCATTCGTAATGATTCAATTTTCCTTACTCCGTGGTACTCTAGACAGATATATATTGATCACTTACATTATTGAAGAGATGCTAAGAATAATAATTCATTTCTCTTGATGTTCAAGAAGTTTAACTAAAATCTACTTCATGTTGGTGTACGACTTTGTTGGATCTGTTGATAAATAAATCGGAAAAATAAATTTAAGAAATGCATACGTAAATGTGAATGATAGAAATGGGAACGCATGTACAATCTATCTGCTCAGGAAACGAGAGTAGTGGACATATTGAGAAATGTGCAAAGGTATGAATGCCAACATGCTGATGAGCTATTGAGCAGATTTCTCTTCAATAATAGAAGCTGCAAGTGGGTAATGTCATCATTTATAATGTCACCTCTATACTTGCAAAGTAGATTCCTTGTAGGACTTGGAACTTGTCAAGTTCCATAACGAGCCATCTATTCTAAGGAGTGCTTTCATAATTCAGGAAAGTATTGCTCCGAATGCTCAAGGCATAGGCACTGCAATCTGGCTTGCATACTCTATGTGCCGGATCCTATGTATAAGCTAGCGATGACATTGGGTAACGACGTACATCAAGATCTATTTTTGAAGGATAGGAAATATAGAGGAGATTCGAAAAGTGATGGAGGGAAGATGGTGGGGTGCAGTTGCTATTTAGTTAGGAAGGTTTCAAACGAAGAGTTTGTGTTTCATAGTAAGGTCCTTTGGTGAATGTGGAGGTTTTGTCTAGTGTAGCTCAAGATTTTTAAGTTAGCCATGCCATTGACCTTCCTGTGACAATGACAAGTGGAGGACGCTTGGACACTAATATTATATATATTTTAATTACTATAAATTATAATTAATTATAGAGAAAGTAATGAATAAGATAAAGTATATGTGCTTACATCCTCAAAAGATCACATGAATTGGTATTCACATAAAAAAATGATAGAGGATAAAGTTCAGCAGAAAATAACAATAATGAATTGTTGATATAATTATCAAATATATTTGATAAATATTCGAGTAAAAACATTTAATGTAATTCAGCAGAAAAAATGTATGAATAATTTATATCAGACAAGAAGCTTTTGTGTGGGATTGGTAATGTGAATTTGTGGATGTAAGCAAAGGCATATTCATGTCCATGAAGTTAGTGATACTTTGCCATTGCATTGATGACTTGGCAGTATTGCTCCTGGCCACCTTGCCAAGGTGTTACTTTAACAATGTTCAGAATATTTGGCCTGGGCTTGATCATTTGGGTTTGTATCTTATATGCACATACCTTCAACATGACTAGTGTCAATTAATAAAGATTTTCTGGATCCATTGTGATGAGGCAAATGTGTAAAGAGTCTAGTGGAGTCGTTTCTGTCTCCACAAAGGTTATGCATGTCATGGTTGGAGAGGGATATGTAATAACTTCTAAAATCTCAGTGAGAGTTTTTGGCCATTTAGTAACCGCAAGGCCTTTAAAGTTCCTTGAGATGGGATGGTGTTTCTCATCATTGAGAAAGTTAGAAAGGAGGGAGGATTCCACGAGTAGCTCACATCCACAGTAGGTTTTAAGAATTCTCTGAGGTTTTGATACTATCCATTTCACTCCTTTGGTTTGGATGATTCGAAAAATATTTAGGTTCATCGCAGTTTTGGATGGAAAACGATGCAGTACTGTGATAAAATTAATGAAAACTGTGTGTACTTTTTATGGAGAATGCACTTATGTTACATGTTTCTAAATGAAAGGAAAGAAATCTATATCGATCAATCATCCAAATTGATCTTTTCGTGTTGAATTGATCATGATTGCACCTTGGAAATAGATTTTCTTCACAGTAAATTTTTCCACGAGAAAACATAAATAAGTTCATTCAAATTGGACATTGAATGGTTGGTTGAGCTCTGAAACATATGAAGAAGGAATCCTACCTAACCAATAAGATGGGAATATATATAGATGAAAAATTTACTCATATCAACGTTTATCGTTTGAAAGTTCTGCTTCCTTGTGAAGAGTGCAGTTACATTTTTTTTAATGGAATGGCAGGAGGGGGTCGTCTGAATAAATCATGTCATGCACTAAATGTTCAAGCATAATTTTGTCCAAGCTTCATGTTTGCACATTCTTTGGTCTCCCAATCCTCTATCTTTCTCTCTCTCTCTCTCTCTCTCCTTTCTTTCTCTCCCAGCCTCGCTATCTCTCCCACTGTATTGCCCTCCACTCCCTCTCTCTTTGGCGCTGTGGACAGAATGGACGTGCAAAAATATTGCACGTTGAGCCTATAAGTAACAAGATCCACAGTCTTTGGGGTCTATTAGAATTGATTTGGGGGACCCTTGACTTGACAAGGATTTGATTGGTGTCCCATGGATCTGCAATGGTTGCTTGAGTACACAAGCAAAGAAAAATTTGTAGATAGAACGAAAATTCTATTATTCCTGGGGAAAATGAGATGCTACAATTCTTGGGCCAATAAATAGGCTGAATTTAGTTCTTACTTTATTAGGTAGGATTAAATAATAAAATAATAAATAACATTATTAAAAGAAAAAAGACTTATTAGTCGTGTGAAACTAATGATCTACCCCTGCGTCTTGAGCCTTTTGGGTTGGATTGGGTCTATGGTGCATTGAAAGCCTTCAAACCTTAGTGCTCTACACATTTCGGTCCATGATCCTTATTTGTTGATGTTGTGCTTTACATTACTCTCCCTCACTTGCTCTCAGTCTTGCCGTCTCCCCCCCTCCCCCCCTCCCTCTTCCCTCCCCCTTGCACTTCTCCAACTTTTTCTATCTCTCTTTCTCCTCTCCCTCTCTCTCTCTGCATCTTTTTTGTTGTGTTATCATATATATATGTATATATATATATATATATATATATATATATTGCTTTTCTGCCATAATCGGTTCCGCAAGAAAGTTTTTTATCACTAGACTGATTTGTACTCTATTCTATTTAATTTTCTCTAGGTTCGAATTATGCCATATGCTGAATATCCTATTCCCTTTAGAGTTGGTATAGCATCCGATCCAATGGCTCTGCGTAGAGGTGGAAAAAGTCTTCCGATGGAGGATGCTTTTTATTGCCAATGGCCACTTCCTGGCATTGATAAGGTTTCATTTCTAGATTCCTACTAACATGTAAATTTTGATATGCCATGGATGTGATGTCTAAAAATTAGTCTAACAAATTTCTTGTCATGGAGTTTGGGCTGTTTGGCATTTTCGATGGACATGGTGGAGCGGTAGCAGCCAAAACTGCTTGCAAGTTAGTTCCCTTCTGTATGATTTCATTTTTTTGTCACACAGCTTTATGTATATACTTTTAGGATATCAGCATGAAATTTTATTGTTAATATTCAATTGCACTTATTATTAAAATACAGGCATAGTCATGAGCTTGCGTTTTTCCATTTATATTATTTTGGAAATTCTAGGTCGTAAGAAAATTATGTAAAAGACTAAGGGTGTTTTGCAAAATTGTGTAAGGTTCCTCCCTATATAATGGGGGTTAGAGGTGAATGAATCGGGAGGTGGTTTCCGCCGTTCTCCCCTCTGTCCTCTGTGACGGAGGTCGTTTCTCCATTTCCAGCATATTTCAATTTTAGACTGGTACCTCTCTCATTCTTGAAGCACGCAGAAATATTTTTATTGAGGATCTTCCCCATTTGTACATGTACTTCCTTTTCTATGGATTGGAAAAACAAGATGTTAATCTAGGTTTTCTAATTTTTTCGTTCATGTTTTTCATTCTGAGTTAATGCTTCCCGTGGAACTAGTGTTATGAACAGATCATCCTAAAAAATCCCAGAAAATGCATTTCCAGTTCCTTTCCTTTTTTGTCTATTGTTGCCTAAAAGAAATCTATACAAATAATCCAATGCCTGAAACACACTTCCTATGAACACGTCAGACAAATGTGGATCTGAGTACAACCAATCTGTCATTCAAATACAGGCCCTTTCAAACGTTTTCAACATGATAGTATTCCAGTCTTTGGTGAATCTTTATGGGATTTCATCTTTCCACTCCTGAGAAAACACTTTCTTCTTCACAATAACTTCATTTCCTTTCATCCATGATTGTAAACGATAGCAAGGAATTTTTCTCATGTTGTGGCTGATTTCTGTTCCTCCAATTTTAAGGCCTACTAACCAGAAATGGTATTCTCTTAACTTTGGTTTCAACTTTCCCTGCAAAGACCGTTGCCTAGTCTTGTTGAATGATTGAATTGATCATAAACATGGAGTGTTACATTTTACTTGTATAGATATGAATGAAAAGAACACTAGAACTTTTGGCAACGGAAGTATTGGGTGGAAGTTATCACTATCGCATTTTCTAGGGTGAGAGTTGTGAGCTTTTGTAATGAGCAAGGGCTTGCCTTACTTTTTAGGTTGTTGGGATCTTAGGATGGTCTACTCTTGGTGCAGATTATGGAGATCATTCGGACAGGATTTTTTCTCTTTGACTATTTAGTGGGAGTGTAGCTCTCAACTCTCAGATTAACAAGTTGGTTATTTTTCTTTTCTTATGCATTTTTATGGTTATTTGTCATCGTTTCTTATGCATTTTATGGTTATTTGTCATTAAACAGTTTTCCCGCATTCTAACCACCAATAAATCAACATATTTATGCACGTACCTTTTGTGGATTTGATTTTAATATTTTGCATTCATGATTTTCAGGATTTTGCCTAGGATTGTAAGCCATAGTTTGTCAAACCCTGAAGCGAGAGAAAAGGTCCTTTCTTTATGTGATTCATCTGAAGTTCTTAAAGAGGCCTTTTCTCAGACAGAAGCAGCAATGAGACATCAGTATGAGGTTTTTTTCTCTCTTGCAAATATTTGAAATTACTTTGTGAAAACTGGCCTTTTCTAAATTTAGAAAAGCTTATGTAATCTGTCTGCTTCTCTTGTGAAAATTTCTTCTTGTTGTTTAGGCTATTGCGTTAATGTTTATTCAATTATAATCTTTGATAGGTTGCTCTTGAGCTGTGCCCATTTAATTTGTACTGTTCAGATAACATATCTTGAGAGCTTGCCAACACATGAGGGAGTGTTAAAATTGTCTCATTGTGGGAATAGTAATTAAAACCATGTTGTAATCTACATTGTTTATTGGCCACTAGTTTTGACTCCGATGACCCAATATTTCATCACAGACGAGTTTATTTAAGTTTGGATCACATCCATCACAAAGTTAAGATGAGAAATGAAATCCCATAATGTGGAAACTGGTCACCAAGAAACTGTCCACCAGTGATAGAATTCAAATGTTTGAAGCAGATATTATGAGCAAATGTGCCTATTGCGGGGTGCAGGAGTCCATTAGTCATCACTATATGGAATATAGGATTACTATTTTATTATAAAGGCTTATCTATTTTCAAGTGAGTCATTATTTCGATAAAACTGAGTTGTTGCAAAATTGGCATTATCTGTCCTATAGCATCAAATCTTTATCGGTGGAGATTCTACCTTGCGAGTTACATGTCAGAAAATAATTAACGAAAAATTAAGAAATATACGTAACATGATTGACATGACTGCATTGCTGTGTTTTTATCTGTCAATGGCGGTGGAAATTGATGACTGTCTAAGATTTGTCTTGCTGAATGTGATCAAGAGCATTGGTAACATGTTCCCTCTACCAACTTGTTGGATGAGGGTGAAGTTTTTTTTATTCCTTGATTTAGTTTTTTTTCATCTTTTTACTGGCATATGCCTTTTTTTGTGTTTTCTTTGTTTTCTTTTTGATACTTGGACATTCTACATATTCTTTAATATAATAGTATCCTAGACCACCTTAAAAAATAATAAAGGTTTGTGTTGGTTGAGGGCATGAATCGGCCTTTATGGTTTGGTTGTTTGTGATGGACCATATCTGTAAAGTTATATACATCTATACATTTATAGGTATATGAATGTTCCCAACAGAAGGCGAGGTGTTCAGGTGCCTAGGGGGGCAAGCCTAAATGGTGATAACCTTCAGTACGTCACGACGTGGGTCGCTTTTGCTTTCATCTTAGGTATCCTGTTGGGTGGGTAGTCTTGTAGAATTGAGCATCAATAATCCACTAACTAATTATATGATCCTAAGGAATGTTCTTAGTCATGAAAAATTATGGAACGAGTATTCCAAGGATTATATGCTTTACCTAATCTTTCAGCCTACAAATAACATGCGATCTATTCCTACATAATATGACTTAAGGTTAAGAAATTTTTGGTTCCGATAAAATCATCACTCTGGTCGGTATAGGCAACTTAGCAAGTATGACGTTAATGTTATGTCATTTCTTTTTTTATCTACTTCTTTCTTTATCTATCATTGTTCTTGAAATAATATTTTCTAGTCCGTCCTTTGTATGGAATGTTTTGTTCGACCTGCATGAATGCATTAATTATAGACTGGATCTTTTTCAGGGTTGTACTGCCACAGTGCTTTTGCTTTGGGCTGACGACAGGAATGAGCTCTTTGCTCAATGTGCAAATGTTGGTGATTCAGCTTGTATTGTAAAGTAATATTTTTTTTTTCCTTGTTATTTTTCCTTATTTAATTTTTTATACATATTATGATTTTTGAATATTATTTTTCAATTAACATATGCCTTCATTCTTCAATGGCCAACTATAAGAATAATGCTGCATTCCATGTCTTTTAGTTTTCATGTTTGTTTTATTTATGGAATTAGAAATGTTGGAATCAAGACTGTTGTGCCACTTGAACCAAAATTACCTTCACTTCTAAGAAGTAAATTGAAATATATTTTATGACCGTTTTCTAGAATTGAAATTTGTTCAGGCTGTGTTCTTTCAACTTTTTTTCATGGATGAGCCTCATAAACTTCCGGATATTTGGATGTTCAGCTTTGAAAATAAAAGTTTTTCAATAATGTTCATAAATCTGACTTGTTGTTTTCTTTCCTTCTGCTGTTTGATTAGACTTGAGCCTTCAGTTTTTGTTTCTGTTAATCTAGGCTGAACCCCCGGTAGTGAATGGGGTTCTTAAATCCCTCAGATGCCCTTGGATCCCTTATTTTAAATTTGATTTGGCACTGCATTTATCTCTTTTTCATCGTGTTGAGCTTAAGAAAAGCTTTTCAGTTTTGGTTAGTTATTTTCCTTTATGTTTGAATGTTTGATTAGATTTCCTTTTTTTGTGATGAGTGTAATTCCAGTTAGGGATACACTCTCTCATCAGAGGTTTTATTTAGTTTCCCTATTAGTTTGGCTGTTTAGTTGTATTGAGAATAATAGGTTTCCTTTTTTTTTTCCTTTTATTGTTTATCCATACACATCAGAGGAGGTATGAAATAAAAATTTATAAGTGCTGATGTTCACCGTTAGCATCAAAAGTGCATTTTACTCTATTCTTAAGCCCTTGCAGGTCAATTTGTTTTATTTCAGAGTCAGTGTTCAACACCAAAAATAGTTCCACTGTGGTATAATTTATTATTTTTCCTCTGATTAGTTCCTTCTATCCTCTTGCATGCTGGTATCCAATTTGTATCATTAACTGCTGGCTAGTTGGTGAAAGAAATAATAGTAAATCGATGGATGCTAAATGTTGTGGCATGCTCTCCTTTCAGTCGTAATTTAATCTGGACTGACTCTTCACTTCTTATTTATGGTCTCATTAAGTTCGTGCCACTGCATGCGGCTCAGTTGGCATGACTATTGGTCCAGTTTTCTGGCATACGTTATGCAGATCACATTAATTCTCCACTGACTTTGTGCGCCATTGTGACTGCTAGGAAGGCCTTGGCGAGTTTTGTTAGTAATAAGAAACTTTATCGCAATCAAGTTGGTCAGTTCTGCTCTATTGACAGCTATTTTATCCTAGCTAGGTCCAAAAATAGAGAAAAGAGAGGAAATAGAGGAAAGATTGGAAAAATAAGACAGAAGAAAAGAAGAAAGATGTTACGAAGGCATGGTGATCTTTTCTCTATCTTTTCTTCTATAGGTATTGTCATTTTCTACTTGCTGCATAGTATCACTGCACCTACATCAAGTTATGGTTGTCCTCATCTCTTCAGTTTTCAGGGCATCAACTTGTTAAAAAATCGTCCCTTTTTCTAGATGGTCAACTTCAGAGATGCAAAAAGTTAACCGGAAATGCGAACCAGATCAACTTCAACCTTACATCATAGGGTTCATCCAAACGAATAACCTTGGCATATCGGCTTGTCTCCTGATTTTGTCTTGGTAACCATTGTGCTTGTAGGCTGCTCACTCATTTTCCACTTCTTTCTCTCTACTATGGGATTCACGCACAATTTGGTTTCATGTGAATTAGGTGGCTTGTTGATGCTTTTGTGAAGCTAGAAGCTGTCTTCCTTCTTGCTTAGGACATGACTATTGTGAATTATTTTGCTGCTTGAATGCTGCCTTTTTACAATGTCACTTCAACACCTATCTCCTTGGCTGCATTTTGTCTTTTTAAATTTTATTGTGGACAAGATTCTTCTCCACCTGATGATATTTCTCTAGTGCTTTCAATGATTCCCTTTTTCTGCCATTTTGACCACCTATCATGCCTTTCTCAAGGAATTTATTTACAGAGTCATTAAATAGTCAACGTTTTGTCTTGTGTAATAAGCTGGAGTAAAACTGGTACTCATTAGAATAGTTAGTCTTTTTCATTAATTGGGCCCATATTCTCAGTGTGATGCCTCCCACTTCACTGAGAGGGGTTTCTGGAGTGGAAATTGGGCACACACCTGAGTAGTGCACACTCGTGCTGAGCACGCAGCAGGCATGCTGGCCCAGTGTGGCACATGTGGGTTGGCACAGTGCATGCAGGAGCATGGCACGGCATGCATGGCAGCACATGGGAGGTGTGCAGACGTGTGGCGAAGTTCTGCTCCAGGAACCCCACTGTGAGGTGGAGAAAAAGAGACTACATGGCCAGTTAATGAAAAAACTAACTATTCTATGGAGTAACTGTTTTACTCCAACTTGTTACATAAGACAAAATTTTTACTATTTAATGACTCTGTAAATAAATTACTTGAGAGAAACATAATAGACGGTCAAAATAGCAGAAAAAGGAATCGTTGAAAGCACTGGAGACCATTTGGAGGTGTATAGAAGACCGCTAAACAATCACAAGATGAGTGTGATAGCCTGCTTATGAAGAAGCCAAAATTTCGAAAGATTTTGTGTAGGATATTTCTAGTTCTCTGATAAAACCATGGGCAACTGTTGTGTTAGCTGTGGTGTTGTTCAAACATGCTCAATGGTAGTTGGACTTAGACTACCCGAAAGGAACCGTCCAAATCAGTAATTTCTTACAAAGTTTAGTGAGGCCTGGTGACTTGGAATCTTTACAGTAGTTCACTGTCTCTTCAATATGTCAAAAAGGTTCAGATGGAACTTGAGAATTCTAATTATAAATATCACTCTTCAGACTGACCCAGAACCTTTCTCATCTTGTTAACATTATGCTCGCCATGTAATCAGTTTTTTATCATCTGTCAGTACGTAATTTTCAATTGGTATTGTCTTCATTATTTCCGTGTTTTCAAAAATCATTCCTCGTCCCTCGTGATTTGATTTGATATGTTGTTAAATAATAGGCGTCTCTAGACGTTGTTGTTCCCATTGCTTGTGAGAGCACTTACGTTGCTTTGTTAGGCATATTGTTGCCCCAGGATCAATAGATTTAGGGTTTTGTTGAGACTTATGGGGTAGGAATCAACTAGTGGAGAACAGCTAAAGGTCATGGTATCGGCACAGGATAGACCATCACCCCTCAACTTCCGAAATACCTGTTTCTTAGGACAGATGATGATAAATCTTCACTTATTGTTCCCAAATCCTCAAATCTGAGAATTGAAACATAAATTTCTGTGAACTTGTATCCATACATTTCATAAGGTAGGCTCTTTTTTCCAGGAGATGGGCCAAGCTTGGGGTTGACTCAATGACAGCGAGTCTGTCCGTGATGTGTTTTCTGCCAAATGAAGCAGTTGTGCTCTTTTATGCCTATCTTGCCTTTTCTAAATCCATGGTAGTTCGTCAATCCACTTTGCTATTTGCCACAGAGAATTGAGAGCATTATTGGAAACTTTCAGTACATAAAAGTCAATACAGAACGAAATTCCAAGAGAAATTTTCTAGCTCTGCTTTTTGAAATACCTTTAACCTTTTCGAATGCCAGAATTGTAACCTAGTGTTGTGTTATCTTTAGGCATTAATCATTTACGCCATATTTCTGCTATATGAGACTCAGCTCTCAACCGCGTTTTATTTCTGGCAGCGTTGATGGAATTGACATCAAAATGACAGAGGACCATAGAATAGCGAGCGCTTCTGAGAGGACCCGCTTTCAGTACATAAAAGTCAATACAGAACGAAATTCCAAGAGAAATTTTCTAGCTCTGCTTTTTGAAATACCTTTAACCTTTTCGAATGCCAGAATTGTAACCTAGTGTTGTGTTATCTTTAGGCATTAATCATTTACGCCATATTTCTGCTATATGAGACTCAGCTCTCAACCGCGTTTTATTTCTGGCAGCGTTGATGGAATTGACATCAAAATGACAGAGGACCATAGAATAGCGAGCGCTTCTGAGAGGACCCGCTTCAGTGAAACAGGGCAGCCATTGGAAATAGGCCAAACTCGCCTATATGGTTCTCTCCCTTTTCCTTACTTTCTGGATCTTATACTCAAACATCACGCAAAACATACCATGGATGTGGTGGATTTTTTTTAATAATCTCATTTATTCATCTGGGTTTGCAGGAATCAATATCAGTCGCATGCTTGGAGACAAGTTTTTAAAAGAACAAGATCTACGTTTTAGTTCAGAACCTTACATAAGTCAAGTTGTCCACTTAAAAAGAGGTAGTATGGCGTTTGCGCTACTAGCAAGGTAATTTCTCAGTGTTTGAGCTCTTCACCAGTCTTCTGTCAAATTCTGTTGTTGAGCGATGCTCATTACCTGATTGCTCTGTTTCGTTCTTGGTTTGTGGTCAAACATCAGTGACGGTCTGTGGGATGTGATCAGCATCAAGAGAGCTGTGCAGCTTGTCCTTCAGGTATGCTTTGTCTATTGCATTGATGGAACACTGTTTGAGCCGCTTGTGTAGATTAGACTCTTTTAGGTCCTGGCGGATGTCAAAAGGGGAATCATTCATAGTTTTAAATTTTGAGTTAAAACTAAGTGTAATATTTTATATTAAAATCGGATGACATCTGCCATTAAATTTCGCATGTATTTTATAAAGTGTAAGAAACGTATGACACCCGTCAGTTCCTCAAAGTGTAGTACTATTGATGAAACTTGAGGGTGGATTTGCCTCTTCAAGATATGGGACTAAAGTCTGATAGGTTTCGAAAGAAATGGAACAGAAGGATTGCTTACTTTTGGAAACTCGTAATAAAAATATTAAGGGTATTACTAACTATAGCAGCTATAAGTTTCTGAAAGTACACTAGTAAGCATTACTTCCTGCTGACATTCACATTCTATGCCTTGTGACTTTCATGGGAAAATATAGGTTAGTACTGGTCTGATCATTGATTCACATTATTATTTTGACCAATAGCATATATCGTGCATCCTTTTGTTTTACTTATTTGATGTCTTGATTTGAAAAATGACTGGTCGCCAATAATATTTGGGGAATCAACGGACCGCGTCTGGTGAAATTTGCAGGCAAAAGCAGGAACCAATACATGTAAAGGCAGCTCAGCTGACAATGTGGCCAATATTATACTGAATGAAGCCAGGACTCTGCGAACGAAAGATAACACGTCTGTGATCTTCTTGGATTTTGATACCTTGTGATCAGGCTAAATCAGTTTTTTTTGTCTCATAAATCTCGCATAAATATTAAATTCCACTTTCAATGTTCATATTATCATCCCTAATGTTCACATGCTTATACTCCTCCGTTGCAATTCTCTAGCCTAATCTTTGACTCTTCCTGAAGAACGCACAGGTTTCATTTGGTACGAGCCTGTGCAATGGGCAATTGCGTGAAGGTTTTCTGTCATTTTTGATAGAGCTTTGGAACCTAACTGACAGGTCTTTCTGAGGATTTTCTGGTCCATTACGTCCAGACCTTGGACTCGCTATGTCTTCTCTTCTTTCAGACTAGCTGGTCAGGAAGGGAGAAGGGATGTGGGTGGTGGAGCTGATCAGCGGAAAGGAGGGAGGGAACTGGGGTAGGAACAGTACACGGTTGCTTGAGATTTGAGCGTCGGAGTCTTCTTTCATGCTTGCTTTGAAGTGGCAAGAATCCTTCCAGTGTCACGAGTAGCACGGGAGAATAGGAGCTTAAGACCAGGGAGAAGGAAAAGCTAGGTCTTCAGACCCCCAAAGGAACAGAACGCCCCCCAGAAGCTACCGTGTGACAAAGGCTGTCCTAGTGCTACCCGCCTTGGCTGGGGCTTTTTTCCCACGGTGGTTTCCGACGGATGATTTACTTCCGAAGCAGCGGATGGACCCCGAAGCCTTCGCTTCTTTACAAGATGGACACGCCTGCGGAGCTGTTCTATCCGTCAAGCTTGATGCGAGGGTTGACACCAGAGGGAACCTCGAATGAGATGTCCACGACAGTGGACTCTCCGGAAACAAATGCAGCGAGGCATTAGAAGCGAGAATCGAGGTGGGAACCCGAGCCCTCTCATTCTCCACCTGCCACTGACTTAGGATTTACAAGCACCAAGGGACGGGATGGAGTTTCGCACTGGTGAGCAGGTGGGGACCCGACGTTGGTTAACAAGAGTTTGAACTTTCACAAGGAGGAACACATGGTGCCCCCAAAGTGGCACCAGGACGCCAACATGATCCTTGTTTGGCCAAATATATATTTCTTTGGATTAATGTGTAATTGATGGTCATTGATGTGCACTTGTGGTTATGCTTAAATGTACATTATCTAATAATATTTATAACTAAGACTTAATAAAATATTAGTATAGAAGTAAGTCTCAAGTCAAATACAAAGAGATTGATTTATTTATTATAAAAATTAATTTAGGTTATATATAAAGTAATTTTAATATTTTATCAATATTTAATAAAAATAATAAAATAGAAAGATGAGGTTAAAAGAATAAAGGAAGAGAAGTGAAGAAAGGAAAAAAGAAAAGAGAGACAAAAGAAAGAATTTTTACAAAAGATGAGAGAGATCTCTCGAAAAAGAGAGAATCTCACGTGAGATGGAGAGAGAAAGATCCTACGAGAGAGAAAAAAGAGAGAGAAGAGAGATGAGGAAATCTCACGTGAGATAGAGAGAGAAGAAATAGTTTCACGAGAATGGGAGAGAGAAATAAGATGATAATAAAGAAAGAGAGAAATATGGTCAACCTGTTTTCACAATGACTATTATTCTCAGATGATGTGTACTTGAGAATTCACACACATGACATAAGGTCAGCCATGAATGTCTCCACATTATTTTAATAATTGACCGATCATTAAGTAGCTTTAATCTCACTGATTTCACGTTTGAAAGTAAAAAAATATTCATTATTCGTAGAACACTAGAAATCTGAATACATCAAGATTTGATTGTAAAAATCAATAGAAAATAAGTTGAAAATTATCTTAGCTTAATCTTAGACAAGATTCAAAATAAGAACGAAGATCATTCATCAAGTTTTGAATCTATTCATTTCAATTAAAATGTGCGTGAAATAGAAATAAGTTGTCATAAAATATAAATAAATGACAAAAAAAATTTAGTAAATACTGAAAGTAAGAAATAAATAATTGCTCAAGTTTAGTTTGCCTCCAAGACAATGGGAGACACTGGTGTAGTGGCTTGGTTTTATTCGGATGTGCCACACCACGTCAGAAGTCAAAAAAGTATTGTCTGAAAATATTACGCCACTTGTTGGAGAGATCCACCAAAAGTAGTGTCAATTATGTTGTCACCATTGTCTAGGGGGAGAAGGAAAGAGTTGACCACTCGTCGGAAGCCTTGAGTACAGTCGGGAGAAGAAGGAATGAACTTACCAATCGCTAAAGGTGTTGATCACACAAAAGGAGGGAGGAAATAGATTGTCATATTCATGATTGACGTCGAGATTTTAAAGATAATTTATAATAGCTATTTTACTAGATAATAATTAATTAATGGTGATATGTGTGAGAACTTAAGTTTCCGGTATCGTGGCACTTCATGAGCCATGGGATTAAATGTGCTTAGTCATGTGACACTAAGTGACACAGGATCAACTTGTCACAAATCACTTTTGATTAAGAACTTAAGTCCCTAATATTATGACGACTCCTTAGTTGTCGGATTATCCTTTAAGGCCACGTGCATGCTGAGCGGCATCGGATCTGCGAACCGCCAATGAATTGCTTTACGCATCTGGTATTATGGCGGCTTGCCCACTGTAGAATTTAGCTTATGTGATGACATGGTTCATTGAATACCACTAGATCACACCATGCTCTTGATGGCTATCTTGAGATAGACGAAAACCTTTAGTCCCACATTAGAAATATTTTGGATGCATAAGCCAAATATAAATCAAAGCTACCGTCTCTCATCAAAGATTCCTTCTCTCAAAATAAAATAATACCTAGGATCATCTTAGGAGAAGTCAAAAAGGTGGTCCGCCCTCGCATGCATACGTGTGTACGATGCTCCTTGCTCCATGAACAGTTGGCCACCAAGATGTGGCAGGGGAGTGATACACACATGCACAGAACAAGTCCTTTGCCACTTGAGCCCAGCTCATGGCTCCCCCAATCTGGGTCTACCCACTCGACTACAGCACGCTCCTCTAGGTCAGTTGCTGAGTGCTGGCTTGTTAGCGGGCAAAATATTTTTTATATTTTATTATTTCATATTTTTAAATAATCTAAAATTACACAATATTTTAACTTCAAACTTCTAAAATTAATAATATATCTTATATTTATTCTGCAAGTTAAAAAAATAAAATAAAATAGTAAAACTAATTAAAACACAAATTTAGCTTTAATTGTCATGGAGTAGGGAAAAAAACTTAAGTGTTGTCAATGTTCTTCTTTGTTAGAGCTGAATACTAATATATTGTTGAGTAAAGTGTCGTCGATGTTCTGTTCATCAAAGTTCGGAATGTTGTTGGCACATTTTAGAGACTGAAGGGCATTACTAGGAACTCATAGTGGTCTTCGTGGGTGTGAAAAGTTGTTTTCGGCATGTCCACCTTGATACGAATCTGGTGGTAGTCGGATTTCAATACCAAAAAACTGATTGCGTCATGAAGCTCGTCGAGCAGCTCGTCCACGTTGGGAATTAGGAAGCGATCAAGGCCCATGATCTTGTTTAGCACTCTATAATCAACATAGAAACACCAGCTCCCCTCTTTTTTCTTCACCAACAGGGCTGGACTAATGTATGGGCTGGTAGAGTGGTGAGCGGCACAATTCACAGACGAGCCTCTGGATCTCTGTCTTTTGAACCTGTGGATATCAAAAAGGCCGTACATTGATCGGTATTGAGTTTGGTTCTAACGGAATGCCGTGGTCGATGTCCCACTGCGGCGGCAGTTTGATGTTGTCGTTGAAAACACTCGGGAATTGTCAGCAGAGTCTATCTTGCCAGTACTGTCTGTGAGGAGGTGTCCTTGATATCTGAGGAATGATTGAGTTGGAAGAGCTTGATCATCACTGCCGACTACCGGCGGAGTTCCTTGGTCAGCATCTTGAGTGAAGTATCCTGCGGGGCAGGGTGAGGATCCACAGGGAGGACCACCTGTTGCAGCCTCTTTAGCACAGTTAATGTGGGGGCTTCCAGGCCAAATGTGACGCGCTTCTTGGAATTCATCCACTCATTCTGAGGATGATGTTTGAATTGGGGGACGGTAGCAGTAGAAACTCAGTCATGAAGAGGGACTGGAGCTCAAGGGGAACCTGTCAAGAGATCCTGCTACTTGAGACCTTGTCGCCATTGCCGACGACAATCTAGAACTACGCTGTGCGGGTTATTGGGATCTTTTGTTGGATATTTCCGTTTTGTGCTGCACATACCATTATTGTGCATAATGGTTATTGCAACAGCTGTTTTGAGGCTTGACGGTCGACGGTTTGGTCCCATTGATGGAAGGGATTGAAACCGTCGAGCCTCTTTTTGAGGCTATAAATTCAAGGGTTTGGTCCCTGCTTCATCATCGTCGGAGTCCTCAAGGTCCCCATCTGCCTGAGGAGAAATTCCCCGGTGATTGAAGTAGAAGGCCATCCCGTGTCATGGATTCCGGCGGTACGCTTCCGCAACTTCGTTCCTGTCATCTTATCCTTGTTGGCGGCTTGACGGGCAATAACATTGTCCGTGGCGTTGCTGTCCACCAATACGGTTACAGTTTGCCCGTGCAGGTATCCCATGAATTTGAAGGTGCTTGGTTGATCATCATCTGCCAGTGCATTGGCCGTGAGTTCGATGTTTGCGTGCTTTTCATCGGCAGGACCTTCCGGCGGCGGATGCTCATCTTCGACGGTTTCCAGAGAGTTGAGAGTTTCCTCTTCTATCTAAAGGATTTGAAGTTCGAAGCGACGGCGATGGCCCGGGCCATATTTATCATTGCAAGAGAAGCACAGTCCTTGTGCGCCCCGCTGTTGGATTTCCGTCCTGTGGAGAGTTGGGGGACGCCTTGTTGGGCTTGCCATCAGATTGACCGGTTGCGACCGTTGAGGGTGGTTCTGACTATTGCTGCTTACGAAAGTGTAAGTCGTGGGCGATTGTTGCTGCTGAAGTGGCCTTGTAGCTGTTAAATCGCCCTCCCGACTCCATCGATCTCAATTTGATGTTTTTGGTTTCAACCTTTTGCGCCGTGCGCATAATGGCC